ATTTAGTAATCTAATTATATAATTTTATATTTTTTAGTAGCTTATTTCTATAGATTATATTATTATTATTATTACTTAATCCTAGGTGCTTAATAGCTCTTATAATAAGTATTTAATTACTCTTTAATTTACTAACCTTATCTCTAACTTTATTATAGTATTATAAGAAATCCTTTTTAGTTATATTATCTATATCTAAATATTTATTAATAATATCTTTAATTTTATTAACTTAAATAGGGAGTTTATTCTTTACTTTATCTATAAGGATAATAGTTGCAGCGCAGGGTCCTATATAGATTCTAATATAAAGATTAGTAGTATTACAGCTCTTAATAAGATCCTAAATAAATTCTTTAATTATTAAATAATCTAAATAATATATTTTAATTAGTTTCCTAAAGTTATAAGAGGCCTAATAAATACCTATTTCTTTAATACTTATTAGGATAGTATAATAAAAATTATCTATATACATCTATAGTAATGTAGATATCTTAACCTTACTTTAAATATTCTTATTAATTAATAATACTAGCTAGAGCTTCACGCGTCGTGATATATAATCCTATTTATTAAATTTATAGGAATTCTCTACTAGTCTAGGTATATCTTTATAAATAATATTCTTTAGGTTATTAACTTTAAAAACCTACTAGATATAGTCCTCCTAATATTTAATATTCTCTTTACCTTATAACTTCTTAATAGTATCTAGAATAAGCTAATTATCTATAATTTTAGTCGCCTAATTAACACCTTTAACTATTAATATAGCTACTACTTATTAGGTAAACCTTTAATTAGTTCTATCCCTATTATATAGGCCTATTGACGTCTAATTTGTTAATTAGGTAGATATAGATTTTTTAAATTTAATTATTATTAGTCTTTTTAAATATATTTAGCCTTAGGGGAACTATTTATATCACCTATATTACTTATATCACCTATTATTTTACAGACATTGATATCGCTTAGATAAGATCTTAAATAAATAAGAATTTATTAAATATAGTATACTCTATCTTTTTAAATAATATGCTACTATGTTGGCCTAGTAGGCCTAGAAAAGGGAAGAGATAGCTAATAGTTGCTATTACTGCTACAGCTTAGACGTGAAGCAGGTGGTTATGTGGTGCGGCCGCGCCAAACGAGGCGACGCTAAGCCTAATTGGGCACGCACCTCTGACATCTTACCTATGTAGTTTAGGTACCTAGTAGTTACTACTAGGTAGGTACTAAGTTTCCAGGTAGTAAGGTACCTACCTAGTATCTAGTAAGTACCTGAGAGACCTGACTCTATCCAGAATTGATCGACTGTTGTTTACAACGTTTTACACAAGGTAGCAATGGTGGGCCAATGGAATAATCTGAACGATTACAAGACCCACTGTAATTTACTGTCTGATACGCACGAGATCCCCGCATTCGAAAGGGGCTTGTAGAGAGGGTTGAGAGAAGAGAATAGAGACAGACCTATTGTCACAACAAGACATACTCGGACGACTATAAGATTAGTTTTTGTAGATTTGGTTTTGGAGATTTAACGCAGTATTCTGTTTAAAACACAGTCTTACGACAGACTGAGTACCTGCTCTGAACTGTACTGTCCGCCTACTACTTTTCAAGTCTACCTAGTTAGACTAGTGGGGAGCTGAAGGTGCCCCTGAACGCCCGCCAGGAATCACTGGACGGACTAGGTACGGAGTAACTAACGGAAAGGCTTCTCTGGCTTGCTGGTCAGCAGAAAGGTGAAAAAAAAAGGAATTGGCTCCAGGTCTTGTCCTGCTGTCTCTGACGCCTAGACCTTGCAAGCTATCCAGGTTGGCTGGTGACAACAACCGGGTTTCAAGGTTGATGAAGAGCTTCTGTCCGAGCCTGCTGAAGCTGTCCAAGTGAAAAGCAACGCACGTTGAACGTCCAGCGTCCTCGATTCTTCAGACCCTGCTGAAGCTACTACTGGCTTCATCTTGCGTCAATCGTTCGTTCGTCCTCTCGTTTTCGTCCCCCTCTTGCCCCCCTCCCTCCCCCCATACCAAGCGCCGCAGAAGACGGACGCTGTGGGCAGACCGGTTCTCGTCCTTTCCTTTCGCCTTTTTCGCTTCTTTCGCCAGCCGCTCAGGTGAAGCGTGGAATTCTCGACTGCCGCTTGCTGGGCTTGTGAATGTCGTGTTCCTCCTCTCCTTCGCCTCCCTAGTCGACTGGTTCTCCCCTTTCACTCGACCGACTCGAGCTATCATTCACTGCAAACAAATTATAAGAAGAAAAAAGAAAAAAAAAAGGAGTCATCATCTCAGTGTACAGAGTGAGTGATGTGATGAATAAGAGCAATATTATACCTATAGAGTGCTAAATAGCTTTGCTAACTGTATGCAATGCAGCCTGTATTCACATCGCAACTGAATCCCCCCACCGTCTCCACTTCCTTACACACATCAGGGTGACTGAACAGACAGTGAATAGCCCTGACTGACAACTTCCTGATCGATAATAACTATCGGCTGCTGGGAAATATCAAGGCTACCATGTCTGCCGCGAGGACCCGGAGTCCAGGGCGGGTGCCGCCTTCCTCAGACGCGCACCTATCTGTTGCGGACAACGGCAGCTCCGGTCAGCGGAGAGCATCGTTTGGCTTTCTGCGCCGTTCCAAGTCCACAGAACCCCTAGCGGAGCGCAAGGCATCTGGCGGCCGTGGTAAGAAAATGACCAAAGAGCAGGCTAGAGAAGAGGAGCTCCGTCGCCAGCGCGAGATGGCTTCCAAACCCCGACAGCCGCCCCGTCTGCCCGCGCTCGCGCCCGCTCCTCAGCTCGAGACCTTTGGTGGCGATGAGCGTCCGGATGGCGAAGTCGTGAGCTCACCATCTCACGCGATCCCATCGCCCGCCAGAGTGGCGCCTCCGATTCCTTTGCCGGAGGATGCTGTCGAATTCTATTCACGCACGGAGAGCATGACCCATCGCGGTCGGTACAGCTACGCCAGCAGTAGTGCCGTCAGCACTGTCAACGGTCCGCGTCGACTGCGTCGTCGCAAGGATCCGACCCCATACAAGTAAGTCGTGGGAGCTGATAGAAGGGAAAAAAATATCTTGTCTGACAGGCATACAGCATTTTGGTCATTGGAGCGCGGAACTCCGGCAAGACCTCTTTCCTCAACTTCCTTCGTTCGTCGTTGACTCTGCCGCCTCATAAGCACCCTTCTCGTGCACCTAGCGAGTTTGAAGAGCTCGATCGACAGTCGCCGGCCAACGATGGCTTTACCTCGCGCTACCTTGAGACTGAGATCGACGGCGAACGCGTGGGATTGACGCTGTGGGACTCTCAGGGTCTGGAGAAGAACATCGTGGATATCCAGCTCCGGAGCGTGACCGGCTTTCTGGAAAGTAAATTCGAAGAGACCCTGACCGAGGAGATGAAGGTGATCCGCTCCCCCGGGACCCGCGACACGCATATCCACTGCACCTTTTTGATCCTCGATCCGGTCCGGCTGGACGCTAACGCTGCCGCCGCCGAGCGGGCTGCCAACGGGGCGCCGCTGCCGTCTGACTCGCGCATCACGGGAATCCTGGACGATAATCTGGACATCCAGGTCCTGAGGACCATGCTGGGCAAGACCACAATCGTCCCGGTGATTAGCAAGGCAGACACGGTCACCACCGCTCATATGGCGTATCTCAAGAAGGCCGTCTGGGACAGTTTGAAAAAGGCCAACATCGATCCTCTGGAGATCCTCACGCTGGAAGAGCAGGAGGATTCCGCGATCGAGAGTGACGAAGACGAATATGACAACAACGACGACGATGAGGGTGACGACAGTGAGGCCGCTGCAGAGAAGGCTGGAGCCGTTACTCCCACGTCAACGTACTCGGATGACGATGTTCCGGAACCCGTCTCCCCCTCGCGTCGCAGCCAGAGCACCCGCAAGTCATCGGGGTCGGTGACAAGTTCGTCGATCATCCCCTTTTCAATCCTCTCGCCCGACCCTCACTCGTTGGCGGCCGGGGACGAACCCGTGGGTCGCAAGTTCCCGTGGGGGTTTGCTGATCCGCACAACCCGGTGCACTGCGACTTTGTCAAGCTCAAGGACTCTGTCTTCAGTGAATGGCGCTCCGAGCTGCGTGAAGCCAGCCGGGTGGTCTGGTACGAGCGGTGGAGAACAAACCGTCTCAACCGCAACGGCCATGCGCCTGCTCAGGCTCCTCCCCAGAAGAAGAAAGCCTACGGGGGACGAAACGGTCCTGTCAAGGATGGCCGTCGGACTCGATAAAGCCATGCTCTGGTTTTTTGTTTCTTTATTTTTTCTTTCCCCCCATTATTACTGTCTCTTTTTCCTACTTCCCTTTTTCTTTCTTCTCATTTCTGATTCACTCACTCCTTACCCAATTGATTCTCTTCCCGCTTCATATGTATGTGCCGCCTGGACTCTGATAAACAGTTCTCTCTCTCTCTCCCTCTCTATCTGTCAACGTCCCTGTAATTACTGATCGGCCTGCATGATGTATTATTTTTCCTCTCGACATTGTACCTTATTTTCCTTCCTCTGCTTTTTTTTTTTGTCTCCGCTTCTCCGGCCCTTGGGTCCTCTTTATACCACTTGATGTCTCCCCCGTTGCGGATTTTCTCATCCAAATAGTTGTTTATTATTGGATGAGACGAATTAATTGTCCGCTTGACTGATCAGTATAATAGTAAATAGTAGATTAGTAGATACCTTGTGTACGTAGTAACTTGATGACCAGTTACCTTAGTAGTGCTAGACGTACAGCTTCTACGTAGCTGCCTAGAGTCACATGAGTGGAATGCGAAAGGGAGCTGAAATCCCCCCTCCACCTTGAGAAACAACAAACTTATTCCCTCACACTGACGAGGGGTGGGCATTGCACCGACACCGACACTGCCACTGGACAGCTTGGATTGCCCGCATGAGGCTGAAGTTTGTGAAAGCGCCGTCTGGACCCGACAACCTGCAGGTAACAGGCCAATGCCGTCTCTTGCACCGTGTCTTGCGTCTGCAAGGCTGTCGTTCTAGGCTTCTAGCCCTGTCAGTTTCGCTTAGCTACAGTGTGGCCCGCGGCTGGTTCAGAGACGACCGTCGCGTTGTGACTTCAAATCCGGCGGCATGATACTATCTAATTGGATATTATTATTATTATTTCCTTAGGTACTCTTTTGACTTGTTGTTTTCCCGGCCCCACTGCCAATAAGAGCCAGATTACCAAGTCACTGTATTATTACTGTACTGTAATTTACAAAACTCCCTTGACTCTGAAAATTATATATTATCTGTCATAACTAATACGAAGGGTTTTATTTCACTTTGGTTGGCTGCAAGCATCCGGGCTTAGCAAGTAGGTACTACCAAGGTACCTACTAGGTAGGTATCTATCTATGGATAATTTATTGCACAACTGTGCAGTGAGACTTTGGTAAGTTCCTTCACGTGATCCAGCATGACATAAATTATAATATAGGCCGCCGCTGTTGCCAAACTCCCGCCCTCCCTTCGTTTACATCGACAGTCTGATGATGGCGTATTCAGACGACCATCTGCTGAGACCGAATCCTGATGCTATTCGCATCAAAAGAGAGATTGCACATTCGGAGGCCTCTTCGATCTTTGAAATTGACCTCCAGGGGCTTAAATGTGTCATGAAGCTTGTGAGTGCGGCGAGCACTCCGTCGAAACATTACTACATAGTACTGACCCGCTTAGTTCCACAACAACGGTGACCCAGGATACACAAAAAAGGGCCGAGACTTGAACCGCTTTCGTTGCGAATTAAACGCATATCGAAACCTTCATAAATATGGCGTATGTGCGCGTGGTTTCGTCCCTCAATTTCATGGCTCTCTCGATCAGATCGATCCGGCCGCGTTTGAACCATTCCTTCGCTGTTTCGCCGCCGATAAATTCAAACCGCAGGCAATATTCATTGAGTATTTGCCGAATCCGGAACCCCTCAACTGTGTCAACTACTCTGATGCTCGATTTGATCTTATTATAAATGGAATCAAAGAAATACATGCTGCCCATGTGAAACACCAAGATGCTTATCCTAAAAACATCCTTATAGTTCCTAGTGATCAAGAAAGAGTTGTCTGGGTTGATTTTGATGTTGCAACAACATTTAAAACCTTTGGGGCTGCTGAAAAACAATCCTGCAAAGATGAATATGAGGTGTTTGCCAGCTTCAGGGACCTCTTAGTAACATCTAACCCTCGATAAAGCAAGTATCTAACAGTCTTATCTATTAGCGACAAGATCAAAAAGAAGGTCTTCCTCCAAACACAAAATATTACTAATTACTATATCTTATCACCACTTACAACAGTGAAACTCCACATTGGAACGAGCGCGCGCGCGCCTTGTTCAACGTTCCAATTCTGATGACTACGCCAGCTGCGACATCCCGATCTTCGAAGAACTTCGAGTTTCGATCCTTATAGATCCGATCACAAGGTCAAGATAGTTGTCCAAAGCAACTTCACGAGCCTCTCTCAATATTGCCCTTGAAGCTCCTTTTTTGCTAACCCGAGTGTCAGCTGCCAAGCAGTGTATTCGTCAACTGCTTCATCAAGGAGGCCGGGAAGGTGGATTCTCAACGCCAGGTCGTGGAGAAATTGTCACAGCTGGAGGAGGGTTGTGACGAAAAGACATTTATATTCAAGGGTTCCAGCTAGAGATTCCTCGTTGGAAGTTCCGCATTGTTTTCCGAGTTGCTGCTTCTCTTCTGCATAGAGCTGTTCTCGAATCTTGGTAATGTTTTCTTTCCGTTTTCTGGATCTATCTACTAGTATGGGGTTGAGTGAGCCTCCTGCTGGCGGAGCTGGCGAATTAATGTCAACGTTCTTGAAAGGTCTTTTTGGTCATTTGTATAAGCTCGAAAGAAGCAGGTTACATGGAAGCTTCCACTCTTGTATTTGTATGGATTGCAAAAACGGAATCTATACGTAATTGAAAACAACGTTACATATCTGGCATTACAGGAAACATTAGTATCAGATCAACTCCTCCTACTCCGTACCTTAGTACATACAGTAACTACCTCCTTAGTTTACCTACCTACCTAGGTACCTATCTACCCTGGTCTGGTCGTTATAAAATGGACGGGCTATCTCTTCTTTTCCATCTACTAACTAATCATCTAGTCTGTCTTAGTTCTCACCACAACAATAACAATACGAAGCGGCTGGGTTTGAGTTCGCGCTGCCCCGCGTTGGCCTTGACGGACGGCATTTATATCTGTGGACGGTATTCTTTTCCTTTCTCTTCTTTCTTTTTCAACCTTTTACCTCTTCTTTCTATTTGTGTCATTATTGACTAGACCTTTGTTGCTGGCAGATAAAACTAAGGTTCATTTACTATGTTGCATGTCCCTGATCCACGGTCGCGTGGCCGGTCCAAGTCGCCCGGTGCCAGGGGTCGCGGTGTGGAGCGGTCCAGGTCGCGCGATGCTCGCTATGAGAGCAGGTACGAGGAGGATGAGCGGTATTACCACTCCGAGGATGATCGATCGAAGTATCAGTCTCATGAGAGAGGAGAGTCGAGATACCGCAACAGACCTGCATATGAGCATGATACGGACAGCGACTCGGCAGATGAGGATCTGGCGTACGGCGAAGCTCCCAGTCACTACCGCCTGTCGTCTTCGCCGGACAAGAAGACGCCGAAATCTTCTTCTCGGCAGCAGGAGTCTGGCAGTCATCCTGCCTACGGGCGACAGCAGCAGTACCAGTACGCCCAGCCAGCGGGGTATCCTCCTCATCCTCCTCCCCCCACGACCTCCGCTTCGTCCGACTGGGCACCGATCCCCGCGTGTGAGATGCCGGGTTTCGTGCCGCCCACGTCGCAGGCTGGTGGCAGTGGAAGCATGCCCGGTGCGTTTCCCGGTTCCGAGCCACAAAGTATTCCCCTGCCTCAGTACGTGAGTGTACCGCAGACGCAGACGCACATGCACACGCAGGCGCATACGCCCACCAGTGCATATCCCCGCGTCCCGTCTTCCAAGGCGTACGCCAACCCGCCCCAATGGCAGTATGCGCAAGTTGACGCCGGGTCTGTCAAGTACAGCAATAAGACAACGATCCCCGCGAACAATCACCCCCCACCACCTCCTCCTCCTCTTGCTCCTCTTGCTCCTGTGCAGCCCGTCAGCAGACCGTATACGATAAGCAGAGAGCCGCAATTCAAGACGGAGCGTGTGGTGCCGGGAAATGGCCGTCCTCATAGCCTTTCCGTATCAATCCCTGGCAGTAACGGCAACGGGAATGGTAACAGCCATGATAGCCATCATCGCAGCCACAGTTTGTCTGTCGGAGGAGGAGGTGCTGGGTTAGGCGCCCGTCCGCCTGCCAGTCCGTTGCTGGAACCGTACAAGGGCACCTACCAGTCGATCTCGCCGATGCCGTCGCCGATCATGGACCCGTCTAAGCTGGATGATGACTTGTCGGACTTGGAACTGTTCGACAGCCGTTCGGACTCGGACCACCGCCGCCGCAGGACGAAGGGTATCGGCGGCGACAAGTCGGACGATGAGCGGCGGCGACTGCGAGACAGGTCGAAGATACGCGACAAATCGGATGATGAGCGACTGCGACTGAGAGATAGATCGAATATACGCGACAAATCGGATGATGAGCGACTGCGACTGCGGGATAGATCGAATATACGCGACAAGTCGGATGATGAGCGACTGCGACTGCGAGATAGATCAAATATACGCGACAAATCGGACGATGAGCGACTACGACTGCGAGATAGATCGAATATACGCGACAAGTCGGATGATGAGCGACTGCGACTGCGAGATAGATCGAATATACGTGACAAATCGAGGACGCGAGACAAGTCCAAGTCGCGCGAGTCGTCGCTGACTCGTAGCAGCAGCACGAGGCAGCAGCACCACGTCCGACACGACTCGGCTGGACAGCCGGCATCGATGATTCTGATCTCCCCGGCGAGTGAGCGCAAGAAGGTGAGCTTTTACGACGCGACGGAGGATGCGCTGGCGCTGGCAGAGGCGCTGCAGGGCACACGGAGCGGGGTGGACACAAAGCCGCTGATCTCCATCCTACCACATCTGACCGATGAGGAGATAATGACGCTGCGCAAAGAATACAAGAACCACGTGAAAGTGCAAGGCAAGGGAGTCAACATCGCCAAGCACATCCGGCTGAAGCTGCCCTCGGGATCCATGGGGAAAGCATGCTACGCGACGGCTCTGGGCCGGTGGGAGTCGGAGGCATTCTGGGCCAACTGCTACTACCAGAGCGGTAGCTCGCGGCGCGAGCTGTTGATCGAGTCGCTGCTGGGCCGTACGAATTCGGAGATCCGCGAGGTCAAGGCTTGCTTCCGCGACTCGCGCTACGGCGATAGTCTCGAGCGCTGCATGAAGACCGAACTCAAGGCCGACAAGTTCCGCACCGCCGTCCTCCTCGCCCTCGAGGAGTCTCGCCAGAGCGAGCGTGCCCCCGTCGATCTCGACCTCGTGCAGCAGGATGTGCATGAGCTGCGTCGCTCGTTGGTTGCCCGCGAGGGCGGCGAGACCGCCATGATCTACATTATCGTCTTGCGCAGCGACTCCCACCTGCGTGAGGTCCTACGCGCCTATGAACGCACCTACCAGCAGAACTTTACCCGGGCGATGCTCTCCAAGTCCAACAATTTGGTGGTACGTATGACTCTTTCTCCTCTTCTCCTCATCGCTTACTCTTCCATTTTCTGTGTCTATGCATTTAGATTCTATGTAAAACTTCTCACCGTTGACTAGGGCGAAACACTCGCACATATCCTCAACGGAGCAATCAACCGACCCATGCGCGACGCCATGTTGCTGAACCAGGCGCTGCATGAGTTGCAGCCGGGCAAGGAGCGCTCGGAGTTGCTCATCTCGCGCCTGGTTCGCCTACACTGGGAGCCCGGGCATTTCGAGCTCGTCAAGCGCGAGTTCCGCAAGCGGTACAACGATCGACTCGAGAACGCCATCGCCGAGGAGATACTCCCGACCAGCGGGGGGAGTGAATGGGGGGAGTTTTGTATCGAGCTGGTGAGGAGTGTGAGGTGATCATCGCCTGAGCACTCCTCGCTTGTGAATACACGTTACCTAATAACTATTTACATGGAATACCGCGCTTGCGGCGAAAGATCATTGGCCGAATTATGATATTCTCTCTTATACAATATCTCCTACATATGTCTGTATTCTATGTAGTCTGCAAGGAGTGAATATCCGACCTGCATCGCGAGCAAGGATAACCCCGATATCTACTCTGGATGTAGGGAGTATTAAATAACAGAACGTAGTATTCTCCGTCCTCGTAGTATTCACAGTATCATTCATACTAGATATTAGTCACTTGCATCAATTATAATCTTCTGACTGTACAATCATAGTCGCACATGATGCTTTGGCCGGTCACCGCATCGACTCGGCTTCCGAAACAGCCTCCTCTTCCTCTCTCTTCCTCCTTTCAACTTTCCCCTGCAGACGACCAACGCTTTCCAGAACTCCCTCCCGGAGGAATTCTTGCGTCTTTCTCTGCTGCTGCTGCCTTGAAGCCTCCTCAGGATGTCGTCCGTGTCACCTTCCGCTTTGGGTGCGCGTCAACAGACGTATCTCGACAACAACAAGAGCACACCCACAATACACAATGCTCTTCTATTCGAAAACAACCGAAACAACTATCCATTCATTTAGCAAGTACCATTAGCTCATTACCCTCGCTCTTTATTCCCCAGGTGCCTCTATTTTCGCTAATACGATCTTCTTCACTACTCCTCCTCCTCCTCCTCCCGTACTGTCAATGCAAGGGGCCACGCTCCGATCACGACTCGTGCTCCTCTATTCGCCCTTAGTTATACTCCGGACCGACGTGCTTGTGCCATCGCCAGGCCATCACGGAACCATGAGGTGACGTGTCAGATGAGCTCTGAGAGATATCGCGGGTTTCGTCGCAATTTCCCCCCCCCCTGTTCTCTCCCTATCATGCGCCTTGTCCGTCTGGATCTCCGACAGCAAACTCTCCTTCTGCTCCCTGGGAGAGGGAGGGGGCTTTTTGGCGAGAACTTCTTCTCCCTTCCGGGCTGCCCTGCGGCATGTGGGTTTTTGGGGGTCCTGCCTGGTATAAAGAATCGGCGCATTCCAGTCGGGAGTAAACAATCAGGGCCTGGATTGTGGTCCTGAGAGCTTGCCTGTCTTTTTTTCTTGTCACTCCTTTGATTTGTTTTTATTCTTCGTATTGACTTTTTTTCCCCATTCTCTTTTGGTTTGGTCCTGGGGTTTGTTTACTTCATGAGCTGTGTATCATCATGAAGCTGGGTTCCTTTTCTATACTGGTGGCCGCGTGGATTGTCTCCTGTGTGCGAGCCTCGACGACCTCGACCTTCTCGCCGGCGCGTCCGCCGGCTATCCCACTGGCGGTCCGGTCTCCCTATCTGAGTACGTGGTTGGATGTAGGCAGTGATGGTGGTGATGGAGGGTATCTCGCGGGCGAGTGGCCGGACTTTTGGTCGTGAGTGATCCTCCCCTTGGGATTGTTTATGCTTTGTGTCTGTTAACAAGTACGGTAGTAATCAAATCACCGGCTGGGCAGGCATGATTCGTGTAGATGGCCAAGTCTACACCTGGATGGGACTGCCAGGGACTACGACGGTCACTCAGCTCGCTTTCGAGTATACTTCCACCCGAAGTGTCTTTATCATGAACGTGGGAGGCATGGTCCAGATGAACATTACGTTCCTGTCGCCTATAACCCCGGATGACATGAAGCGTCAATCTCTTGTCTTTTCCTACCTCCATGTGGACGTTGTCTCGACCGATGGCAATGAACATGATGTCCAGCTGTACGCAGATATCTCGGCTGGTAGGTTGCTCGTCTCACTCTTAACGAATAATGGTATCACATTCTAATTGATTTGTACAGAGTGGGTATCAGGCGATAGGACAGCGGTGGCTCAATGGGATTACGGAGTCACTGATGATGGAGTCGCCTATCATCGGGTCTACCGCCAGACCCAATTGCTGTTCTCTGAAAACACAGACCAAGGCGAATGGGGTTACTGGTACTGGGCCACGGACAACAGGGCGGGCCTGACCTATCAGTCTGGCAGAGATGTCGATGTACGGGGTTCCTTTTCATCCAACGGGTTGTTGGGCAACAGCAAGGACACCAAGTACCGCGCCATATCGAACGACTGGCCAGTGTTCGGCTTCGCCAACGACCTGGGCTCGGTCAACTCCACGACTGCCAGCGCTTTATTTTCCATCGGCCTGACTCAAGACAAGGCTGTTCAGTATGAACGGACCTCGGGAGTCGTGTCTTTGCCATCCTTATGGACGAGTTACTTTTCCACTGAGCTTGACGCCCTGGAATTTTTTCACAACGATTACTCCCACGCCGCCACTTTATCGACAGACTTTGACAGCCGAGTTGAGACCGACTCGCTTGCAGCTGGTGGCCAGGACTACTTGACCATTACCTCGCTGTCCGCGCGGCAGGCCCTTGGCGCCACGCAGCTGTGTGGCACACAGGACGAGTACTACCTGTTCATGAAGGAGATTTCCTCAGACGGCAATGTCAACACAGTCGACGTAATCTTCCCCGCCCATCCGTTCTTTCTGTACGCGAATCCAGAATTCCTTAAGCTTCTGTTAGACCCCCTCTTTGAGATCCAAGAGTCGGGGTTGTACCCCAACACGTGGTCGATGCACGACATTGGAAGCCGTTATCCGAATGCTACGGGGCACAACAATGGCGACGACGAGCCGATGCCGCTGGAAGAATGCGGTGACATGTTGATCATGACCCTGGCGTATGCTCTCAAGGCACAAGACACAAACTTCCTCAAGCAGCATTACACCTTGTTGAAACAGTGGACCTCGTACCTGGTTGCGGATGCCCTGTATCCTTCGAATCAGATCTCGACCGATGACTTTGCTGGGTCACTTGCGTACGCCTTTCGTTCCTTCCTTCCCTCGTTTTCCTTCAAGAGTTCTAACACTAGATAGAAACCAAACAAATCTGGCCCTCAAGGGCATGATTGGCATCGAGGCCATGGCGGTGATTGCCAATCTGACCGGGCACACTGCTGATGCTAAAAACTTCACCAATATTGCACACAACTACATCGCGCAGTGGCAGGTCCTCGGAGTTGCTCATGACGCCAATCCTCCACACAGCACCTTGGCGTACGGGGCCAACGACACGCATGGTGAGTTTTTCTTCTCCTCTCCCGAAAGGAACATGCAATTTGATCGAGACCAACTAAATTCGTAGGCCTCTTGTACAATCTATATGCGGATGCCGAGTTGGGCCTCGACCTGGTTCCACAATCTGTGTACGAGATGCAGAGCAATTTCTACCAAACCGTGCAGCTGACGTACGGCGTTCCGTTGGACACGCGGCACAACTACACCAAGGGTAAAGTTCCTATTTTTTGATCGACCCAAGACTCTTTTCTTTCTGACTCCACACAGGCGATTGGGAAATGTTTACTGCGGCTGTTGCATCAAAGAGTACGCAGCAGATGTTTATCCATGACCTTGCCGTCTGGATCGACCAGACGCCTACGAACCGTGCCATGACCGATCTGTACAATACAGTCGGGGGCAAGTGAGTTTTACCTGGAGTCTCTTTTTCTTTTCTTTTTCTTTTCTTTTGAGAATTGCTAGATCTAACGCTGCCGTCAGTTACCCCGAAGTTACCTTTGTCGCCCGCCCCGTCGTGGGGGGAAGTTTTGCCCTCCTACTGCTCCAGGAGGGACTGTAAGTGCCGGCACATACAGCAAGACGATCCATTCTTATTATTACTATCATACTCTGTTATTGTTAAATCTACTAGTAGATAGTGTATAGACTAGTTGTTCTAAGTATGGCTACTGTAACCAGTAGAGATCGCCGCCCACGTAATGGAATAGTCTATCTACACGTACGCTGTAGGGAGCAGGCAGTAAGCTGTGGAGTACTCCGTGCCTTGTCCCGGAGATCAACGGTTCATGCACTGGACGAACAGGCCCCGCTATTCACAGTCTGAAACCGCAAGGGATGCAGCGCGCTGAGGACGCAGGGATGGTTGGTCGAGGGCCGATCAAGGCGACGATCAGGCAGGAAGCACATTTCGTATAAAGGATCCTTTTTGCCTTTGAAACCACTCTCTTTATTCTCTTTATTCTCTTACTCATACTCTTACTCATACTCTTACTCATACTCTCCTTACTCTATACTCTCCTTTCTAACTATACCCTCGTTATACATTACGCTATAATAATCGTCACTCTCTAATACAAACAAATTTACAAGTCTATACTTTATACTTTATACTCCATACTCCTTTCGTCAAAATGAAGTTCCTCTCTCTTGCTCTCCTCCTCGCTACTGCCAGCGCAACCACCACCTCCCTCTACACCGAAGCAGGAGGCATCTACGTGGACAACGAACCGACCACGGCCGCCGCCGCCGCAGGCAACGCCGCCGCCTCGTCTGTTGCCGTCGCGAACCCGGCGATCGGCGACGCAACGGCCACGCAGTCCGTCGTCATGGCGGGCCAGCCTTCTGGATTCGTTTCCAGCGCGGCTGCCGCGGCCAGCTCTTCGGGGGCGGCGGCGGCGATCTACACGGCTGCCTCCAAGGCTACCGCCTCTTCGTCTTCCTCTTCTAGCTCGGCTTCTGGGTCGGGGAGCGCGGCGAGTGCGTCTTCCACTTCGACGAGTGGAGCGGGGCGTCTTGCTTTGAATGGTGGTGTTTTGATGGCTGTCGGGGTCATGGCTTTCCTTTGAGAAATGGCGGTATTTCATGTGGAGGACATTAGGAAGATACGGAGTAGCAGGATGAAGAAATCTTGGTTATTCCCGCTGGCGGACGCTCGTTAGGGATGAAATTCATTACTAAACTATATACAGTGAGTGTGGCTAGTCTGTACAATGAAATAAATACACTTGATCAAGAACTGAATAGAAAATCATTTCGATGCCAACTCGCGTGCGTACTTCTGTCGATCGCTTGCGTTGAGTGTCACCTGGTCGAATCCCGGGGGGATTGGCTGGCCAGTTCTGTTCAGTTAGAATAAGAAGCATTCAGAGATAAACAACAGATGAAGAGGAAGGAAGTACCTTAAGAATGCAAGAAGCATGTTCCTCGCTTTATCCTTCAACTGCACCTGGTCGCGGCCCTCGAGCTGAGGCCCCCCCTGGCTGGCAGGACACAGGTCGTCCTGCCGCTTGATCCGCGCCCACTGGCAGCCAAACTCGCCGACGAGCTCCATCAGCCGCGATTCCTCCGCGTTGGTCCAGCGTCGACGGGAGCGCACCGGCTGGGACGAGCTTGGGGGCGCCCGCGGCCACGACTTGGTTGACTCGGCCGCCCGCCCTCGCGGTGTGGGCGTTGTGCACTCGGTTGACTCTGCAAGACCGGTTTGTAACTGAGACGATGGGCCGACTGTCGCTTCTCTGTCCTCATTATTGTCGACCCGGCGTCGTTTCTGCGCCCGCTTGCCTGCAACGTCGATCGAGCGGTCGTCTCGTGAGAACCCCTTGGTCTCGGAGTCGTCTTCATCATCATCGTCATCATCATCATCGTCGTCGTCGTCGTCGTCGTCTTCGTCTTCGTCTTCGTCTTCTTCGTCTTCTTCTTCATCTGTCTCTGGCGCTGGTCGTTTCCGTGATGTTGTTGTCTTGGTAGTACTAGACTGGGTCAAGTCCTGGCCGATCGGAGACACGCGATGGGCGTTTTCCTGTCGGTCGATGAACGACCCCTTGACGGCCCCGCGGAGGATCTCCGTCCGGGACCGTTTCGTAGGACGCCCCTTTGTTGCCGGGCTCACAGCCTGCCAGAGCTCCTGGGTCGAGGGGATCCGAGAAGCGCGTTCAGGAGATTCGCTCCACGCGACCGGGCGCTCGTCATCGGACATGGAAACACGCTGTTCTTCGGTGATCGTCTCCTCGTGCTGCTCCTCCCACTGGGAATCGGCAACCGTGAGGTCCTGTTCGGGTGACGCAGGAATCTCGCGGGTGTCGGAGTCTGTGTGTTGCGCCGGAAGAGTCTGCCGACGAGAAGGACTCGCGCTGTGATGACGACCGGCGACATCCTGCGACTGCGACACCGGTTTCGAAATATCGGACTGGCGACGCCTTGCCTCGGGGCCATGGACAGATCGCATCCTCTGGGTCAGGCGTCCGATCGCAGATGAATTCCGAAAGGTTCTAGTGCTGGTTGAAATAAGCTTTACTGTGTAGACACTAAGCGGACTGAAAGGGGGAAAAACAAATACCTTTTGGTGGATGTTTGCATGTCAGCTGAAGGAAGAAGCTTGTGTGATTCTGCCTCTGCATCGTCGTCGTCTTCTTCATGTACCAGAGTCTGGTCGGGAACGGTTTCGGAAATCTCCTCCTCTTCGATTGCCTCGTGGACGAGGGTCTGCTCAAGGCTATGGTCGAGATTCTGCTGCTCGGGGGTGTCCATGGTGTTGAGAAGATCGGAAATGGCAAAGTGCTTGCCGGCACTTCTGGGCCGACTGAGCTGTTTCTCGAGGGACTTGCGCATCTCGCCGGCATCGGGCTGCTGTCCGATTTGTTTCATGATGTGCTCGTCCATACGGCGGATCCAGCGGACCACTTTCAGGGTGAATTGCTGCCAGCTGTACGCGGCTCCCAGGCCACTGAGATTGGCGGCGCCGCCCCCATCGTTGTCGTCGTCGTTTGCATCCTGTAGCATGACGCTGATCACCTCGACGCGTTCCTGGACTGCGTCCTCGAACTCCTGGGGGAGCCGACCGTCTTTGTCCTGGAAGCCCTCGAGGGGGAATCCTCGGAGGGCAGAGCCTGACTCCTTGTCGTAGAACAAGAAGAAGACCTCCTGTAGGATGGCCTGGGGATCGAATCCGGCGGCGGCGTCGTCGTGCTGGCGGGCCTCGAGCCTCATGCGGAGGTGCTGGGTTCGAATGTCCAGCGCGAGATCAAAAGTCGCTTTCCGCAGTCCGTTCTTGCGATCGGCCTGGCCAAACGCACTCACAAAGGGGGCGGGGAAGGTCGTCTCGAGGATCTCGATGGTCTCGCGCGCCGGGGGGGCCCCGTTGCCCGCCAGCAGGGCATCGATGGCAAGCCGCGCACAGTTCGCATGGAAGATGACCGGGTCCGGGGCCCATTTCAGCCCGCCCTCGCGCGAGATGATGGGCAGCAGGCGCCTGACCATGCCGACATCGATGAAGGTCCCCTTGCCAAAGTATGCCGCCTCGTCGGTGAAATGCTTGACGGCTCGCATGAGGAGTCTGCTCTGCGTGCTTGTCACGCTGCGCAGCCGTTTGGCCGTCTCCACGATGCGCGCCGGGTCCGCCGTCGCCGGACACAGATGCTCCAGCACACTGCTCGCCGCCTGTTGCAGGTCCGGCAGCACCTCCGCCATCATGAGAGGGTCAATTTCGTCCGCGTACAGCTCCGAGTCCATCGCCAGCAGTGTTGTCCCGGAGATATTGAACGCATCGTCCGGTGAATCGGGGGAAGAATCGCCCGTTTCCTCGATGACATCTAGTTCTAATGAATTAAAGTCAACAGTTTGTCGCGTCAACCAAAACAACAACAAGAAAAAAGAAAAAAAAAAAAACTCACTCTCCCCCCCCTTCTTCTTCTTCTCCTTCCCGACCATTTCTTTCGTTTCGCCTTCCCCCTGCTTCCCCGTCAAGCCCACCGCGTCCCTTTCCCGACTCTGGCTTCTCGTCACGCGTTTGCGCAACGGAGGCGACGCAGCACCCAGTTTGCTAACCTCGGCGTTTCCCGCCGGGGACGAGAGCGTGGCCGTCGCCATCTTCCAAGTTTTGTTGTTTTTTTTTTTATTTTTTATTTTTTATTTTTCAAAATTTGGCAGGGTTAATACTAGAAAGGCCCCCCTCGGGGGGGTGAACGTGGAAATCCAACGACCTGGAAGAGGGTGGCTGGGCTGGTTTCGCTGAGCTGCGCGCGTCTGAAGGCGGGCGTGGGTGGGGCAAATTCGGATCTCCGATAGGAAGAAGTGTTGATAGTCCGTGATAGTTATGGCTGGTAGGTAATGAGATATCGAGATGATCGTGGAGTGGTTTGGAGATGGTATTGAGAAGGTGCCTGGATAGAAAAAGGAAGAAGTGGTAAAGGAGGCGGGTGGAAAACCCTTTAACCCTAACCCTAACCCTAAACCCTGGACCCCATTCCTAGGGTTTTGCGACGCACCAATCATATTTGTGGATTTTAGGGCTAAGGCGTATGGTTACCTTGTGGAATGCCTGGCTGCCTTAGGGTTCCGTTTGCATAATACAGAGTATACCTTGGTACTTGCTATGCTGAATGGAGTGGTTTATAGTAATATATTACTAATGTATGGTATAGTACAGGTTCATATCACTCCACTTAGTAGGTACCCCCAGGGCACATCAAGCCAGAAATTAGTATATAAGGATGGATCAAGCTCAAGTAGCGGGGGAGCTTGAATAAACTATGCATTACAACATGGGACAGCCGTCGAGCTTAGGGTTCGCTAAATGCTCAGAAGATGGCTTCGATCAAGTAGATGATGCCGAAGATGAGGAAAGCGGTGGCGCCGCCAAGGGTGACTGACAGGTTAGAAGAGTAGAAGAGAAAGAAAGAAGGAAGGGGAAAAAAAAAAAGAAAACATACCAACACGCATGCTGACTCGGCCAGCGATAGCGCGGCCGCCAATGACGGCAGCCGCTGTGCAGATTCCATGGCCACTGATGGCGCCGATGGTGACCCACCAGTAGTCCTGGCCGGCGGCCATGGCGATGGTGGCGATCTGGCTACGGTCGCCCCATTCGCCGAGGAAAGTCATGACAAAGGTTTGGACCCAGGCCGGGCTGAGGAGCAGGGAGAACAGGTTGTTCATGCCGATCAGGGCGTCGTTGAGGCGGCCGCGGGCGGTGGGCGAGGATCCGCGCGAGGGGGAGGAGGAGGAGGAGGAGGAGGACGAGAGGCTCTCCGGAGGCGAGGGGAGACGGTTGGTCGACGAGCGGGACTTGCGGCGGCCGGCGCGGCCGGCTTCCAGGTTGTGCGGCGTGACGGAGGAGCGGCGCCGGTTCATGCGCATCTGCTGCTGCTCTTTCTCCTCGAGTTCCATCTCCACCTCCTTCATCTCCTCGCCGACACCCTCGTCGGGGGACATCTCGCGGCCCTCCTTGACCATGCGGACGCCGAAGACCAGGAACAGGACGGCCGCCAGGAACTTGGTGAACTGCTTGGGGATCAGGGTCGGGACGGCGTGGCCGAGCACGGCAGAGAGCACGGTCATGGTGATGAGGGCGCAGAACGCGGACGAGAAGACCACCAGACGCGGGTGCCGCATGGCCATCAGGGCGGCCACGAGGAAGGTCTTGTCCCCGATCTCGGAGACGATGATCATGGTGAAAGAGAAGACGAGCGAGTGGAATGAGCTACCCACAGTGCCGTCTGCCTCGCCCGGCAGCTCTGCACTCTTCGACGACGCCGAATCCTTCATCCCAAGCGGGTCACTATTCACCGAGCCAGGTGCTTTGGGGGGGGCGATATCGTGAGGTTTCTCCGGTAGATCGTTCGGTTTCTAGAATGCCACTGTCAGTTTTATTGAAAAAGTCAAGGATGTCCATCAAAGTTGGAAAAAAAAAAAGGAATACCTCAAGCAAGCCATCGGCAGCCTTCAATTCCTTGGCCGCAGCTATGCCGTCCTCTGTCGTTGGGATCTTCTGCTGCTCGCTATGCGGCAGTGGAGGCGCCTCCTTGGGGCCATCTGGTGTCTTCTCCGTTGAGGCAATGCCATCCTTGAGCTTGCCCGACACCCCGCCTTCTGTGCCCCGAGTGCCTTCCTTGGGCCCCAACCGGTACGGATCGTCCATGACACCATCGTTGGAATGAGGGATCGGCTTGCCATCCGAGCCGAGATGGTCCAGCGACGTCACGGTGCTCTCGAACTTGTCGTGTCCGTCAGGACTGGCCTCCATGACCTTCTTGCGATCTCGGTCTGCGTTCGTCTCCACCCAGGGCCCGGCGTGCGGCTTGCCATCCTTGTCGTCGACGGGGGCGTCCAGCGTCCCTCTCGGCAGGGCCTTGGGGGATGCCAACCCAGAGGGACCCGATGGTAGGATTGTTGGCTTGGTGTCTGTGGATTTGTGCTGGACGGGGGTCGGACTGACGACCGTGAGGGCGAGGGTAGGAACGAGGAACAGCACGGTAGACAGATGATGGATCCTCATCTTGATGAAATCGCGTGGCTCGCGAGGAATAATAATACTGAAGCCTTTGTACTCGTAACGCCACGACAGATCAACCACGGGGGTTTCAAGCAAGAAACCTGGAGGTGAACAATGCAAGATGAGTAAAGAACGTAAATTCGAAAGAAGAATCAAGAAGAAGAAGAAGAAGAGGAAGAAGAAGAGAAGAAAAGAATCCGACAAGGTCCCAAAGCAGAGTCAGACAAGACACGAGGAGTTCTTTTCGCCGCAAAGGGGCATTTCGTGCCAGCCACTGGCAGAGTCACGTGTTGCTCCACCAGGATTCAGACAGACAGAGAGAGACAGAGAGACAGAGAGACAGAGAGACAGAGAGACAGAGAGACAGAGAGAGAGAGACAGAGAGAGAGATAGAGATAGAGAGACAGAGATCAAGTAAATATCTGGAATTACTTCTTATGAACAGCTATCCTGTATCAAAGCCTGTTGTCCTGTCAGTGTCTATATCTTGCAGCCAGTGAGAATGGCCGTAATTGTTGTCTGCTCTATTTTTAGACATTTCAATACTAGAGAATATAGATATAGCTATTATATAGAATGGCTGTTTATAGTATTCATTTCTATCTGATTGAAGAATGGAACAGAAGACACTCATAGAAAGATTCTGGCTACTGAATAAGGAGGATCCTTACGGCCTTGTCTGCCTCAGGCCTGTCTGCCTCAGGCCACAAGGCTAAAGTCACTGGTATATTCACTTGTCAGTCCAGCACCTTCACTTTGTATCTGACAGCAGAATCACTGTTTTGATGGCCAATATGGCTGCAATGATGGAATCTCTTCGTGGAGGGAACTCGCACTACGATTACTGACATCACCACCTTACTTGACTCTACCTGCCAGGATCCCAGGATGCAAATGATCCCGTACGCCCTGGGCTCCCACCCCCGGAGCCCCCTCCGGATCGACCTGGAGACGCTCCAGCAGCAGCAGGAACAGCGCCGCCAGTTCGCCGTCCAGAGCGAGGCCTCGCGCGACATACCGATCCGGTACAGCGTGTACTTTGGCGGGATCACCCTGGTGCGGCCGCAGCTGCGCCATCGTCGCTTCGAGACGACCGTCTCCGAGCAGGTGTTCAGGGGGAAGGGGAAGGGGAAGGGTGCGGGAGGTGAGCGGCCGTCGCAGCTGAAACGTGTGTTTCTGCGCAGGTTTGCCGGCAGCACTTGCTCGGAGGAGATGGGGACGTTCCGGGCGCTCGTCTCGCTTGCCGTCCGCTTCGAGCAGACCATCCTCGACTCGCTGGAGAGGAAGACCTGTCCGATCTGCTGCGAGAGACTGGCTCGGTTTCTCGTCCATCGACCCCTGTGTGCCGTCAGAAATGGATTCGTCGATCTTGCCGATTCGGAGGACATCCAGAAGCTGATGGCAGCCATCTCGTCGGACACGGCGGACACGGCGGGGGGAAATGTCGAAGGAAACTGGAGGGATGGCGAAAAAGCGTTCGTGTGTGAGCTGGCGGTACCGATTTGCGAACCGGAAGGCGAATGTCACCGGATCGTGGCGCGAAACGTCGAGAGGTATCTCGCTGGCATCCGGCAGGCCTCGAGGGAGCCTTCTCTTTCCGAAGGCGATACTGTTCGACTGTCGCAGTGCAGTAGTACTCCCGCCATCTACGATGAGATCTACGATGAAAGGCAGACAGAGAAGGAAACGAATTCTACCATCACAAACCTAGCTACCATCGGGGTGACGGCGTTTATTGGACGCCCCCTGCTACGACTGAGCACCCCGATCCCCCGCGGCCAGCTGAGCTGTCTGGTGCTGTCGTCGCAGTGGCCCAGATCCATGCTGCCGACGACAGACAAGAGCGAGGCCACCAAGGCGATCGACTACTGCCGGATCAGCGCCGCGCACGAGGAGACCATCCTCTCTGCTGGTGACTACCGGTGCGCCGTGTGTCCCGGACGCGTCACGGCACGCAGCCTGGTCCATCGACCGATCTCGTACGCCCGCCCGACGGCCGCGACGGACGCCGCGGACGGCCGGCGCAGCGCCCTCAAGAACATGGCCATGTACCTCTTCCAGCATGTCGAGGGCCGGTGGACGTACCGCGAGCGGTGCCAGGCGCTGGGCGTCCAGCATGACGCGCAGATCTTCGATTTCATCGTCCCCGTCTGCGAGACGGGCGGGGTGTGCGAGGACGTCGCACGCACTTCTGCCCGCGAGTTCATCAAGCTTCTCCTCCTCCTCCCTGGGACTGCTGATCTGGGACTTGTGTTTTCGGGGCTGAATCCTGATACCGATTTGGCTGATAATAGTATCGAGGGTTTGACGACCACAAAGCCGGACTGCGAGAATGTCCATCTCCAAACCCTCGTCAGTAAAATCGGACCCCGAGGATTCATGTCGGACGGGATCGAGATTGTCGAAGACCCGCACAGCCCCGTCTTGACGATCAGCAAACTGCGCGTGCAGCAAGAAGCAGCGAAGAGAGAATATCTCAAGAGTATCGAGAAACACACCGGCGACCGTCATGTTCCCAGCGATATGGTTTGGATTTTCGAGCGGAGCACTACTACTACTGCTACTGCTATTACTTCTACTGCTACTGCAGCTACTGCAGCAAGCACTGCTAATCGTGGATCTACCTCTACCTCCTCATCTTTGTCTTCCTCCCGATCGAGACAGTCACAGTCACAGAGCGAGACGCTCCGCCATACCATCGCACGACAGCTGCTCTTCCCCCCGCTTTTGAGCATGGAGTTTCTGCTTGTCGGGGAGGCTGTCCATCTCCGAGAGGCGTTGAGGCGTTGAGAGGGGGGACTGATTAACAGTTATTCTTTGTATACGAATCTACATACTAGTTAACTATAACACTAGGTAGTTATGTAGTACCTGGGTACTCTGCACGTTGACATCATCTAGCATTAGTATAGGTAGTTATTTCTTGCCTAGGTAATTATGATGACGGTATACAAGAAAAGACGTACCACCTGACATACGCATGAGACACGAGGAGACACCATGAGGGCTATACACGTGCAGGATTATTGCGTCTGATGCGTCTGATGCGTCTGATGCGTCGATCGGCGAGAGAATCGAGGATTATTGAGGTCTAAGTGGGTGGTGAGGGGCATACCACTGTTGTATAGAAACTCAGATATCAACTAGGATGAGTCCATAACATACTGATAGGTGGGAAAGTTGTACAGTATACTCACTAGTTATTAGTTACAGTAACAATATTGATTATATTATTATTCTACTGGTAAAGCATATAATAATATGCTTCATACCGTGTGTGGAGAGTAGAGTAGTGCCTAATACCTAGCTAATACCTAGTCAGTACCTAATTAACTAGTGGATTAGGTCGAAAGAAGGTATTACTAGGATACTGAGAGCAATATAAGATGATTTTTATATCAATAGTAGAATACTACTTGTCAGTAATAGAGTATTCTCTATATCAGTAATAGAATACTACTTGTCTCAGTAATAGAATACTGACTCTATTATTTACTGTAATATTGTAATATTGACTCTTATCAATCCCGTGAATTGACCAGGTCTACCTTAGCTCCATCTCCATCCCAGCTGCTTGTCGATCCTTTGTTCTAGTGGCTTCATCTCTTCATCTCTTCGACTCTCTTATTTATTCCCTCCTCCTCCCTCCCAACATGTTCTCTGGCGTCTTTTCCCCATCGCTCTCCCCGTAGCGTGCGTTCTTTCTCCTCCCCTTGCGTCGCTCCAGACCGACCGGAGCTGTCTGTCACACATTCCACGGCGATTTCCCACGGCGGCGCGGGATTTCCTATTTATTTATTTGTTTGACAGCAGGTATGGAACATGGAACGATCTCAAGAAGACACACCCCTCCTCACACAGTCTGTCATGGCGAATCTAATGTGTTGTAAGGCGAGACAGAAAGCTCCTCCCGGGCGGACAGAGCTCGGTTGCGTCCCCAAGGCTCTGATCCCAGTCATGTCGAGCACGACGGAAATCGGGGACACCGGTTCTTCCCAGACCCCGGCCAGGGTGCGATGGAGGATGTTTAAGAGATCGTCCAAGGAGGAGGAACAGGAGGAACAGGAGGAACAGGGCTATCGGGCTCGGTCGACGATGGGTATCCTCAGCGACCCTCATACGGACGAGGTGCCGGGTAAGAGATGACCTATTACTGGAACTGGAGACAAGACTGATAGTCCAGGCACCGTTCTCCTTCTGTCGTTGAATCGAAATGAACCTCTCGGTCTCCGCCATCAGCCTCAGCGAATGTCGGCCTCCTCCCTCCCCTCGCCCTACCCGCCCTCTCGCTCCTCCTCACGCACCCCAGCCCCCCCCCCGTCCAAGAAGACCGCCGACGGCCAGATCGTGCTGAACCCTCAGCCCGACGACTCGGTCAACGATCCGCTCAACTGGCCCATGTGGCGCCGCGATGCCGCCCTCGTCTCGCTGGGCTTCTACTGCCTCATGGGCGGCGGCATGACCCCCGTCCTCGCCGCCGGCTTCGACCAGGTCGCCGCCGCCTACAACGTCAACACCCAGATGGTCGCCTACACCACCGGCCTGTATATGACCGGGCTCGGGCTGGGTTCCGTCATCATGTCCCCGACCGCCATCCTCTACGGCAAACGGCCCGTCTACCTGCTCGGCGCCACCTTGTTCATCCTCTCCGCCGTCTGGTGTGCCCTGTCGCCCAACTACCCCAGCCTCGTCCTCGCCCGCATCTTCATGGGCATCGCCGTCAGCCCCGTCGAGTGTCTGCCCTCCGCCACCATCGCAGAGATCTTCTTCCTGCACGAACGTGCCTATCGCGTCGGCATCTATACCCTCTTGCTGCTGGGCGGTAAGAATCTGATCCCCTTGGTCAGTGCTGCCATCATCGGCAGCTTGGGTTGGCGTTGGGTTTTTTGGTCAGTCTTCTTTCAACAGTCTTCTCGCCCTCTTTTTTTGCTAACAATCTCAGGATTGTCGCCATGGTAGTTGGGGGCGCTGTAGCTCTTTTGTTCTTCTTTGTGCCCGAGACCTTCTGGGACCGAACACCACGCCCACGTACCCGTCACAAACGTCCTCATCTGGCTCGTAGCGTGTCGGATATCGTGCACCATCCCTTTTCCCGAGGACGCCACCATACCCGTCCCCATGAGGCGCACTCTACCGACGATCCCGCCGCCGTGACGCCCAGACGTCACAGAGATGTTCACGTCGGCTTCGTCGATGGAGATGAAGACTTGAGCCAGGAGAAGCGTGAGGCTGCTGACACCCTAGGCCCTCTTGCCCCCGAGCACCACCTGCACTCCGATCATGATTTTCAAGACGTAAAGGAAGAGACATTCGACACCCTCAACGGAAATCATGACATTCCCATGCCTTCTCCTCCTCCTGCTGCTGCCTTGCCATCACCGTTGGAGGAGAGTCATCATGACCTCGAGGCCAACCGGCAAGCTGCCCTCTCTCCCGCACGTAGCGAATCGGTTGAGCCGGGCGCCGGCCCCCTGACCGCAGCGGCGGTCTATACCAACAAGCTGCGTGACCGGCCGCGGGTGCCGTATCTGCAGACTCTGAATCCGTGGAACGGCCGGATCAAGCGCGACAAGTGGCTGCACGTCGCGCTGCGCCCCTTCATCCTGTTCGCGTACCCGTCTGTGCTGTGGTCGACGGTGGTATACTCGCTCTCGATCGGCTGGCTGATCGTTCTGTCCGAGTCCGTCTCGTACGTATACGAGAACGCGGACCGGTACGGCTTCACCGCGCTGCAGACCGGGCTCGTCTATATCTCCCCCTTTGTCGGCGGGCTGCTCGGAACCGCCGTGGCGGGCAAGGTCTCCGACATCATCGTGAAATTCATGACCCGCCGCAACGGGGGCATCTATGAGCCCGAGTTCCGTCTCGTCATGGCCATCCCCATCGCCCTGTCCACCACCATCGGCCTGATGGCCTTTGGCTGGAGCGCCCAGATCTCCGACTCCTGGATCGTCCCCACCGTCTTCTTCGGCCTCATCTCCTTCGGCTGCTCCCTCGGCAGCACCACCGCCATCACCTTCTGCGTCGACAGCTACCGCCAGTACGCGGGCGAGGCTCTGGTCACCCTGAACTTTAGCAAGAGTATGCTCCCATCCTTTCACTCCTCCTCTTCTTCTTCTTCTTCTTCTTTTTTTTTTTCCATCTCCGTACTAACGAATAGACATCTTCCACGGGCTGATCTTCTCGCTGTTCATGGTCGATTGGCTTGACGCCGAGGGTTCGCGAACCGTCTACCTCGCGCTCGGCGGTATCCAGCTCGGCTGTCTGCTTTTCACCATCCCAATGTACATATATGGCAAGCGGGCTCGCATGTGGACTGTCCGGAAACGACTGATGGAGAAGTTTTGATGCTATTTTGGTGACCTTTCCATCGGGTTGGGGTTTTTTGTGTTTTTGTTTGGTGTGAGATCTGTCAGTCGAATTGAAAGATCAGCACACATAGACCATTTGCAGTATTCTTTTTTTGGAATTTGGAATCGATTCTTCACTGTTCCTTGGTACGGAGTACAGATCAAGAGTGTCAAGCCCAGTGGAACTGGCCGGCTATTAGATAAAAAAAAAGCAAAGAGATGACTCAGCTCACCACCGACAGAATAAGATGATGATTCGCGAGTCCTTGCCGATCGCATTGGACAATGATTCTGCAAGCGCCTCTGATTCAGAGATGATGACTGTGCAGTTTGGAGTCATCGAGCACGATGAAGTCATGGGAGTGACCTCGCCACAACACGACACACAACGGTGTCGACTTGTCAAGAGACACAACCTTTGAACCTACTACAAGGGCATTGTCCTGCTTTTGACAAGCAAATCGAACAAGCCCTGAAACGCGTGGCGGGTCCATGGCATGCAGACGCCTCCCCCTTGCCCGGGTCAGATCCCCCGGCTGCAACATCTCTCACTGGCTGGCATGGCATCGCGAAGCCGGGCTGTGGAGCGCAGAAATCCGGTTCCAGCGGTACTTGGTGGAGATGAAGATCCCAGTCAATGGCGTTTGCCTGCCAATGCTGGATGAGCCTGAGTGTTCATCCCCCCCTCCTCCCTTCTTCCATGGCTGATCGCCCCGCTGGTCAATAGCTGGTGAGCAACTGTGCGTGAAGCCCTGTAGTTTCCAGATCTTCTGGGAAGAAAAAAAAATTAAGATTCCAGTTTTTCCAAATGTCCAGTTTCGACAGACCAAGCTAACTCTTTGTTTCATTGGAACAGCAATGCTGAATCGCATGTTGGACTGTCCTGCGCTCTATGGATACTTTCTCTAAACCAGATGGAGGAGGAGTGATAGCAGGGGAGGGAGCTACAACTACAGCTACAGCTACAGCTACAGCTCTAGCTACAACTACAGCTACAGGGATAGGAAGCCATACTGAGGATCGCAGGGCGCGCGAGCTCTATCGCTACTTCCAACCGGCCAACCCTGCAGCGTTGACCGCGAGCAGACTCCCAGCAGTTGACGATGTCGGCGATCTGATTTCCTCCGCGGCGGCAGCCTCCATCCTCGATGTCGCCATTACGACTTCTGTCCCCATCGCGGTGGGCGAGGCTGGCTCGAACTCCGATCCCTTGATCAGTCCGAATCTGGCCCTGACTTCGTTTGCGCAGCTGGCGACCTTGCGCTTGAATACCAAGCGGGCGCTGATCAGGTAACTCACTTTTGATGAATATAGTCATTGTGTGAATGCGGTGCTGACGATTCAGTTTGATCGGCCGCGAAGCTCAGTTCATACTTGCAGAGGCGACTCGCAGCCTCGACATTAGCAACACAACGCGATACGAGAGGGAAGGAGATGGGCTCTGGGCGGGGTGCTCCACGGTTACGCAGGCCTGGAGCGTATGCCAGGTAAGTTGCTAGTTGAATGCTCAGGGGGGGGGGATGGGAAGGGGCATTGCTAAGAAGCTTTGCCTTCAGGACACCGTCCAGCTGCACGCGAGTCAGGATTCCTCGCAGCGTGAGCTCCTCATCGTCGACGATCTGAGCCAGGACGAGCGGTACAAGCGCCTGCCGTTCGTGCAGGAGGACCCCCATTTCCGATTCTATGCGGGGACGCCTCTGACGACCGAAAATAACATCAACATCGGCTGTCTGTTCGTGCTGGATACGGATCCGCGGGCCGGCCTGACCCAGGTCGAGAGGGACACCCTCGGCGCCCTGGCGCGGATGGTCATGGACTTCCTCCGCGTCAGCCGGCAGGCGTCCGAGGGCCGCCGGGCAGCGCGGCTCTCGCGCGGGCTCAGCTGTTTCGTCGAGGGCAGCTCGAGCTTCGTCGACAGCGTGCACTCCTCCGGCCAGTCGTCCAGCGTGTGCAGCTCCGGCGGGCCGCGGTTCTCGTCCACGTCGCCGTCGAACAACGTGCGGTCCAGTGTCTCGGGGGCCTCGCGCAACAGCAGCCTTGACGTCCGCTCCGGCCAGTCGCAGAGCGGCGGCGATGACCGCTCCGTCATCTCGAACCAACCTGGTGGCGACACCGGCACCTCTGCTGACCTGACCACCCCGTTGCCCGAATGGTGGGCGGGCAACAACCAGCACCACCCTAACAATAAGGGCATCCCGACGCACGACTCGCACAGCAACTCTTGGGCGTTCCGCCGCGCGGCGAACCTGCTGCGCGAGTCGCTCGAGTTGGACAGCGATGGGGGTGTCATCTTCCTCGAGGCTAGCAACAGCCCCCTGTCCGATGCTGAGGCCGCCAGCCCAGCCCCGGTGCTGGCCATCTCCACCAACGATGAACCTTTCGCCTCGCAAGCCGGCGGCTCGATTGCCTCGTGTCCTGCAGCGAGCCTGGACCGGGCATTTTTGAACCAGTTGCTGCGGCGGTACCCCAAGGGCAAGCTCTGGTCCTTCCACCGCGACGGGACCGTCTCCACGTCTGACGAGGATGAACCGGGCCGCAATAGAGACGAGAGCAGCAAGAGCGTGAGGAGGAACAACAAGAAATGGCGCGCCTCGGAGAGCAAGCTGTTCAACACGCTGTTCCCCTCTGCCAACCAGGTGCTCTTCGTGCCGCTGTGGAACGCCGCCAGCTCGCAGTGGTACGCCGGATGTTTCTGTTGGACGACTCTCGAGACGCACGTCTTCAGCTCCGCCGTCGAGCTGAGCTCCGTGCTGGGCTTCGGCACCTCGATCATGGCCGAGTGCAGCCGCGTCGAGTCGCTCATCGCCGACCGGCAGAAGGGCGACTTCATCGGCAGCGTCTCGCACGAGCTGCGCAGCCCGCTGCACGGTATCCTGGCCGCCGTCGAGTTTCTCGACGGCACCAGCCTCAACGAGTTCCAGGAATCGCTGCTCGAAACCATCAACGCGTGCGGCCGCACCCTGCTCGACACCATGAACCAGGTGTTGGACTTCAGCAAGATCATGTCGCTCGAGCGCTCCTGGCGCCAACACAAGAAAAACAAAGACGGCTCCTCTTCCTCCTCCTCCTCTTCCTCCTTCTCTTCCTCCCTCGAGATGAAAACAGCCGACAAGCTCTCTGCCGCCCACCTCGACACCTTTGTCTCAACGGACGTTTCCGTCCTAGCAGAGGAGGTCATCGAGGGGGTCTGCCTGGGTCACTCGTTTGGCCAGAAATCCCACGCCGCGGTCGACCAGCCTGTCCTGCTCTCCCCGTCGCCTTCCTCTGGAGGCGACGACAACGTCGAGACCCTAAACGGCGTGGATGTCATTGTCGACATCGCCCCCGGGGATTGGGTGTACAAGATCCAGCCGGGCGCGCTGCGACGCATCATCATGAACGTGTTTGGTAACGCGATGAAGTACACGGACAAAGGCCGTATCTCGGTCCGGCTGGAGGCAGTCGAGAGGTCCGAGGGCCGGTCGCGCCGCCAGGGACTAGAGGACCTGATCACCCTGACCATCTCCGACACGGGCAAGGGGATCTCGGAGGAGTTCCTGCGCGGACGTATCTACACCCCTTTTGCACAGGAGGACACGCTGGCCGTGGGCACGGGGCTCGGTCTGTCCATCGTGCGCAGCATCGTCAAGGCTCTCGATGGCAGTATCAACATCTACAGCCGGCCCGGTGAGGGAACCATTGTCAAGGTCTCCCTTCCACTGCTGCGGCCGGTCGGGGAGGAGAGCCCACACTCGACACCCTCGCCATCGGAAGCTCCCCTGGCTTCGCCGCAACAGCAGCAGCAGAGGAAGCAGCAGCAGCAGCAGCAGCAGCAGCCTTCGTTGCCAAAAGAGATGGCAATCCCGACGCACCAGCTACGTGAAGGGTTCGTCGGCAAACGCGCCGCCATTCTTGGCGTCGATCCATCGAATATGGACGCGGACTCGCTCTGGCCTGTGATCGCGCAGTACTTGACCCAATGGTACGGGCTGGAACTCGTTTCGCCATCATCGCAGATCCCCATCGATATCCTGATTGCAGAGGAGCGTGACCTGACCGCCAAGGCCAAGGAGGTGCTGGCAACCACAGCCGTGACGGCAGCGTCCCTGCCCGCATTGCTCATCCTCTGTAACAAGCCCATCGACTACAGTGCTGCACGCTCGTGCTGGGCCTGTCTCGCCCAGACGGTCGACATCATCCGCCGGCCCTGCGGCCCCCACAAGCTGGCCCGCAGCATCCTCAAGTGTCTCCGGGGCTCGGGCGTGACCCCGTCCTTTGCCCTGTCGAGTATCGAGCCTCCCGCAGCCCCAGAAGGAGAAGAAAAAGCCTTGAAGCTCCCCGAACGGTCTCGGCTGGGCGTCCAGCCTCCCGCCGCGTGCGACCAGTCACCGTCCTCGGAGGAGCAGGAGCTGCTACTGCTTTCCACCGAGGGGGCAAGACTAACTACCACGACCACGACGACCACCACCGTCACCACAAGCTCGAATGTCTCCGAAGCAATCCGCTCGGCATCCGAGTGTACTGCCTCGACGAAGCCGTCGTCGGTCTCATCGCAACCACCACCCGACGTAGGCGCTGCTCCCATGGGCTTGGCTCCTTCAGGCACCCGCGCGGCGCGCATCCTAGTCGTGGACGACAACTCGATCAACCTCAACTTGATGCTGACGTTTATGAAGAAGCGCAGTCTGGCGGCGCTGGACTCTGCCGAGAACGGCAAGCTGGCCGTCGATGCGGTGGAACGGGCCGAGCAGGACTACGACATGATTTTTATGGGTACTCCTTTTCCTCCTTCTATATATAACTATTATTTCTAATCTCTGTCATAGACATGTCGATGCCTGTGATGAACGGCTTCGAAGCCACTCGCGCAATCCGTGCCCTTGAAAAAGAGCGCCATGGCTGCGGGTCAGCCATCATCATCGCGCTCACGGGGCTCAGCAGCTCGCGCGACGAGTCCGAGGCGCTGGCCTCGGGCGTGGACCTGTTTCTCACCAAGCCTGTCTCCTTTAAGGAGGTGTCACGGCTGATTGATGAATGGGAGAGCAGCCACTGAACCACAACTTTTACTAACTTCGCTATACTTACTCACCGATAACTATACTCGGGCAACGATACTCCGCTCGATCTCGACTCATCAATGAGTCCTTCCCAGCATATAACTACAACCATACTCACGTTTTTGTTATGGCATAAGCTTGTCTTTATAGTGATACCATCTCCGTCTCGGGATTTTTTGCGTCTTGCATCCTTCAAACCCCCCCCGTCAAGGCTCGAAAACACGAGCAGCCATGGCGTGCAACATACACAGAGAAAGAAAATAGTAACCAGGCTTTTGCATCAGGTAATTCGTAGTTAGGGTCTGTATTGTACAGAAAAACTAATGCGTCACTAATGTGATGCATATATAGGTACCATATAGGCAGTATAGACCCGGTCAATACCTCTCAATCAACCAAAGTCTACGCTCCGAGTCAGGCATGGCAAGCAACATCTCCCTCTCCGTCCTCTTGGTGGCGATGTAATCCTGCACAAACTCCTTGCCGAGGAGGGTGTGCAGGTCGACGTCAGCCTGCAGGGCCGCGAGACTTGCCTGCAAGGTATTTGGGAGGGGGGTAGTGATGCCGTATTTCTCGCGATCAACCGATGAGTCGCCTATTACATGTTGAAAAATGTATAGATCAATATTGGTTGAGTGTAGGGTACGTACCTTGACAATCTTGAATGGTTAATGGTAAACTGTGTTTCAAGCCCAAGTATCCGGCAGCGAGGAGTGCAGCAAGCGCCAAATACATATTCGCCAGCCCGTCGACGGTCTTGACCTCCCAGTGGGCAGGGGAGATCTTGCGCAGGGGCGTCTCGCGGTTCTGGGTCCCCCATGCGACCCATTCGCCGCCAGCCCAGATCCCGGCCTGGACGCGCGCGTAGCTTTCCTCCTGGGAGAGGGTGAAGGCCATCACGGAGGGGAGGTGGGCGAGGAGACCTGCGAGGAAGGATTGTTCAGTAGCGGTGGAGATGGAGGAAGAAAGCGTCATGTCGGGCGTTGTCTTCGAGATGGAGATATGCGTGTGGGCCGCTGTTCCGGCCGCAGAGGTATAAGGGCGCGGATGGAGTGTTGCGCGCAGACCATGCTGCTCGGCGACGTGGACGATCGCCGCGCGGGCACGGAGGAGGGTGTCGATGGCCTGTAATGGGGATGAAGGGGGGAGGACGAACTCGAACTGGCCTGGGGAAGACTCGGCGTGGAACTGTTGCAGCTCGATGTCGAGCGAGGCGAGGGTGTCTGCGATCTCTTCCAGAAGGGGCACCAACGGGCGTGTTTCCCGCGTCATCTGCGACCAGGAATGGTTCGTCGCGGCGGGAACGTACACGTTGTAGACACTGTCGAAGCGCATCAGGACGACCTCGATCTCGCACCCGCAGAGCACGTCGAGCCCATGCTCCGTCTGGAGGAGGCGTGTTATCCGCTGCAGCGTCGTGCGCGGGCACCCCTCGAGCGGCACGCCGTCCTCTCCACGCCAAAAGGTCATCACCGTGGCGCTGGCGGACGGGTGACGACCACCACCAGCAGCAGCCACTGGACCAAAGGCCAGATTCGGCGCCAGGGTCGCCAGGTCGGGCTGCAGGTAGAACTGCCCCGCGCAGGAGCTCCCCGGGGCGACGGCGTCCGTTTGGATCATGCGTAGATTGGCGCGGGCAATGCCCAGGCGGCGCTGCTGGTGGGCGAGGCGAAGGAATTCGCGGACAGGGAACATGCGCACGCGGGTGGTGGCTGTGTAGTCTAGCCATTGGACCCAGACAAACTTGACATTCAATTTAGCCAGTTTAGCCAGCCAAGGCACTCCAGATGTAGCAGATGTAGTATCAGATGTGGCGACCATGTTAGCTGTGATGGCCGTCGACCCGGCCATCACCGGATCAGGGCTCAAGTTGAGCCCGTACAGTCGGTTCGAGTTGTGAAAGAGGATATCGGCGGCCGCGGTCATCGCCTGTAGCAGGGACAGGTCCTCCCTGCGCACATACTCGGTCAGCACCTCGTCGAGGACGAGGCGGAACTGGCGGTTTGCCAGCCAAAACGTCTCCGGGAAGTAATGGCCATCGGTGCTCCAGAGCAAGCGGGACGTGGGGACGATCTCGAGACTCTCGCGGAGGATGGCCTGCTGCGCATCCCGGCTGACCATGGGGAACACCTCGCCCAGGTCGAGATAGACGTTGTCGTACACGCAGGCAAGGTACCCTGCCTCCCGTGTGTACGGGTAGGCCGAATGCAGCAGGACAAAGGCGACCTCCGGATACCGGGCGATGACGGGCTGGAGATGCGCCGGGTTGGAGGTGAGGAGGTTGATATCAGCATCGCCCAGGCCGGTGTGTAGCTGGACCGGTTTGGGGGTCTCTTCTTCATGCTGCAGCCGGTGCTGTTTCAACAGGTCGAGGGTGCGCAGTAGGATCCAGTCGTTGAGCGATTTATCCTCCACACGACACGTCCCCGTCATCGACGCCGTCCTGACGAACGCTTCCATCACGCTCGCCTCGTCTGGGTTCCCGACATCCAGGCCCGTCCGGTAGCAGATCACCGATTTGAAGCCCACCACCGCCGCGTCCGCGATTGCCCCTTGGATGGCGTCGGCGAAGCTCTTTGCAAAGCTCGAAAAGGCGTCTTCTTTCTCCTCTCTTGTGAAATTGCTGCCGGTTTTCATCTCATCGATAATTCCCCCCGCTAGAACCTCGATCCGCACAATTCGCTTCGTTTGTGACGGCGTGAACCGATCGTGCCAGGTGTACTCCTGCACATGTCCGGGCAGCAGATCATCGAGTAAAAGCACCTGCGTGCCATGCAGACACCGCCGAACGAGCTCTTCATAGCCTGCTTCGGTCTTGACGCACTCTGCCCGCGCCGCGAGCAGCTTCTCCCAGCGATCTTCTGCCCTGTGGTCTCCTTGGACGACGTCAGGGCACCCGTAGAGACCGGCGAGATCGTTAATCGCGCGGAGGAGAGGCAGCGACCGGTGGGCATTGTGCAGGGCTGGCCCCTGGGCTTCGGAGGTGATCTGTTCGAAGGGATAGGAGGCGTAGTCTGTTGCGTGGGAGTGGGAGAGAATGGCGTGGGCGTGGTTGTCGATGAGGGGGTGGGTGTGGATGAGGTGGGAGAGAGACATTTTTATGGGAAAAGTGAAGACGGAGACGAAGATGAAGACGAAGAATTATTTGCGAAAAATGAACCGGGTGAATTATTCTATTTATAATTACACTTTATGCAATAAAGTACTCTGGTCACACTGCAGATCGACCATTGCTGATGGTGCAGTAATCTAGGCTATCTTACAGACAGACGCAGTAGATAGTAACTAATGGCCTTGGCTCCACAGATAACATGTCTGTCTATACCTATCTGTTGATCTATGCTTATTCTCATGCTATTTATGAGCTCGTGCCTGCTCGCTCTGCAAGACAGTAGGCAGCTCCTCCACCAGCGAGTGCCGCGACGGCGTCCACCCAAGCAGCTTGCGAGCGCGCAGCGCCCGCCCGCGCGAGTTGAGCCCCCAGGTGAGTGCCTCGTTCCCGGCAAAGCTTTTGGCCTCCTCGATGGAGATCTCCTCGGCCGTCGGTTGGTCGAGGTAGCCCAGCTTGACGGCGGCTTGCGCCAGCTGGTGCGCCAGCGTGCCCCAGGCATGCTCGCCGTTCTCGGTGAGATAGTAAGCCTTGCTACCCCACAGACCTTCGTCCGAGCGGCCGGCCAGCGCCGCCTCCACGAGGAGAATCCACAGGTCGCTCAGGTCGTACAGGTGGATGTTGTTCCAGATTGCTTTGCCTGCCCCGATGATGGGGGCCTTGTTGAGAAGCAGCGTCATCTGCGCCAACGAGTATACTTGTCGTCCCCGTTGCGAGAGAGGGCCACGGCCGCGTCCTATTTCTAGTCAGCTTGAAGGGTTGAACCAAAAATGAAAGAAGAAAGAGGGAATGGAAATTACCGTAGATGGTCGGCGGGCACACCAGCGCCGTCCGGACCGCCCCTCCAGTCTTTTCCTGCGTGGCGAGGACGATCTCATCAACGTTGCGGTGGAAGGCATGCGCCGGCAGGTTCACTAGCTCCTCAACCCCGTCCCAGTCATCATAGATCTTGTCGCCCGCTTCACCAAACACGCCCTTGTCCAAGTCCGCGAAAATGAGGACGCCTGTCCCGCCCGTGTGTAGCCAGTAGCCAGGGTTCTCCTTCGTGTGGGTACGGGCCAGGCCGGCGGCAATCGCGTGCGCACCGGGGACGTTGTCGGAGGCATCGCCGCAGTCTGTCCTTATTAGCTTGACTTGACTCGACCTTTGATCTTGACTATGAACTAGATATCAATAGTAGCAGATGCCAGGTCTCTTACGGACGACAATATCCGCAGCAGCGCTCTCCCGCTCAACCACATCCGTGTCTTCGAGGCTGCCGAGCACAACCTTCACGGCCGGGTACTGCTTGCGCACCTCTTCAGCGTTTGCCGGGCTGCGGATAAGCACGACGAACTCGAAGCTGGGAAATTTGTTCGTTAGGGCGTACAGCGCGTCGCCGCCGACGTACCCGGAGACACCGGTGCTGTCTAGTTAGCTCTCATTCGAAGGAGCTGACGTGGACACGGACACGAGACGTACATGAAGATCTTGGTCATGATGTTTGGGGTATTTTTCTCTCTCTTTCTCTCTTTCTTTCTTTCTTTCGGGATAAGAAATCCAGCAGAAGAGGCAGCCTTAGTAGTCTCGCTCAATCCTTGAGCTTGCTTTAATTTATAAAGCCGAATAACATCAAATGGATCGCCGATCGCGTGCGGAGGCTATCCGCTATCGAGAATCCCCTCACGATAGTGGGATGTGTGATATTTGTAAGCAGTGAGGTGGGGGGGGGGGAGCCGCGGAATTAACAGGATCCTGGTGATATGATGAAAAAAAACAACCACCCCCCCCCCCATCATCCCCCGCTCATCACTCGGCGACCCCTCCATTGCAACACGGCGCGCCAACCAGGCACCTCGACCATGCCCTTACAGCGGTCGCGTTCCTCCCACACCTCTTGGACGACGGTCCAGAGGGTGCGGATGCTGCCGATGCAGTACCGTGCGACGCCGACCCACCAGGCACGCCAGAGTGGACGCTCGTCAGGCTCAGCCTCGCAGGCGGCGATGAAGCCCGGCCAGACGATGGGCGCCATGGTGTTCCATTGGCGGCTGGCGTGAGGGGTCGCCTTGAGCTTCTCGGCGGCGACCAGGTTGGCGACGCAGGTGTCCTTGTACGCTCGTAGCCGCTGTGGGGAGCACGGGCGGATCAGCGTGTGGAAGTAGATGGCGACCGAGGCGTGGAAGGCGACGACGTGCCGGATAACGAGGGCGTTTGTCTCGTAGTCGTCCTTGGGCACCGAGGCGAGCGGCTCTTGCGCGACAGTCCAGTTGGTGATGGCATCCTCGAGGACTGTGCAGGCGCGGCGGAGACCGTCGGGCATTTTATTAATCTTATTGTCATTATCATCATCATAATTGAAATTGTTGTTGCTGTCGTTCTTGTTGTTCTGCATGTAGAAAGCAATATGTTGGGCAAACCGTATGGTGAGATGTAGGTAGCTGGCCAAGGTGGTGGTGGTGCCATAGGTGAACTCAAGGCTGTGATGGCTAGGCTGGAAGGGAGTCGATTGCAGAAGAGACTCAATAGTGATGGGGCCCTGGTGCGGCCAGGTCCAAGGTTTCGGGGGCAGATGAGGATCAGTGGAGCGGGCCAGCGTGCCCATAAAGGAACAGATGCCCATCAACTGCTCGTGCTCCGATGAAGGGACAGCGACGTTGAGCATAAAGGACCGCAGGCGCTCACAGCCGTCGAGATGGATCCAGAATTCGGTCATGCTGCCCTCCATGATCTGTTTGAAAAGAAGTGTGTGAGTGAGTATCATGCTTGCAGGGAAAGGAAAAAAAAAGAAGAAAAGAAGAAAAAAAAGGTAAAATCATAAAGGATCACAAGAACGTACATCGATGGAGGCCATGGAGAGCATGGCAGACATGGTGGTGTATACATCCTGCATGTTCTCCTCGGCACATGGCAGAGCCTTTTGCAGGCTCTCGATGGCCCGGACACGGTGCACCCGGCCAAGTTTTTCGTAATATGGCACGGTGCCGGCACTCTGACGATGAAGATGAAAGGCCGAGACGGCGAGGAGAGCATGGAAGAGCGCGGTGGCCCCCGACTCGGGACTACCCTGGACACCGACGAGCTGGCCAGCGGAACTGGCGATCGCCCGGGAGAAGTAGATGGAACGATACGGGTTTAACGAGTGGCTGGCTGGCTGCAGCAGGTCGGCCACCACGTGGATATAGTTGTGTAACAGCTGTGAAACCTCGCGATTCATGGAGAGCGAGCCAGCGAGCTGCGGTGGCATCACCATGTCACGGTTCACGATGAGGGGGCCTGTTTTCTTATCGTTGCTGCTGCTGTTGTTGTTGTTGTTAAAATTGTCGTCGATTTCCATTCTCTGAATCTCTCCAGAAGCATTATCATCATCCTCATCACAACACTCCTCGCCATCATCGTCTGCCTCCTCTATCTCTTCGATAGGAAACGCAGAGAAGGCGCCTGCAGCCCCGGCGCCCACCAGCAGGACCTGGCGGTCCAGCTCCGTCAGCATCGCCTCGAGCTCGACGGTGGTGCATCGCACGGGCAGCCGGGGATCAGAGACAACCATGGCCTTGCGCTTGACAGTACACGGCCTCTCGGTACCCTCCTCGATCCAATAGAGGTCTACATTGTAGCCCTCGCAGGCGTCACCGCAGCGCTGGCACCGGGGCCGCCTGTTATCGCACTTGACCTTTCGACGGCGGCATGTCCAGCATCTACAACCGTCAGCAGGAATACCATCATTGTATATTTCATCCTCAAGGATTGCCTTACCCGGTAAACGTCTTGGTTTTGACGAGCTTCGCAGGGCGTCTGGGCGGCATGGCGATGGGCAGCCGTCAGCGAGAGTTCCCACGGGGGGGGGGGGGAAACCGTGTGTCTGGAGATGGAGTCAGGTCAGTTACGTAATACTCGTGATGCCGTGTCCTGAGTCTGACCAGTGGAACAGTAGTGATTACTCTGCAAAGTAATTATTAAGTTAACTGGGACCTAAACAATATGTAAGACAGCTAGAGAATCAACGACAGTAGTCAAATAAGTCACCCCCTTTCTCTATCGCACGGCGAGTCAGACGCAGTAAAAGATTCCAAATCACAGACTAATTTGTTGTATCAAGGCGAGGCTGCCAATGAGGTCACTTAGTAAGATTGTACGGAGTGTGTATTGAATACGGATCAAGACGTATCAATACGAGTCGCCGTATAGCCATGAACTAGGTATAAAGTCACAGTGATACCCGCTAGGTAGACTTGTAAGATCAAGTCTATCAGTATCTATCAGAATATATAATTGATCTGAGGACAGACCTGCAGATATTAATCTACTATATGATTCAAGATGCTCGACATGGGCTAGATAACTTAAGCCCTGGTACGAACTCTGTTCTGGCTGAAGACATACTACCAAGGGTACTTGGAGGTACCTTCTTGTAGAATTAATCTGAATATCATATGATACAGTGACATTTTTATATCATAGGTAGAGACATTCGTTCTGGCCTTGCTGCATGACTACCTCTATCAAACGCCGGCCGGGATCTCAATGACCGATCCTACGTATATAAAGTTCCATCTGTCTTCTCGCCTTCTATTATCTTTCTCATCATAATCAGAACCGTCATCAATTCTTATTTTATCATCTGATATTATCTGACAATGCCTCTTACCGGAAGTTGCATGTGCGGTGCCATCACCTACTCTGCCGAGGGTATGAATGTCTACTGAACTCCCCCTCCTCTACCTAAATATTGTGGCTAATCATATTCAGCGGACGAGTACATTTCTGCCCTCTGTCACTGCACAGATTGCCAAAAGGCAAGAGACCAGAGAATCCCATCATCAATATTAAATAGTATTTTACTGACAAGTTCTGATAGTGGACTGGCGGCGCCTTCACCTCCAACGCGGTGGTTCCCCGCTCCAGCTTCCAAGTGAGGGGTAAGCAAGATACCCATGTCGTACCTGTGATCAGAATGGTCTCAAATAAAACTAACCAACTACTACTAATAGGCAACCCCGCCACGTATGATGCTGTCGGCGCCTCCGGAAAGATCAACAAGCACTTCTTCTGCCCTACGTGTGGTTCGAGTCTCTACACCGAACTGGAGGTCATGGCGGACATGGTTTGCATCAAGGCCGGAACTTTGGATAACGGCAAGGCCTCTCTGGATGGGAAAGTCGATGTCGAGTTCTACGTCAAGGACCGTGTGCAGTATTTGGGTGGGTGCGAGGGGGCGAAGCAGGAGCCTAGATTTGGTTAAGAGTGAATGAGAAGGTAATTAAGAACTTGAAGTACTATATGAAGATATGTAGTATAATGAATGAATACACCCTAGGTTGAAATCTAACTCGTACTTCGTAGATGGTCAAAGAACAAAAGCTAATAATTACTTGAGAATGATTCCCAAAGAACCCGCGTCAGTCGAACCACGCTCTGAACCCAGCGTCGGGGATTCGGGATCGGCGTCTGAACAGATTCCTACCGTACAGAAAATTAACCATTATCGTGACCATTGCCTGAATCAACGTTTTCTTATTCCATGAGGTGAGTCTAGGATAAGGACACCAGTTAGTACAGGTACTGATCGACGTAGTTTAAAGCCAGTCTCGAGGGTACTCAACGGCAATCACCATCCTGCAGTCGCAATAGGTGCCTGTGAAAGCTCTGGTGGGGAACCAGGTGTCAGTCGAAGCTTGTATTAATCTTATCCTGATCTTGAGGATTCGAGTCAATCCGTATGGAATATTGTAGAGGTAGAGAGAGAGCAGCAGCAGTAGTAGAGTGTCACTGTCGGCAGTTGTCAGCGAGTTGCGGAGGTAAAAGATAAAGCCGAGCTGAATTACGTAATGCCCTGGTAGACCCTGACGGACAACTGCCGAAGTCTAGCATAAACTAAGAGTCAATGACAGGAAGACTTGTCTACGGAGGAAACTATACAGTGTTAATGATACGACGGAGTGATTTACCTCTATCGTTAGCTGTGGATCTATCAGATTGTCGTCTTGACCATAGATCTCGAGTATATTAGGATCAGAACTACCTGTTACAGGCAATCAGATTGAGTGTACACTAGTTAACACTACTGACTAGCTACTGCTCCTATGTACCTTAGGTAGCTACTAGGTACCAAGAGTCTAATAGATACCTGGTAACTGTAGTCACTAATAGTAAATACTTCCTTAAGTACCTAGTCAACAGTAGGATCTGATTACTGTAAGTTTCTAGTAAGAATCCCTCCGATAACACTCTGTACCGTACCAAACGGCAGCTCTCAGCGAGCTCCACCCCATAGATAAGTCTCTCGCCCTCCTCTCCTCTCGATTCTTTCTTTTTCCCTTCGGTCTTCTTCTAACGGTCTCAACCTCGTTCTTTTCCTTCTATCTTGATCCATTGCATCTTTCTCCATGAAGTGGCTTCCTGTGTTCGCGGCGCTGGCCCAGGCGAGCGCCCTCAACGTCGGCCCGGACTATGCCCATCCTCTCGAGGGTACGTACTGTATATTTCCGTACGAGTCTGTATGGAAACGGTAACTTTGTTGACTGACTTCCTGCTGTTTTAGACCTCGACAAGGACCTCCCCTTTTCCCAGCCGGTGACTTTTGCTCACCTCGAGTGGCAGCGCTGTCTGGCTGCTTCGCATGATACGGTGAGTGAAGCACTGTGGAATTGAAGAGAGAAGAAAGTATTCAAGTAGTACTAACTAAGAAATCTAGCCCCTCGATATCGCCATTCTGGGTTTCCCCTACGACACCAGCACGTCGTACCGTCCTGGCGCCCGGTTTGGACCCCGGGGCATCCGGGCGGGCTCGTCGCGGGAGAAGAAGGGCCGCAGCTACAACACGGTCTGGGGCGTGGATCCGTTCGAGCAAGGGCTGAGCATCGTCGACTGCGGCGATATCCCGCTGACCCCCTTTGACGCCGCCCACGCCTTCAAGCAGATGGAACAGGGGTACCGCCAGGTGCTGTACCACGAGACCAACAAGACGACGGGCTGGGAGCACCCGCGCATCATTAGCCTGGGTGGCGATCATTCCATCGTCCTGCCCATCCTGCGCTCGCTCAAGACCGTCTACGGGCCCATCTCCGTCATCCATCTCGACTCCCACCTCGACACCTGGGATCCCTACGAGGGGTACACGGGCATCGCCTCCGAGCAGTCGGCCATCACTCACGGCACCTTCTTCTGGCACGCCTCGCGCGAGGGTTGCATCAACAAGGGCGCCAGTGTCCACGGCGGTCTACGCACCAAACTCTTCGGTCCCAAGGATTACGAGATTGATGAGAAGGTCGTCGGTTTCCACCGCATCGAGGCCCACGAGATCGATGAGATCGGTATGGAGGGAATCATCAAGCGGACCCTTGACGTTGTCGGTGATAACCCAGTCTACCTGTCTATCGATATTGACGGTACCCCCCCCCCCTTCCCTCCCCCTAGAAAACTGTATATTCACGAAATGAAGTACTAATGATTTTAGTGCTGGATCCTAGTATCGCCCCCGCTACTGGCACCCCCGAGTCGGGCGGCTGGACCACCCGCGAGCTGAAGAGGTACATCAAGGGTCTCGAGAAGCTGAACCTCGTCGGCGCCGACGTCGTCGAGGTCAGCCCGCCGTACGACTCGGCGGCCGAGACGACCTCGGTGGCCGCCGCGGATCTCATCATTGACATTCTGGCTGCCATGGCGAAGAACCGGGACGGTCTTCCCAAGAAGGACGGCGAGGCCAAGGATGAACTGTGAGGACCTGTGATATGATGTGATATATGAATTGTGTATAATGAAGATGAATGAGAAAGATGAATCAGAATGAGATATGTCGTACTTTGGTATCTTACTAGTAGTTATACTTCCTGTAGCAGATAAGATAGGCAAAACATTGCAGGTGAGGGGTAGTATTTCTACTATTTATACTGGTCTTTTCATTCTTCAACCTACACGTTTCTACATTCTCATTTCTCTTTCCATAGTCATGTATACCCTGCCGTTCAAGGTATGACCCTTTACTTTGAAGTTTTTGTCTTTACTAATAGAATCAGCTCGACGATCCCTCCCTCCTGCACTTCGACTCGTTTGTCGACGACCAGTGGGTAACGGCGAAAAATGGCCAACGATTCGAGGTGGTAGGTAAGTCGGATATTTATTTGAAGCTTCCATTCAATATCCTGTCATAACCTTTATATTCAGACCCCGGCACGGATACCCCCTGGGCAAGCTGCCCTGCGAACACGGCCGAAGACGTCCCGCCCGCCGTGGAGGCCGCCCACGCCGCGTTCGAGACGTACAAGAGGTCGAACCCGCGGCAGAGAGCGATGTGGTTGATGAAATGGGACACGCTGATCCGGGCGGCGCGAGCAGACCTGGCGCAGATCATCACGCATGAGACGGGCAAGCCGCTGGCCGAGGCGTACGGCGAGATCGACTATGCGACGGGCTTCACCTGGTGGTTCGCGGGCGAAGCGGAACGCATCCACGGCACCGTCGCCGTGGCAGCAGCCCCGAACCGGCGCGTGTTCACGATCAAGCAGCCTGTCGGGGTTGCCGCGGCGCTGGTGCCGTGGAATTTCCCCGTGGCGATGGTTCTGCGCAAGGCCGCGGCCGCCCTGGCGGCGGGGTGCACGATGATCGTCAAGCCCAGCCCGGAGACGCCCGTGTCCAGTCTTGTCCTGGCCCATCTGGCGCAGAAGGCGGGATTTCCCCGCGGGGTGTTGTCGGTGCTGACGACCGATCTGGCGAACACGCCCGCCCTGAGCGAGGCCCTGTGTAAACACCCGCTCGTCAAGAAGGTGACGTTCACGGGCTCGACGCGCGTGGGGAAACTCATCGCCTCCCACTGTGCCCAGGGCTTGAAGAAGCTCACCCTCGAGCTGGGCGGGAACTGTCCCTTTCTCGTCTTTGACGACGCGGATCTCCACCAGGCCCTCGACGCCCTGATGGCCCTCAAATGGCGCCATGCGGGGCAGGCCTGTATTACTGCCAACCGCGTCTACGTCCAGGCGGCCGTGTACGAGCGTTTCGCTACTCTCCTCGCCGAACGCACCGCGAAACTCGTCGTCGGCCACGGCGCTGACCCCTCCACCACCATGGGACCCCTGACTACCCCGCGTGGCATTGACAAGGCGATTGAACAAATTGCTGATGCGCAGCGGCTGGGTGCAAAGGTGATCATGGGCGGTCACGCCTTGGATACAAACAGCAACACACCTCCTACTACTAAAGGATACTTTTTTGCTCCTACCATTCTCACAGGAATGACGGCCGACATGCTCATCTCGCGCGAGGAGTCCTTTGCCCCCATAGCGGCCTTGTATAGCTTTGATAGTGAGGAGGAAGGGGTGCGGCTGGCCAACGACACCAGCATGGGACTCGCCAGCTACGTCTTCACCAAGAACATCGATCGGATGTGGCGCTTGTTGGAGAATCTAGAGGCCGGGATGATTGGGATGAACTCAGGTATTCTTCCTTTCCACCTAGTCATTCAGTTAGACATATATATCGAAGGATTGCTAATTCATAGGCAATTCGTCTGCTGCCGAATCCCCCTTTGGAGGAATCAAGGAGTCGGGATATGGCAAGGAGAGTGGCAAGGAGGTCGCGGTCAACGAGTATCTCATCACCAAGACGGGCACGTTGACCATCGAGGGACAGTATTAGGACAGTTCAGTAAGTAATAGTTGTGCATTCTATGCTTTATGGTCTACAATTACTAACTGTCCTACAGAACTATACACATCTACTCTGACACATCATTAGAATAAAAGAATAGAGAATAAGAATAAGAATAAGAATAAGATAAGAAACTCGGGTGATGATCTTCATCTGGCATACCTATGACGGTGGTGGTGTTGCCATGGAACGAGGAATGCACTCAGACAAACACCGAGATAGAACAAAATATGGAATCCTCTATGATTAATTACCTACATATTGTCTATGATTCGACTACTATGAACAGAGATAATCTTCAACCATGAAGAATGACAGTATGGCCATCCGTCCTCTGCTGGCTCTCGGCTTCATCTTCTGCATCTCTCTGCCCATCGTCTTTTCGCTGGTCCAGTCACAGCAAGTGCAAGCGAAAAAGTACGTCCTTCTCTCTCTCTCTCTCTAGACTCTCTCTATGTGCTTTCTGACAGTTACAGGTTCTGCTGGTTTGACAACTGCAATCAACACCAGAACCAAAAGCAGAACACAACAGAGTAAGTAACCCGACGAGAAGAAGAAGAGGAAGGAGAGGAAGCAGAATTCTAACTGGAAAGACAAAAACTAAGACGTATCGCCTACTACGAGAGCTGGGCCTCCCGACGACCCTGCAGTGCATTTCACCCCTTCCAAGTCAATGCGGACGAGTACACGCACATCAACTTTGCGTTTGCCCTTGTTGATGAAGAGGGGCGAGTCAACCTCTCCTCACCCAACGATACAGATCTGTACAACGAGCTGAAACACCTGAGGGAGCAACAGACCAGCAAGACCTCGCCGCAGCTCTGGATCGTCGTCGGTGGGTTCGGGGTCTCGTCTGTCCCGTTCTCGAAGATGGCGAGCGCGAACGCTTCCCGGGCTGCGTTCGTGGACTCTGCGCTCCAGTTCGTGGAGAAGTACGACTTTGACGGCCTGGATCTCGACTGGGAGTATCCCGGTGCGAAGGATAAGGGGGGCAACGATGCCGACAAAGCGGACCTCGTCTTACTCTTGGAAGAAATGAAGCCCCGGTTCGAGCAGAAGGGGAAGGGGTTAAGTCTGACGGTGCCTGGATCGGAATGTAAGCCATACTTACCCTTTTTTTTTTTCTATTTTCTTTCATGACGATTCTAATTGTCAGATTATATGACCGGCTTCGATCTCAAGGGAATAGAACCACACATCGACTGGATAAACGTGATGAGTTACGATCTGCATGGACCGTGGGATGCGCCTCCTGTCTTACGACCACACACAAACTTGACCGGTACGTTGATAGAATAAAAATTCTTCTCTTCTATACTCTCATTTGCTAATGATTAGAAATCAACACATCCATCCAGACAATCAAGAAGGCCGTCCCCGCTGAGAAAATCAACCTCGGCCTCGCGTACTACGGGCACACCTTCGTCCTGTCGAATTCGTCCTGCACAACACCCGGATGTCCATCCTCCGGAGCTGGGAAGAAGGGCAACTGTTCCCTTGAGGCGGGCACATTAATCAATTCCGAGATCGAGGATCTTCTCTCGACACATCATGTGAAAATCACTTTCGACCATGACGACGCTGTCAAGTACTTTGTTCTCGATGATGAGTGGTGAGTTTATCTTACATGCCAACAACTAAGTATCTATTTAACAAACTACCTACAGGATGACGTATGATGATAACGAAACCATCGGGTTGAAGGAAGAGTACGCCGTCCAACAGGGGCTAGGCACCTTCATCTGGGCGGTGGACATGGGTAGACCTTGAGGTACGAGGCTGATAGACGTTTGGGATACTGGTTTCATGTTCATATCTATTATTAACTAGTTCCGTACATCATATTAACATATCTTTATGCAAAGAAAAACAGGGAAAAAAGCTAGGGGGGTATCAAGTATTCAGTATGGTTCAACGCTTCTTTAGGCGAGTCAACGCTTCCTTCGCCACTGCTTCGCGGCAATCTTCTCTCTCTCGCAGTTCGCCAACGCCTTCAGTTGTCGTTCCGTCCCACAGAGTCGTACTGGACCACGTCCGCGCTGGGGAAACTGCTCCGGCGTATAATGCCTCCACACCCGTTCCGCCATCTCGACCAGGAGAAAAGTTATGGGCAGCAGGACGAACAGACACAGCGCGACGATCTCCGGGCCGTGATTGTCAATGAGATGAGATAGATCCGTGAAGAAGTCTGTCTCAGCATCGACTGCCCTGGGGAGCCCTGTGCTTGTTGTTGTGCGTTTTAGAAAGCGTCCGTATCGAGAGCCATGAAGATCCAGGCTCCGTTCTCTGCTCGTTCTCGCTGTATCGCTCTCCGCAGTGCCAGTTGCCGCATCTGTCTGCACCGGCGAACTTGGGGTAAAGGCCTCTTCACTCATCCGCAACAGCTTGAGCGTGTTGATCGGCCGTTCCTCGTCGGCAATCTCCACACGAGACGCTTCATTTTCGCTCTGTGTCGGAACGCTATCGAATTGCCAGTGCTCATTCGCCCCTTTCACCACCGCCCCATGCCAGATAGGAGCAGACGAGGACCCAGCCGGAGTCGTCAGGGCATATTGCTGCGGGCTTCCAAGGCGAACAGGCACCGCCCGAACGTGCGAGAGGAGTAAGACTCCTACCAGTAGCGAGAAGAAGCCGCCTCTCATCATGAAAAAACTGCTCGCTTGACCGACAGAATAGTAGACTGGCAGACACTCAGTACAGCTGGCTGACTCAATATAAGGATTGGCTTTGTACCTGTGTCACCGGACGGGTGCCTGCTCTGAGCCCAGGTGGTACAGGTTCGCGTCCAGCACGCACCAAACACTGTCCATAGAGAGATTGAACTATCGCAGAGGTAGACAGGAAGGAAGAAGGAAGCTCCAGGGCAGCTGGAGGCCTCACAATTAATTAAAGGGTACCAGGGCGGGGGGGGGGGATCCGTCCGGCTTCAAGGCCGTCCCGTGTCCCTCGTCTGGGCTCGCCTTCCGGATCGGGCACGGGGTTGATGCATCCTCGCAGCCGTATCCAGTTCCTGTTGCGTTCGTGTGCCCGTGGCCGGTGTCGGCCTGTCATTGGTCCGTCTGGACCCTGATCCCGGGAAGCCGCATGTCACGTGTTCACTCTTTGTGATTAGTAAGATATTAGTAATTACTCCGTACTCCCGGTAATCCGTATTTCCACCGGTATTTATATTAGGCAACTACTCCGTCCAGGAAACAATATATGGAGCTCGAAGACAAACTGCTAATTCTTCTACCCACTTAGAACAATATCTTTCATCAACCCTGTGAATCCCTCGCCAATGCGTGCCAGCGGAGCTTCAATGCCGATACTCGTCCACACAAGCAGCGTGCCGTCGTCCCCCAGCCGGGCGAGGAACTCCATGGTCGAGACGGTGCCGTTGCTCGGGCTGGAGACGCCCAGGAAGGTCTGGTTGCCGCGGCCGATCAGCTGCACGTCGGTCCAGGTGTTGAGCGGCAGGCTGTAGTTGAGCGAGTAAGGATTCCCGCCGGTGACCAGAGTTACGTTGCTAATGGTGCCGTTGCCGTTGAGCAGGGCGGAGTCGGGCCCGCTGAAGAGGGTGCCGGGGGTTGTCGATGTCGGCTTCACGGAGAAAGACAGGGTGTAGTTGCGGCCCTTGCTGCCCAGGGGGGTTTCCACATAACAGCCGTCGGCCAGGTTGAGGACCGAGTTGGTGACGGTGCAGCCGTGCAGGAGGCCATCGTACCCGTTGCCAGATTCGTCTTTGACGACGTCTGTTTTGCCGCTGCTGAACTGATAGCTCAGGATCGTGTCTTTGGACTCGCTTGCAATCCAGCGGTCGAGGTTCTGGCCCGGGATCACGGCGTGGAGAGTCTCAAAGATGGAGTCGTACTCATCCTCCAGCAGGTTGCCGCCCCATTGCTTGTCTCCGAGGGCGGGGAGCACGTCTCGCCACCCGTAATACGCGTTGAGCACGGCTGAAGAGTTGGGGCCATAGTCGTTCCACGTGGCGGCAACGTGGCCCAGCACAAACGGATTGTCCCGAGGAGGGTTGTTCGTCGCGTTGCTTGTGTCGAAGATATTGGGGGCATACGGGCCTCCGTCCGGCGCGCCGTAGAAGACACGGGTCTTGTTCAAGATCTGCGGATAGCTGCCGGACCAGCCGTCTACGATATAAAACGCATCGTCTGAGTTGAGCACCTCGTACCCGTTCATGATATAATCCCAGTAAGGGTTATCCTCGAAGAACTCCCAGTGTTGGATGGAAACCTCGGTCGAGACGTTTGCCCCTTCTTCCGGGGTAAAAGTGCCCCAGATGCGCATGTTCTTCCCAGACTCGGTACGGATATAGTCATTCATCTCGTTAACCAGCATCGTATAGTCGTCCACCAGACCGCTCTCATACTCGTCGGCGCCAATGTGCACCGTCTTGCTGTGAAACCAGGGCAGGAAGGTCTCCCAGATTGTCTTCACCGTTGGGATGGTCTCCGGGTAAGAGATGTTGAGCATGCTCAGATCCGCAAGCCCCAGCTCCGGCTTCCACTGCACAATCACCAGTGCATGGCCTGGCGATTCGATCTCCGGCAGGATGGTAACGCCGCGGCTCGCACACTGGCGCTGCATGTCGTCGAACTCACTCAGCGTGTAGGATTCGTTGGGCCGTCTGTTCAGACCCGCCACCGCCGGATTGTCGGACCACGGCCGGAACGCGGCATATAGCGAGAGAGACTCTTCCCTCGTGTACAGGTCGACGTTGTTGTCGATATTGTCGCTCAGGTGCAGATGGAACAGGTTCTGTTTGAAGAAGGACAGGTACGAGCACATCTCAACAATGAATCCGGGAGGGTAATAGTGACGGCCGACGTCCAGCTAAATATATCAGCCCTATCTTTTTCCTTTATTAAGAAAAAAAGGAATAAAGAAGAAAGAAAGTCGAGGTGTCCTACCATAACTCCACGAGTCCCCCAGCCAGGTGCATCAACACCAGAGCCCACCGGCAGCGTGGTGTCTCCCAACACCGCCATCTGGATCAACGATCGGGTCCCCCACCAAGCCCCGAGCGGACTCGCCCCGTAGATGATGATACCATCATCGTTGATCTCCAACTCGTACCCCTCGGAAGTCCACCGGCCCGCCGCGTCGTGAAACCCAGTACTGTTGCGCACCGTGATGAAGATCGAGTCCGCAGAGGGCATAATGTTGTACCCGAGCGGCAGGTCGACCCCCAACGAAGAGAACAGATCCCCCTGGAACGTGCGGGAAAACTGGTCCAGCGTGGGCGGGATCAGGGTCTCCCCGTCTGCGTCGACGTCGTGGGCATACCGCGTGTCGACGATGATTTCCTTCAATTGCGAGAGAGGGTATTCGCCTCCGGTCTCCTCGAAGGGGATGGTAGGCACGCCCACCAGACGGGCAGATACTATGCAGTCAATACTATTGACTACAGCGTACTCTATATACAGCCCACATACCTAAATCCAACCCCAACAGAACAAGACCGAAGATATAAAGCCGCATCGTGTCCGGACTTGAGTTACACTACCATTTGATATTCGGCTGGAATTGAAGTACAAAGCCCTATTTATGAATAGCTGAAATCTGTCTACATGTAACGGTGACTGCAGTAATACTACTGCTGCTGCTGCTACTATAACTAGTATACTATAAGCTTAGGGTTTAAGTGCAACTCTTAAGCATGAATGATACTCCCCTTGCTGACTCGCTCACAGACACGGTTACAATCTCAATCAGACTCAAGATTAGAAGTATGTATGGAGTAAGGGTCTTGTTTAGGCGGGGGTGTCCACTTTGACGCGTCATGAAGTGAGAGGAGATAGATAGGCGAAGACGGAGCTGATCATAGCCATTTTGGTATACTTGTAGACAGTAGGCGAGTCTTTCAGTATTACAATGAATAATGCTATTAAGCGACGATTTCTACGGATTAGCAGAATGTGTTTTATCTGTCAGAATAAGGGAGTGATAATAGTCAACCGACTACAGAATGTATAGCTTCGAAACTCATCCTCCGTCATCCTCTGTATGATCTCATATTTCAATACTGTTATAGGCTACCCCGCACGCTGGCATAGATATCATCAGGTATATCAAGCCATTGCAATAGATGTTGCATTGCCGATGTAACGTCTACTCAATGTGATGGTACTGCAAGCATGGCCTGAGTATTAATATAGGCTACCTGATAGCTCAACTTCAAGGGAAGAACGAGAGAATGTTATTTGCGAGGCTAAATCGGGTAATTAATATCAGCCTATGGCAGGGAGAAATGATTGATAGATGGTAGGTAGTACTTGTAGTACTGATGAAAATGCAATGAAGGAGTGATACGGTGGTCGCGTGTTAAATCTGAATCACTGGGTAGCACCGGCCTGCATGGCCTTAAGATGGCTCCAGTCGTACGTATCCTCGCCCAGACTCCAGGCCATGATGCCTCCGACGGACTTGGCTGCAACGATGTCGGTGAACTTGCGCGCGATCAGGTCCGGGGTGTCCCACGTCCAGAACAGGTTCACGTTGCTGTCCCAGTAGTACTGGCCACCGGCGGTCTCGTCTGTCTGGCCGTCGCTCAGGGCGCGGCGCCACGAGTCCGTCACGGAGATGCCCTTGCAGGTACCGTAGTCTGAGAGGCAGCCCACCTGGCAGAAATCATCGCCAGTGCCACTATCTTGTTAGTACTTTCATTTATAGAGGCATTTTAAAGGAAATAAAACTTACCAGTTGCCGTACTGGCTGCAACAGCTTCCCGCAGGACACTTGGTCTTCTTGGCGAATCCGCAAGTGCCATCAACAGAGGTGGTGAGATCAGTCGGAGCAGGCGACATGTTACCCTGCTCAAAGGTAAAGGCGCCAGACTTGCCGTTGTCGGTACCGTCGGCGTTCTCGAGGCTAACCACGCCACAGCCAATGGGGTGAGTAGCACAGTCCGAGTTGGGGTCGGTCGTGAAGAACTTGGCGTAATAGGCGAAGCCCAAGTTGATCTTGGCAGGGTCCAGGCCGATATCGATATAGTTCTGGACGGCCTCCAGGCAGCCCTCCACGCTGGTGTGGTGGTTAGTCACGTTGTCGCGGCGGTTCATCAAGTCGTAGCTCATGAGGTTGACCATGTCGACAGAAGAGAAAATGCTGGGACCCTGTTCCTTGGTGAAAGCGATCATGTCGCCCTTCTTGCCGGGCACAGCAATGGACAGAACCTTGTCGCCAATCGCATCACGGATAGCCTTCAGGAAGAGAGGGTAGGTCTCAATCTCGGACGTCTTGGCCGAGTTGGGGACCTGCCTGTAGTCCTGACCGTTACCACCGGGGTATTCCCAATCGATATCTAGAGACAGAGTTAGTATAATCTATTCAGTTCTCTACTTTCAATACTGTAAGCATACCAACACCGTCAAATCCGTTGGCATCAAGCATCGCCGCCACGTTCTTCGCGTACCTGGCCCGCGAAGCATCATCTTTCGCACCATCGCTGAACCCAGAGGTATCCCCCCAGCCGCCGATGGCGATCATAAGTTTTGTGTTTGCGCCAAACCGTGCCCTCATAGTCGAGGGGGACTCAAAGGGAGTAAACGAGGGAGTCGAGTCCGAGTTAAAGAGAGTCGAGGGGGCAAACGCCATGATGGCATGGTCGATACCCTCCGTCTGGCTGCTACTAGGCAGATCGGTTGTGTGGTATCTACCTGAGTCAGACCACATCTCCCTCCACTCTCCACAGAAATATAAAGCACCTACTCGTCAATGTACATGCCGAATCTGATGCCCATCACGGACTGAGCGGCCATCAGGCCCAGAGAGAGAAGTTTCAACATGGCCACTGCTAGTCGACCGAACAAGCCAATAGAATAATGAAAGAATGACAAACGAACGAAACGACAGACTAGTCAAAAAGCAAAGGAAAAGATATCGAACGAAGGTGGTTTGGGTGTTGAGAGAAGAAGAAAAAAAGAGCATAGTCGAATCGAAGAACTCAGACCCGGGCTGATCCCTTAAAGAAGCCCGCCAGCCCCCCAAACATTGTTGATCCTCCCTCTTTCTTCTTTCCTCGCTCCGTCAACGCTCGAAGAATCCGATGTCAAGTCCACCCCTCACTGACTCAATGAGCTTCGAGCCCCAACCGCATGCCCGGATGATCATCGCCCCTGCCCGACGGTAGATGTGGGGATCATGAAACAGGGACACACATTATTCCCTCTTTTTGAGGCGTTGACTGAGGATGGTATTCGCTGTGGAGATGGATCATCAGGTATGTGCATGCTCTATTCTGTTCCCTGGACATCCAACACTGGGATGCCTCATTGCTGTGAAGGGAGTTAGATCTAACCTGTACTGTCTGGGTTTCTTCAAAACTTACTTCGCTGGAACCTCTTCAATCACGTTGTCTCTATTCTTCCCATATTAACGATCCCTCAGAGCAATTTGTTGCCTTGGCTGGTGGAGGTGGATAGGATACTCGAGTCAAGACTCAACATGCCAGGATGCACGTGCATGCCGCAGTTACGCGCGCATTCCACAGCGCCCTCCAAAACATTTTATGCGCACAAATTACGTAGTAGGACTATGTAGAGACCATTCTTTCTGGTTGTCTTAACTCAAATTAGGGGCTTCTGCATTTATATCTACTTGGCAAGAGGTATAACCGTTGGTTGGTATTGGTTTTTAGTGGGTACGATGGCATATATCAGGAGGCATAAGGGTATCGATTGAAAAGAAACAGGAAAAGAAAGAAAAAAAAAAAAAAGAGGAGAAATACAACAGAGAGAGACGCTAAGGCTTACGTCGGGAGGGATTTGATTCAGTCCCAGTGGCGTCGAAGAACTGGCCGAGCAGGATCCCAAGGACCAGTCACGACATTCTTATATTTCTGCAAGCTGATCAGCCACCAGCTGCATCCGCCCATGACAAAGGCTGTCAGGAGGCTGCCCAGGAAGGATCCCAAGATTGCGGCCGCCCATCCGCCGCGGAGAGTCATGCCGACCGCTCCGCCGGCGGTCATGACGAGGGCGAGCGTCAAGCACATGTGTCCGGTCCAGCTGATATGGCGTAGCTGACGCCGGAAGATAGGGAAAAGGCCAAACACCTCGATGGAGAACAACATCAGGCTGAAAACGTGCGTGGTGGAAGGGAGGCGGGAGGCGAGGACGGTAGATGCCATCACGGCCGCGTTGGTGGACAGGGAAGCAGGGAACTTGGTGGCGCCCGCGCCCTCGCCGCTCCCGTAGTCAAAGGAGAAGATGTTCATGATGAGAAGCCAGCAGCTTAAGGCCCAGATGGAGTCACTGGCCGTAGACTTGGTCAAGGATTTGAGGATCGGACTCAGGCCCAGCAGGGCGAAGTAGATCAGAAACGCAGACTTGACTGTTGCCAGTCGCTGCCAGTTCCGGGAGGAAAGAAACTGTGACTCGGTCGTCTCAAAGGCAAACTGGCCTGTGGGTGATAGGGCGCCATTGGCAGTCGGAGTGGTCGCAGTCCACGGAGAGGCGAGATCAGGGCCTCCGATGGCAGAATCTGCGCTAAACCCAGTACTGCGGCGCCGGAACTGGGGGTCAGAGACATTGGTAGAGATGGACAGTCCAAGGCCATGAATTCGGCTCTGGCTCTGACTCCGGCTCTCCTTCTGGCTGTCTTTCTGACTGATTATACGGGGCTCTCCATTGACTTGGTTGTTGACTGAGCTGGTAGTTGAGCCGGAACTGGACCCGTCATCGCCTTCAAAGGCGCCCTCGACAGGCTGGGCCTGGACTGTGTTGGACGCCTCCTCCGCTTCTTTCTTCCATACCCAGGAATCCCACAGGATCCAACCCATGGCTGTGCCCACACTGCCCCAGCCGACGACGGAAACCGGGCTGAGTCGCTCCTGGACAATCCCGACAAAGCAGCAGACAAAGATGGCGACGGACGAGACATGTTGTACGATGATGGTAGAGTCAGCGACCAGGGGCCAAAAGTCGTACGGTCGCACCCGGGGGTTTCGCTGCAGGTGATCGAGAAAGGTTTCCGTGTCGGTATAATTGTCAGGGTCTATTAATTAGCACAGTATAGATGAATGAATGAATGTATAAGAGACGTACATGACTGTTTCACCCACAATAGCTTCTTCCACGCCCCCTTTCGTCGTCTCCGACTGCTGGGCCTCGTATGCTTGCGTGCCTCCTTCTGGCTCAGCTCCGCCCCTGGAACCGCGGGGGGCGGCCGCAACGCCGCAACGGCCGCTCTGGTCGCACTGAAGGGACGAACGTTTCCATCGTAGTTGATCGGGGGAGGCCTGGTCCGCGGCACAGACGGGGCGTAGTATGCGTCCTCTGGCGCGAGGCGGGTTGGGTCAGGAAGGAGTCGCGGCTGGACAGGAGGCTTCAACCCTCCCGCGCGGTTTGGATGGGTTTCGACGGGGACCGGAGGGGGGATCGGGGGAGGCGATGGAGGAGGCAGCGGAGCCATGGAGGAGATAGAGCGTTCATGCTCGATGCATGGCTCCTCGTTCAAGCAGTCGGCCTCGTGTTGGTTGATCTGGAAGAAATGACAGGTTCGGAAGAGGCAGACAGTCTGGACTTTGCTTAGTCATCGGGTTTGTTTATAGCCTATCTATAGCGTCAATAATTATGACTTTTATATAGAAATTAATCATATTGAAATAGATATTCTAGATTCTACTACGGTTCTGTTCTTTGTATAAAGTGAACGCTGTCTTTTTATTGATGGTTGCCTGCTCTAAAGCGGCTGGACAATATATAAAAGGCATCAAGCAACCCCCCGTCTTCTTCTCCTCTATATATATCTATACAACTGTTCAATAACGAAACCGAATAAGTTACTTATTATATATATAAACACTACCCTTTCCTACTTCTGCCAATCGTCAAATGACTGGAATGCATCACAGCACAGCCGAGACCAAGAGGCAGAGTCAGCAGATACTTCTCATTCTTACTGATGAATTGATTTGTTGGAGAGATCTCGCTTGAAAATACGCTTCACTGAAGAATACTGATGGACAAAAGCCCTGGGCCAAGGGTCCGTTGCGTCAACCTGATCCAAAGCTCAATCAACGCTCTGCAGTTCTTTCTCCCACAGTGTCCTCGCAACCACTTCAGAAACAAGCACAGATGGTATGCAGAAATAGGCTTGGACATCCACACCCAGAGATATACTAGGGAACTTACCTTGGAACACAGAAGCCCTGCATGCTCTTCAGACATCATTGAACAAGATAGCGTTTTAGTCCTCTCAAGAGGTTAACCAACGAGCCAGGGCTGTGGATTATATTTCTGGAAAGACCAACGAAAGCGTGCTATACCTTGAGCGCTCCTTGATGACCCGGCTGGATGAGGCTGGCTACCCCATGTCGACCTCAACATCAGCTACCGCGCCCACTCTGCCATACTCGACTGGTATAACCAACTGTGCATAAAGGCCTGCGGATTACCTGGTCCCGACAATGACGAACGCGAGCGAGTAGGAAGTGCCTGTGATGTCTTTTACTACCTCTTGCCATCCCTTCCGTGATCAAGGCCTTGCGAAGGTACATCGGCTCTCTCAATGGCCAGCAAAAGGCATGTCCTGTTCACCTGGATGTGAGATTCATGGATGATTTAAATGCGGTCTAGACCAAAGGTAAGCAAGTCTTATATTGTACTAAAAAATACCAGCAATTATACGTTACTGGTGTCAGGCTAATGCCACTGACATACTCTACTCTCTAGATAGAACAGGGTGTTCAGTGCTTCTACCCCACCACCGCCAGCCAACAGTGCGTTCGCTGCGCGATGGGTAACGCTAGCTGTGCCGTCGACTATGTCGCTGGCGACAAGTACGACCAGGAGGCCCAGCGATTGCGGGGGGTTCGCCGCGTCGTTGGATATCAACGACCCTGTGGCCACGCTTGCCTTTCAGCGCTATATCGAGGGTGAGCAGAGGGAAAACAAATGAGTTGATTGATCGGATCTATGACATCCTATGAATGCACATAGTCACCGGTCAAAGTCTGTTCACCGAGAAGCTCAAACCTGACGACTTGAACCGATGGAATTGTGGTAACCACTTAACAGGAACGAAGCAATATACTGCTATGGGGCATTCTTCCGAGTGATGTTGTTAAGGTGAATCAGGACAATGAGTTTGGTGAATTGAACTTCTCAGGGTACAAATTTCTAGGTAAATATTGATAGGAGAGGGGAGCGTAGATGAGATATACTACATCGAGATGCCTTGGCTTATCGATATCCATGGAATACTTTGACATTAGATGTACTATTAAGACCAATCCTTGTCTTTTTCTTTGCTATTCCTTCAAGGTTATCAATAAATGGTACATGGGTAGACAGCCCTAGGGAGGAGAAGAAGAAGGAATTACCCCAAGGTCACAAACACAAGTACCTCTCTCAACCAAATCTGAAAAATAGCAGTACTTGATGAAAGATCGGCCATTATGCAGGGGCAACCTTGACGTACAATGTTTTCTTCTCCGGGTTTTGGATTTCATTGATTTCCTCTAGCATTTCGTCCAGGATGCCTTCACTGTCCTCATCGATATCCCACCACTTGGATTGAGAGAGAATCCGACATGAAAGACCTGTGACCTGAAGATCCTCGTCGTACTTTTGGAAGAATGCACGCGCTTTGGAGAGGAGGACCATGTGGGAGGTGCACTGCTTGAATGGGATCCGCAGGTCATGACGATTGTCCCCCGAGGTCAGCTTGAAAAACACCTTTACTTCGTCTTGAACCGGCGGTTTAACAGCTGGCAATGAAACTGATGACGATGCAGGCTTTGGCACAGAAGAGCGGCGTTTCCGCTTGTTCGAGATTGGGGTTGGTTGTGGTTCTGTATCGACCTCATTCTCCTCTTCAGACTCTTCAGACTCTTCAGACGAACCTTCCTCATCCCCCTCGTCTTCTTCGGACGATCCCGACTCGGACGTGGAATCGACTTCCTCTTCGGATTCTTCGCTTGAATCCGTTTCCTGTATCGCCTCGGTTCTCGTTTGTGTACTCGTGGGTAAACGGCGCCGCTTAGATTGAGGTTGTTGTTTTGCTTGGCCTTTCTTGGGAACAGATTTGGTTCCGACATTTTTCTCATCAAGAATCGAAGTACTTGGCTTTGCAAAACATCCCTTTGGGTATACAATATCCTGCAACCGTGGGCCGAAGATCCGCGCCGCAATGGTGGCAGAGTCCCAACCTTTACCTGGGCCTAGCCAGCGAGACAGCCAGGTACAATTCTTACCGTGACCCGCCACGGTGACGATATTACTCTGATCGGTTCTTGGGTCATGCAATACAAGGACCTGGTAATGTAACGGGTCCCAGATTTCGTAGTTGGTAAGGTCCATCAATTGACCGTTCCGATTAAAGGTCTTGGACGGTCTCGTCACCCGAAAGCACCTGAAGCAACACTCAGGCCGCTTTTTCGGCTCGTTGGCACGCCAGGAATCAAGAAGCAGCTTTAGATGCTGAGGAAATGGCCGATTTGGTCCCCATAAGGTCTTACATTTCCACTGGGATGTACGCCCTGATGGATTCAGACTCGGAACCGGCTGAGGCACTGCAACTTCATTTGCCCGAGTGCGTGCGCGTGTAATAATCGGCGTGCTCTGCCGGGACTCGTTATCTCCCTCTTCTTCTTCTCTTTCTGGACTTGATGGAATGTTTCCTATTGGATTAACCTCCGTCGCGGTGGTGGTGGTGGTGGTAGTAGTGGTGATGGTGGTGGTTGCGGCAGGGTTCTGCGTATTCTCCAGGCTGTTCTCTCGAGGAGGTGATTGCTCATCTTCTCCCGAGAAATCAAAGATCGAGTAATTATCTCCGTTTCCTTCCAGTGGATGCAAGTTCCCTCCAAAAAAATCTCCAAATGACAATGGTTCTGTTGCTTCGATCTTTATTCTGCCGTTATGCCACAGCTTGGATGTCGTTGCGGAGGCCATGGACTCCGACTATACTGGGAGAGGGAATTAGATCGTCTGGAGATCTCAATCTGTCATCAGCTTTCAGCAAACCAAGGATTGGAACAGGCTCATATAGAGTAGAGTACTCCGTACCCCCCAGGGCGTTAGGTGGCTCTTTAATAGGCACGCACCTTAGAGGAGAGATTGAGACTAGATTGGATCCAGACCCATACCAGAAAGCGCCAGATAGGGGGGAGGGGGGGGCGGGGGACTTTCAGTAGAGGCCAGAGAGAGACACTCAGTTTTAGACCCAAGGCAAAGATCTTTGTGGTGAAAGAAAAGAGCAAAGGTATCGATAACCAAACAAACCGAGCTCGTACCCGGAGGCTTCAAACACGCGTCACAAGCGTGGTTGTGGATGTTCAGGTCTGTTTAACCAGCTTTCCAACCAATAGAAAGGAGACGACGAGTCAGTTTTAATCGACAATTTGACAAGGCAGATCAGAGTGAACGACTGGTCAGAAAGTGGGTTATTAACTAGAGCTGAGTACTCTTGGGGGAGTTGGTTGGTCGGTGGCGGGCACAGGCTATCTCTCACTAGTAGTAGAGTACCTGTAACTAAGGAAATAACAACAGGATTAGAGATACGAGGATGATCTATCAGTATCAATACAAAGCCGTCCTTCTGTCCTTTAGATATTGTGCTCAGCACCGGTTCAGAGAGGTGTTTAGGTAGTGTTCAGGGGTTAAATGTGAGCAGCCGAAACATCAACGAAACGTACATAAGGATTCGGATGCTTGCCAGTTCTCACTCTACATACTGGTAATACTTGGATTCAGACCTATGAGTTTGAACATGATTTGGATCCGATCAATTTTATCAATAAGTACAGAAAACTGCCAGTCTGTCACTGTCTAGTAGTAGCTACCTAGTAGCCAGGTGCTCACCACATAGTAGCTTGCAATAAAAGATGATCAAATACAAAAGGTCACGCCGGATGGCTGATCAGATGTTTCAATTAGACAGTTGCAGTCCTTGTGAATATGGGTGTGATGTTATAGACCTCGACCGTGACGGTCTCCTCATCAGACTGAGCGGTCATTTTTGCATCATTGAGCATCAGCTCGAATTCGCCCTCATTTTCCCAAATGTAGCGCCGGGATTTCGAAAAGCAGCAGGAGAGTGCTTTCACGCGCGCCCCCTCGTTCAAAGACTGAAAAAACGCCCTGGCCTTGGTAAAAAGTTCCTGGACAGAGTGACACTCGTCGAAGGGGACACAGCGGGAGATGTCGGTGTTTTTGTCTATCAACTTGAACATGACGTTGGGGTGGAAGTTGGTAAGCGGATATCCCCCGTCCTCCCAAGCGCCGGGCAGCTGGGGGAGATGTGGAGAAGCAAAGGGATTGTCAGCGCTGGCGGTGGTTCTGAATGAGATGGTTCGTTTTGCTCTGGGGACAGAGGCTCGACTGTACTGGGCGTATCGTCGAGGCAGGAGTCCCTCGTGGTATCTGTCGAAGACTTGATCGTTGAAGGTGATATGCGCCATGTTCCTATTGAAGACTCGAGCAGCGACACGTGAAGAGTCATATCCTCTATTGAGTCCCTTCCAAGGAAGCAGGTATGTAATCGTTGGCGAGTTGTTGGCGCAGGCGACTAGTTCTTCAGGAGAGTCAGGATAATGCAGGACCAAAACTCGGTAGGGAAGGGGCTTTTTGATCAGCCACTGTGACAATTCCAGTTCGACTCCATTTCGATCGAATATCTTGAAAGATTTCCAGCCTAGACCTCTGGATCTGAAGGAGCAAGCAGGGACATGTAGAGGGTAGATTTCGTGCCACTCCTCTAACATGTCCTTTAGATGCTGAGGGAACTGTTGGTCAGGGCCAAAATCGCGGAGAGGGACAGAAACCTGGCATGAAAGGCCCCTTTTCACTAGGGTGACAGTGGTAGTAGCATTGCTCTCCAGGATGCTATCTTCATTCTTCAGTTCAACATCTTCTTGCTTGGTCTTGACACCCCCATCCTGCATGGCAAGTTCCACACATCTGGGGTCGACGAAGGGCTCGATGTCTCCGCTTGTATAGGTTTTATTGGCTGAAAGTATCAAATGACGATGGAAATCTTCTGACTCAAAGGCTTTATTACTCCTGCAGTATTGAAGGAAAGAGTCAGTCAAGTCCTTTTTCTTCTCCGTTTATGAGGAAGCTGAATAAGATGGCAAAGTCACTCAAGAATAGGAGACACTATGATCTCTAATATGGCATCTATAGGTCTTTTATCTATAGCTAATAAGAATAAGGTAAAAGAAACTTACTCCTTCATTATTTCCCTGACATTGAAGAGGGTTGTTATTGTTATTGCTGGAATTGATGAAGCCTAAGGCCAAAGGAAAGTCAGTAAGAAAATAAATATATAAAGATTAATTTTCTTAGAGCAATAAGAAGTGATTTCTTTAAAGTATAAAGAAACCTACTAATGATTAATACTAGAAATGTTTACTCTCCTAAGAATAGAGAGGATAGTGTTAAGGTGTAGAGGTAGAGAGCTTAAGAAGAGAAGACGCAAAGAGCAAAAGGGAAAATAAGAGAGACAAAACCAGACAAACAATCTACTAATATTAAATTATATGGAAAGCAGAATTTTTATAGAGGTAATTCACTATCTAATAGTTAAAGATACTCTCTAATCTCGAAACATCACTCTATATCCTATTTTATAGTGAAATAAGATTGGTGGGATGTAATATAAATCTTATTTACCCTTATATTACTAGAATCTAGATTGTGAGTAGTATTAACTGGGAAGACACAGATATATTTATGACAATCCAAGGCATGTTTGACAGAAAAGATTCGAAACCAGGACGCTAGGTTCTAGGAAATGGATAGCCTAGAGACAACAACCCCTATCTGGGTTCCATCTATCTTGACTTTCTCTATCTTAATTCTTCTATCTTGAAGTGACATGTATTATTCTAGGATGCATTCATAGGTCTATGTGTGGGCATCGAGTCCCATGAAAGCATCAGACCGCCGTTCCCACAGAGACACAAAAAGGAGAAGGGGGTCATATGAATACAAAGAGGTATCAAAGGGGATATCGCCAGGAGAAATGCAATGAAACTCAAGGGGGAAAGTCTATGTCTCGAACCATACGTGGCAAGTGACAGTAGAAGAGCCAGTGGTCTGGTCACTATACAGCGTGCTGCCATTCTCTGCAAAATTCTTTTCCAAGAGGCTGATGCCAGGATGCAAGAACACTGTATTAATAAGGAGTAATGATGAAAGGGTATCCTCAATGTCTCGAGCCAAATGGTTTGCAAAAAGCAGGCCGGAATCAGTCGAAATACCGATTGTATGCGATGAGCCAGTGCAAGGTTAAGGAGTATAGGTGCAAAAAAAGAGGTATGAACTGCTCAATCCTCCTGCTTTTGGACGACATCTCTGACTGCACGTGGTGGTTCGGTTTCTCTGATGCTGTTGCGGCGGCCCCAGTTCATTGGTTGTCGCTGCAAGAATGCACCTACGGCACCGAGATAGCCCTCGTGACGAAGAAAGTATGCTTGCTTCTCGCCCTTCGACCAAAACTTGATCGCGTAGGAGAGAGTGTTGATCGTTTGGCGGTGGCCTCGGATGAAAGACCCTCCGAAATAGATGTGCTTAACCTGGTGTTTCTCTGACTGCAGGTAGGCGATTTGTCCAATGTTATTACTGAGGTAGGGAAGTTAATAGTTGATTCGTCAATTGAAGCAGGGGAAAAAGATGGGCAAGAAGTGAGACGTACCTGATGGCGAACAAGAGACTTCGGCTCATGTCTTCTGCCCTGAATGTCACATTGGGATCTTGTTGTCTGGTTTCATCGTCGCCGAGACCTTCCCCATCCTCGGCATGCTTTTCGGCGGCGCGCTTCATTCGAAGCACCTTGCCAAACGTGCTGGCAATGGCAGTACTTTTCAGTCCGATCTTTGTGTAATCCATTCCGTAGATATCCCCTACGAGCATGTCCACTCCTGCGTTGTCTCCGCTGTCCGCCATGGCAAGCATCTCATCAAAGGTTCGGGCTCCGGTCAACAGAGACATGATCCCCCAGAACGTGCCACCGCCGAGATGGGTGCCACCCACTCGCTCGAACTGACGCGGCCCCGAGACCTTGATCATTGACACACCAGAGCCAATATTCACCAGGAGGTATGGGTAGATGTCTGGCCGCGACTCGGGGAACTGCATATTCTCGGTTTCGCTGTAGGTGAACACTTCATTGGGAATTTCGGTGATGAAGAAATCAAGACCTACAGTTTGACCAATTAATTAGCGACTGTGAGTGTGTGTAAATTTCAAGGCGAGAGACCATACCCATGATTAAACACTGCATCTCATCTTCCTGCAGGATATTCACATTCAACTCCTTCTTCATTTGGTCGTAGTATTTGAAAGCCCCCCCACCCGTTGCCATTATACACAATTCATTCCGCGATGAGCCATTGACTCTCTCATGCTCTTCCTTGAGCTGTCTGATGAAGTCAATGCACAGTTCGATGCGGTGGGTCTCAAAATTGAGGAAATTCAGTCGGCCGCCATTGTCCCCCGAGTCCAGCTCTCGTGTGAAATAGACCAATTTGGCAAGGGATCCTCCAATCTGTTACGTCCATAGGAAAGAAAGAAATCAGTCTAGTCAATCTTTAAACCTTTCCTTTGTTGGGCGCTGCAGAAACAATTGTGTGATTGCGGGGGGGTATCCAAGGGTGCGGGGAAACACTCACATCTACAGCGACATGGCTCACGACGCCAGTATGATGTGGGAGGCGGATATCCCTTCCACCAGAGTGTACTCCGTCAGTCTCAACCGGACTCTTCGACGGCGGGGGCTCGTCGACGATGAAGGCGCCCTTGACGTTGATCTTCACCGCGCCCGGGTTGGCGATGGCCTCCTCGATGCGGTCGACACGTGCCTCGGCGGGGGACAGTTCGGTCGCCAGCTCGGCGGGGTGGCGGTTCACGGACGACATCGTGGTGTCGAGAGGGAACAGTGATGGAGGCAATATCAAAAGTCACCAGGGAATCACATCAGAGATAGGAGAACTGTCCAAGAGCGCACTATTGCGGAGCAATGGAACTGGCCGTGCCCAGGCTTACTGCGTAATTCTCCTTCTGCCCGTTTTTGCTGAGGGCGGAACCGCAAGCAGACCGCAGCGACAGGCAGCCGGCGATGCACTCTTATTATTTACCTTCCACAAGAAGGGCGCAGGATCCAGGCGGATCGTTCGGCTCTTTTCCCCACGAAAAAAGCTAAATGGCTAGTTTCTACGGTACTAAAAATCGTCAGACCACGACAGGTTGTTTTGTGGTGGCGACGATGCATTGCTTGTTGTTCTTGTTCCTGTTCCTGAGGGTCGGATGGCGATCGGTTGCCTTATTCCCAAGGCACAAAATGCAATGCCTTACTCCGTATACATCAGGCGTTCGATTACTCCATTTTCCTTCAACATTCAAGCCTATCATTAGTCACTTTAGTAATATTGGTAGACAGGATCAATAATATGTCTGCCTAATTCGACTTCTCCTAAGCACTTCATTCACATTCTGCTAATACCTGACAGGATACTACATCGGCGTTTCTTGACCCCGACTCCGATACCCTCACTCCGATAGAACTAAGCCTAAAGTAGAGGCTAGAGGCCTCAGGCATAAATGTTTACTGGTGGTCATCCTTCCATACTGCAGTCGTCCATCAGGCAGAAGCTTTTTATATAAACCAGCTCCCTGTCCACTTCAAGAAGCAGCCTGTCAACATTGATCAGCTTCTATATTCTCAATTCAATGGTGGAACACAAGGATTCAACCATACTATCGCTTGACCAGCACAGCCATGTATCGTCTTCAACTCCCATAGAGGGCGACCGCGAGCAAGATCATGTCGGCCATCCAGCAGAACAACTCGAGGCTGTAGGAGACAGCCAGGCTCCAACCCTGGACAGCGAGATGGAATATGTTACAGGCGCAAAAGCATTCGCCCTCATGGTTTCCTGCATGCTTATAGCTGCAGCCATTGGTCTAGATAACAACATTGTGGCGATAGCTGTGCCTAGCATATCCGACAAGTTCAACACCATATCCGACATAGGGTGGTATTCCAGCACTCTGCGACTGGTTATGTGCTCGTTTATGTTTCTGTTTGGGAAGGCCTACACTCTCTACGCCACGAAACCGCTGTTCATCATGTCTATCGGGGCATTTGAAGCTGGTAATATTCTGGCAACCTTCTCCCCCACGTCAAATTCCTTCATCTTGGGGAGGGCCATCACCGGGTTTGGCTGCGCTGGTATTATCAATGGGCTGTTCAGCATGTTGACTCGATTGTTTCCTTTGCACAAGAGACCATTAGTCGGCGGGCTGGTTGGTGCTGTGGAAACATTAGCAGGCATTTCAGCACCCCTGATCGGTGGTGCGCTCATCGATGGTTGGAGTTGGCGAGCGTGCTTTGGGATAAATGTGCCATTGGGACTCGTCGGCCTCGCGGTGAACTGGTTTTTCCTAGAGACTCCTCACAGCCCGAAATTTGACCTTCCGTGGCAGGAAAAGATCGAGAACCTGGACCTTCTTGGCACGGCAGTGTTTATCCCGATGATGACATGTCTTCTGCTGGCTCTTGAATGGGGGGGTATCACCTACAGCTGGAGTGACCTGCGAATTATCGCCTGTCTGGTGGTTTTTGGCGTGCTCTTCGCTGTCTTCGCATGGCGTCAATATCGCGCTGGAGATCGCGCCACGCTCCCTCTTCGCATCCTACGCAATCGCAGTATTATTGCCGGGGCATGGTTTGGCTGTTGCATCAATGCGGCTGGCGCAGTTCTGGAATACTACCTGTCTATCTACTTCCAGGCCATTCGAGGATATTCCGCTGCCCAAGCCGGAGTCTATGCTCTACCGATGATCACAGGTCTCTGCGTAGCTTGCATCGTCGCTGGTGCCGCGACCTCTCGGATCGGCTACTATGTCCAATTCATGTATGCTACCACGATCCTATCATCGATTGCCGCTGGGCTCCTCACTACCATCGACCTGAAGACCGACCTTCCCAAGCTGCTGTGTCTAGAAGGTCTTATGGGGTTTGCATCGGGAATTGGGTTCCAGGCTCCCCAGGTGGCTGCCCAGACTGTTCTCGCCGCTGACGAAGCAACGATTGGGCTGTCAATCATTCAATTTGGACAACAGCTCGGTCCGGTGCTGTTTCTCGCTGCCTCGACTACGCTGTTCACCAACCGACTGACAGCCGAGGTGGAGCAGTACTCCCCATCGACCAACATCACCTCTTTGGAGAATATGGGGCTGTCGGATATTCGAAAGGCCTTTGGCGGTGAAAAACTCGAAGATGTGCTGTTGGGTTACGATACTGCTGTGACACAGACGCTTTTCCTACCTGTTGCTTTGACGTGTGTGACGGCTTTTGGGTCACTGGCTATGGAATGGCGTTCTGTCAAGAAGAAGCAGCAATGAGCAGCATCTTCATGAATTAGTGGTATATTGCTACATCTCGCGGTATTTATGGTTATTTGCTGATTGGGTAAGTTTGATTAAGTCTATAAGCATCATATATCAAGTCTTCCTGAATCAATCGTCCCCCCCCCTTCCTATTTTTCGTGCCGAGACTCGTTGTCTTCTTACTTTACCTCATCTTCGTGTATACCTATCAGTGATACCGACGTCCACACGGCAAACGCAGCTTGGTGATCTTCCAGAAGTCAATATGCAGGGCGTACGGTTTGCCCAACCTAGACGGAAATCTCCCTTCGATCTCCGGGTTTGATTGACAATAGGAATGTATTCCAGACCCGCTCCCTTTCCGATGAATCCAAAACAAACCCATCTCATCTAAACCGAATCCAGTCCAGAAGTCTCTCTAGTTTGCTGATCTATCCATGATTTATGCATTGCGCCGGTCTTGCCCCTTGCCCAAAGATACGCCCGCTCCATGAATTCCGGCAACCTTCTGTAGACTGTATTATCCCCCCTTCCCCCCCTCAAGCTTATGAAGAAACGCCCCTCTGATATTGGTTTTCCAGTTCTCGGACCGACTAGAATCGATATTGCTATTGTGTCAAGCGTCTGCAGGAAGCCGAGGTCTGTTTGGACTGCGACAATGAGGTACCTTTTGGAAAGAGATGTCTGTCAGATAGATTTTCCTGTACTGCACTCCTTCATATTTGAATCAAGGGTATGACTGACTCACAATAGGCTTAATCCCATATAAAGAGACAAATCATCTCTTTGGACATCTGGCTATTGTCTTTCTCCTGTCCTGCTCTCCGGGATAGTGCATGTCTCCTAGACAGTGACACACTATAAGATAAGGTCTTTTGCCCAGGTCTTCACAGAGCTATAGCTCAATAAACTGCCTCTCACTCATGAAAAGAAATAACCCTCTATTCTCCCAAAGAAAATATCCAGGGTTCTCAGAGTTTGGCCTTCTCGGCGTCGCACTATTTCAGTGAAGGACCCGCGTTTGCCCATTTTGTCCCACGAAACCTCTTTATATTTCCTCTCCTCCCCCCCTTCCACTTCTTTTTCTTCTCTTCTCTCCTCCTCACCCCTCTCTAATCCTCCTTTTCTCTCTCCCTCACCCCTTTCTTCAGACAAAAGCTGTGTTGAGGTTGTTGACTGACCGGCTTGCCGTGGAAGTCTTCAGCTCCTCCCGGCTGACTTGACTGAACTCTTCTGTTCTCTCTCTATCCCTCCCCTGCCTTGCCCTTACTTTCTTCTTTCTTCTTCACTACGTGGTAGCCTTCTGTTGCTGCTTCTTTCTCTCATTTCTGCTGACTGCTTGAGCCCATCAGTCCTTCTCAGGCCCCCCGGTACACGGGTTCATTCACGTAAGTATCATCTTGGCCTTCCTGGTTTCTTTTACTAGAGCTTGAGATTGACTGACGTCGAGTATTTCTTGGTAGTCTAGCTCTTCTTCTATTGCGTCTCTACGTGTCACTGGTGCGGTGAACTTAGGCAGTCATGGACGCCTGGGATAACACTGCCATGGGCGAGGCGCTCCAGGAGGTGTCTACCAACCAGCAGAGCAACATAAATGCCGAAGCTGCCGCTCTCGCGAGAGAGAAGGGCTGGAACGCTCCCGAGAAGTATGATTACTCCAAGTACATCATCGGGGCTCCCAAGCCTGGCGAGGGCCCAGAGCCGGGTCAGTTGCCGGAGTGGGCGGCCAGCGCTGCTAAATACGAGTGGTCTGATGAGTACGGTGACGTGGGACCCGCTAATGAGGAGCTGGAGGAGATGCTCTTTCGTAACGAGTACATCAATCGTGCTGGCATGAAGCTGGCAACGTGAGTCCCCATAGCATGCCGTCTTTGGATCAAAGCTAACACTCGGAAACAGCCTCCAGAACATTGAGGTTATTGCCGAGAGTAGAGAACGTCCTAACCCAGTCAAGAATGTATGTTAAATGATTTCTGACGTTTCCTTTTTTTTTTTTTTTTTTTAGGAGGGGGAGTGTTTATCTGACTGGACAACAGTTCGACGACGCTGGCCTTCACCCCGTCATGCTCCAGAATATCCGTCTCTGTCATTACTTGGTCCCTACTCCTATTCAGGCTTATGGAATCCCTGCGGTTCTCACTGGCCATGACCTTATTGCCATTGCTCAGACCGGTAAGTTGATGCACATTTAGCTGTTCGATGATGAGGTCCAGCTACTAATCTATGCCTGCCAGGTTCCGGTAAAACTGCCGCCTTTCTCATCCCTGTGCTTTCTCAGCTCATGGGGAAGGCAAAGAAACTGGCTGCTCCTCGCCCCAACCTGGTGAATGGTTACAACCCGGAGACTGATGCTGTCCGTGCCGAGCCCCTTGTGCTCATCGTAGCGCCCACCCGCGAGTTGGCTACCCAAATCTTTGATGAGGCTCGTCGCTTGTGCTATCGCTCTATGCTTCGTCCTTGCGTTGTGTATGGTGGCGGTCCCGTGCGCGAGCAGCACCAGGAACTCATGAAGGGATGTGATATTCTCATTGGTACCCCTGGAAGACTCCTTGACTTCATGTCAAAGGGCCACATCCTCTCATTGCAGCGTGTCAGGTAAAGACGATCCTTTCCTTGACTGCCAAAAAGCCTCTCCTCGGTTACTGACATCAGTATTACAGATTCACCATCATTGATGAGGCCGATGAGCTTCTTCAGGATGACTGGCAGGAGGACTTCAACAGGCTCATGTCGGGTGGAGGTGCGTATCTCATTCCAGATTTGCTCATTCGTATATCAGGAACTGCATCTAACCGAAGGACAGATATCAACGAGGATGCCGACCACCGTTACCTGATGTTTTCTGCCACCTTCAACAAGCAGTGCCGTGAGCTTGCTCGCAAGTTCCTTGCGGATGACCACGTCCGTGTTCGTATCGGTCGTCCTGGGAGCGCTCATGTCAACGTCGATCAGAGCGTAAGTGGTACCTCAGTCCCTGGCGGCGAGCGTTCTCTGAACTAATGTCTTTCAGATTATCTTTTGCGAGAACCACCTCAAGAGAAAGTGTCTTTACGATCTCATCCTCTCCATGCCCCCTTCCCGCACCCTTGTTTTTGTCAACACCAAGCAGGAGGCGGATTGGCTCGATGACTATCTCTTTAACATGGGATTACCGTCCACTTCGATCCACTCTGGTCGTAACCAGCGTGAGCGTGAGGATGCTCTGTGAGTGACGTCCACCTTTGATATCCTTGATGTGTATTAATATGTTCTAGTCGCGCTTTCCGTACTGCTAGATGCCCTGTTCTTGTTGCCACTGGCGTTTCTGCTCGTGGTCTCGACATCAAGAACGTTATGCATGTGGTCAACTATGAACTTCCACGCGCCCACCATGGCGGTATCATTGAATACATTCATCGTATTGGTAAGATGTCTACTTGATGACCGAGAAATGTCTACTCAATCACTGACTTGGTATGTTTTAGGTCGTACTGCGAGAATCGGTAACGAAGGTCTTGCAACTTCCTTTTACAACGATGATGATGCCGAACTCGCCCCGGAACTTGTGAAGATTCTCATCGAGTGTCAGCAGCCTGTCCCCGATTTTCTCCAGGGATTCATGCCTGAGGACAACAAGGTGGCTTTTGATGATGACACCGACGACGAGAACGAAGTCGGAGATCAGGATAATGGTAACGCTGGTGATGATGCTGGTGCTGGATGGGGAGCTGAGCCTACTATCCACGAAACCGCCGATAACACTGCTGTTGCTGGATGGGGGACCGATGCTGGCACCAATACTGACAACAATGTCGGTAAATGGGGAGCTGGCGCCGGAAACAATGCCAACAACAACACCGGTACTGGATGGGGAGCTGATGCTGGCACCGGCACCGGCAACAGCACCAACAACAACACTGGCTGGGGCAATCAGTCTGGTGGGTGTGATACTCCTGCCAACAACAGAGCACCCTCTCCGGTTCCTGGCTGGGAGTGATGCTGGCCCGTTGGTCATTCAAAAGCATCACACACCATGCTTCGTCTTGCTCCAAGGACTGGCTGCCTTTCGAGATGGGATATCTTCTATTTTGGGGCTGGCTGGCCTTGTCTGCCTGCTGTTACACCTGTTTTCCTTTTGATTTTTTCTATGTAGAGCAGTGCTCGACAATAGTTTCTGTATCTAGAACTGCGGTCTGGAAGGGGCTCAGAGGACATCACCGTCTTTGACTTTGAGAGTCAATCTAGTCGGGGACGGCTGGCATCAACTGATCTCTTCTGTTTGAGGAGGATGGTTTTCGCCTGGGCTGTCACTGACATGGATGGAGGTGTCTTCTATGGCTCTATCTAGTAACTTGTTCAGGAATACAAAGAAACAGTTATTGAAACAACCTAGTTGGAATTACAGTACTAGTAAGTTCTATTGAGAGCGTTGTCCACTTCGTTCCTACCGGAAACCGAAGTTGGATCCTTCCTACCCATCCTGGGCCTTTCTGCTTTGGTAGGGAAGCAACGCAGATTGATTCATGGCAGGTGAATGCCATTTTCTTCTTTTAAGAGGACTTTCTTTCGACATTCAACTCCTCGTCTCTCCTTGGGCTTCCCTAAAACCCGGCAAGAATTGACAAGATGGGTTCCTCCATATTCTTATACTTCCTATCTATTTCTCTCTCCCATATTGCCAATGCTGCCCCATTTGCATCCCCTACCTCCATCAAGCCTTTTGTAATCGACACGTTCAAAGACTCGAAACGCAATGATCTCGGATACTGGCATGGCGCTGGTGAAGACCTACCAGTCGAATATGGCGATAGTTCCATCCGCCTCATTGCCTCAGACCCTGACCAGAACTTCCATACCCAGATCACACCATCAGAGAAATGTTTTGACCTCTCACCGTACCGCGATCAGAGAATGTTTCTCCGAGTAGAATTCTCTGGGACCCCCAGATTCGGAATCTCGCTCAACCAACAAAACGCGAACTGTGATCCGACAAGGATGCCGCATCCTGAGACATGGGATACAGTTGAGGCCGAGAGGTACATTGTGCGTGATGCGACCGACTCTGGACGTACTGGCCATCTTGAGGCATATGTACCACTTTCACACTTCAAGATCGACCAGTCAAAGGTCCTCTCAGTGTCATTTAGTGGTATCTATAGACGAGAGAACCTCACGCTGTACAACGTTGAGATCGTCGATGGCCCTCCCAGAGGGTTTCATGTTCCAGAGAAACTGGCAAGTGGACGGATGGTGTTGAGGTGCTCACGGCCCAACTCTTTCGCTTTTGGAATTGATGATGGCCAGCCGAAGTATGCGCAGGAGGTCATGGATATCTTGGCAGATGAAGGTATCAAGGTCACTTTCTTCGCGGTCAGCACAGGTCTTCGAGACCCAAGTACCAACTTCACGCAGGTGTATCGGGAGATGGCGAAGAAGGGACATCAGATTGCCCTTCACTCGTACAGTCATCCAAAGTGGGTTTTCCATTGCTAATTCTTTCTGTGCCGTGCTCATTCCTGGAAGGATGGAAGGGTTAGCTGAACTCAGCGACATTGACGACGAGCTCAAAAAGAGCATCCGGACTCTGAACGAGACCCTTGGTTTAAAGTGTAAGTGAGCAATCGTATGCAAGAGAAATTCTCATCCCTAACAATTCATAGCACGGTACTTTCGCCCCCCTTTTGGGACAGTTGGCGCCAGAACACGCCAGCGACTGGGTGCGTTGATCACAGACCCGTACATTGTGAACTGGAGCGTGGATATCGAGGACTGGATCTGGACAGGGACAGATACTCCCGAGAAGCAGCTCGAAGCTTTTAAGCGTGATGTCAAGAAAGGAGGCAATCTTGCAGTGATGCATTACCTACATCCGACCACTGTTTCGTACATGCGAGAGGCGATTCAGTTTGTCAAGGCGCAGGGCCTAGATATCATGCGCGTAGATCAGTGTCTTGAGGACCCAGAAAGCCCTTCATTGTATTAGGAGAAGTCTGTCACTATAAATACAACTTTGTTCTGCGCCGATGAAGCCCCCAATCCAAAAAGAAGAGAGAGAAAAAAAAAAAAGAGAAATAGCAAGACCAAGATCAGTTCAAAACGCTTGACCCTGGCAGAGTTGTATTCCAAGATTCGCAGTAGATCGACCACCGCAACGCCATGCGCCATCTATAAATGCCAATGAGAATAGGAGTGAGTTTTCTTTTCGAAATATATCTAATGCCCAAAATCCGGCTCCGGGCAGATTCCCGCCATCTCGATCATCTTCTGGATAGAGTCAAGGATCCAGCCGGAGCGAGCCGAGTCATGAGGGCTGCCGAGCTTCGGGGTAGCGGAGGTGAAGCAGCGATCGTCACGCAGGGAGAATTGCACGCAGGAAGGGTTCTGGGCGCAGAAATCGGCGCAGGCGTCGAAGGTGTTGATTGTTGGATGGGGCTGGCCGGAGAGGTTATCCCAGTTTGTTCTGGAGGGGGGGGAGAGACGCGGGAAGATGAATTCTTTGAAGATGTCGCTGTGGAGGAGGGGGGTGGTTTTCTAAATCAGTTAGGTTGAGCTTGTCTTGGTAAAAAAAGAAAGAAAAAAAAAAAAAAAAACAGGAGCTAGGAAGAGACTGACTGATTTCCATCTGTTCTGTTCAAAGGCCCAGAGAGTCTGGATATCGGCTGCGGAGAGATGGTGGAAGGCGACGGCGGGGAAACACCACGGTTTGCGGTAAAAATCAGGGGAGAACTCGTCGAGCTCGCCGACGTTTGAGTTCTGGAGGATGGGCCAGGAGTAGTGGAGGGGCACGCCGACGTCGGCGAGGACTTTGCCCAGGACGCAGTCGCCTGCCCAGTGGCCGTCTGTGTATCTGTGGAGGGCGTCCGGGTCGGCGCGATAGGCGTCGGCGGCGCGCTGGAGGGCGGGCTGGGAGAGGACGAAGCCGGAGCCGCCGTGGGCGAAGATGACGTCTGCGATCTGGGTTTCGGTGCCGATATACAAAGGTTCGGAGGGGTCGAAGGTGTCGAGCCAGGCGAGCAGGGTCGGCCACGAGACGTAGGTGTCGGCTTCGATGAAGACGTACCAGCGGGCATCGGCGCGGTGGCGCAGGGTCTCCTGCACCATCGGCAGGAATTTCCACTTGTCCAGCTTCCAGCCGGGATTGTTGGGTTTCCCCAGCGCCGAGTTGGCTTCGTCGGCAAAGTCCTGCAACGCGAGCCCCGGGCGGCCATGCGTGACCAGCCGGTTGTACAGGTCAAAGTCGGGCACCGTGCGAGTCACCTTGGGGTCCATGTTGCGGAAGGCATCGTGGATGGGCACGCCGCCGATCTCCTCCTCAAAGTCGGAGAAGATCACGTAGTGCGGCACGCAGGCCAGCGTCGAGTTGAAGTGCCCGGGCACCTTCTCCTGCGACTCCGTCACCCCGGTCTTCATCACCACGAGAATGTCCTCCAACCCTGGAAGCGACGGGCAATAGGGGCCCTTTGTCTTCTCATCGCTCGGCCGCGAGATGGTCGACGGCGACGACGATGACCAGTACTGAGGGTTGAGGTCTGGTTGTAGGGCATAGAAGCGGTAGACATAGAAGAGGACGATCGCGCTGGCGAAGAGAAGGATCCGGCGACGTGAACGGGGGGCAATCATCGTGCTGAGCACGGGTATGCAGGGAGCACTGGGAACGAGTGTCGTGTCGAAAAAAAAATTATATAATGAATAAAAATCAGACTGGTCAAATGAGAAAGATGAGGAGAGAAAGACAACGATAGAGGATCAGCATTCAATGCTTCTCTCGTGTGGACTAGCTAGAGACTCCTGGGTTCGCAGCGCCGAGGACGATGACGACGCCGACAACCGAAAAAAAAAATCCCCAGGACAGACAGCAAACGCAGGCCTGGGATCGACAGGGCCAGGGTGCGCTGGCTCCTGGGGGGGTTTTTTTTTGCTGCTCCCTGAGCGGAGGGTGTCTTGAATCCACGGCTTGTAGGAAGGTGGAAGCTACTAGGGATGCCAGACAGCCAGATAGAGACACTCGAGCCACTATTCGCCTGCCTTGCGGGGCGGCTCTGAAACCGGGGAGGGGAAAAATTCCCTGGAATAATGATAATTCACTATTCTTGTTCATCATAGCCGATCGCTGGGCCTGTTTATTATTCGATAACGGGTCGTATTGGATAGAAATAGGTAGAGGCTGTCCACTGTGCACTGTACACTGTACCTTTTTTCTTCGCAGGGACATGCCAACGCATCCCTTCAATCGTCAGGAATGCCTCCAGGCAGTTCTGAAGCTGTATCAGATACCAGGGCGAGGAAGTCAAATAATATTCAAACAGGCGTTTCAGAGTGGATTCAGAGTAGAATCGAGGCTATGGAGAAGTCCCTCCTGAGGCTGTGAAACTGACAGGGTGTGTGCGTGGCATTAATTTAAGTGATTAGTCAGCGGTCGGCTATTCCACCTTCAAGAACCCAGTAGATAGTAACAAGTGTAACTATGTGGTGATTATATCCGGTGAAAAAAGCCAATCATTACTAGTATGTACTAAGTAGTGAACTGTTAGACAGAAAGCTCCAGGCAAGCCTTAGATACATTAATTTTTGGGTGTTGCGGTTGTTTTGAGTTACGAGTTGGTTAGCTTCAAGTTCTTGCTTTGATCATCTGCGAGTGCATCTTGATCAGCTCCGGAATGATCAAACTCTCAATCTCGATCCCGTTGCGACTCAGCTCGGACTCGTCTGCGGCTAGAGGCCTCGACTCGTTCGCCTGGTCGCCGCCGCCGCCCGCCGCGAGCTGCCGCGAGTGCTCGGCCAGCCCGACCTGGTCCTCGACCCCGGAGATGCTCTTGCTGCGCTTCGACTTGGGCACCCGGATCCAGCGTTCGTGCGGCGGGTCCGGCGTGACAAAGACCACTTCCCACTTGCGGGTCGAGAGCAGATTGCCGATCACCAGGTGATGCGAGTACCGCTGCAGCGCCGTGCGCGCCTTGTACACCAGGATACCTGGGTCGGTCTCCAGCTTGAACGAGACAATCATGCTTCCGTCTGGCGCCCAGCCATCGACAAGCCGGTGCAGGAACTTTGGCACCGGGTCCAGATCGATGATTAGTTTCTTGCTATTAGTCGGCGGTTGGGCCTCGTTCTCGCCTGTGTAGACGTCTGCCGGGTCAATGGCGTCCTCTTGCCCCTGTTGCTGCTGCTGCTGGCGTACGCTGTCAGGGATCTCCGACGACTGGATCTTGTGTTCCACCATGCGGTCGCGCGGAATGAAGAAATCGCTGACCGCCGCCGCGAGGTAGAATAGCGCGTTGGGACCAAGCGGGCGCATCAGTTGTGCTAGGGAGCGCAGCTCAAAGAGATACTCCGATACCGTTGTGAATGGGAGCAAGAGCAGCAGATTGTTTTTCTTGGCATACCGGTATTGGCGCAGCACATCGCGCATCTCATCCTGGTACTCATCGCGCACCACAATGGGCCCATGGTTCGGACCCTCCCCCCCCGCGGACGATGAGCAGGTGGCTTCGTCCATAAAGTCAAGGAAGCAATTGGTTGAGTGGCTGTAGTGCCGGGAATAGGGCAGCAAGCTGAATTGCCGATGCAGAAAAATCACCGCATATCCCGCTTGCAGGAAGTATTCCGCAGACGTTGCTCCGCGAGTTCCCGCGGAGAAGTTGTCGATGAAGCGCACCGTCTGATTCTCCAACGGCACCGTGGTGCCTCCTGAAGTGACAAGCACCAGCCGGCGGTTCGCCTCGACGTGATAATCGATGAATGCCCGCGCTAGAGATTCATGTTTCTGCAGCGCTTTGGGTGGAGGGTAATTGTTGAAATACATGGATTCCGCTTGGGCAGGAGACATCTCCCCCATTGCATCTACTGTCGACATGGCGAGAGAAGGTTGGATATTCAGCTAGACGTCTTCTTTCTTTTCTTTTCTTCTTCTTTTCCTTTCAATTGACTACCGTCTCCGATTCCGGCGCGGGTGAGGGGTGGTCTGGCTGGTACTAGTACCTTGAGCTGGTTAGCAATAGACACATAACAATGTAACGGAAGCAGAAATATGTTACAAGGTTTTTGAATCGAGATTTTCAAAATTCAATTACCGGCTTCCTGGTAGATTTTCTGCTTATTATCGTGCTGTTAAACTGGTCACTGGGAGAGTGAGACACCCCTCATGCGGGCATACAAATTTGGTGTCAGCAGGAGTCACTAAAACCGCTCCCCCGATATCCAGCCAAGGGCCAGTATAGAGATCAACACCAACAGTAAGGCACAAGGAGGAATCAAGGATGAAAAATGATGAATCAATGGTCAATTTGCCATGGTACCGCAGAGACTGAAGCGTCAACAAGAAACCTCCCCTTCCCCTCCCCTCCCCCTCCAAGATAAATAATGCCGCCGGTTGTGCCGCGCACCGCTTTTGCTTCCGCTTTTAGCACCTGACGTCAGCTGAATCCGTCATCTGACATTTGGCAGATGAGTCATCATTCTGCCATCTGGCAGTTTGATCATGTGATATGGGAAGGAAGTATTAGGTAATCTTTCCAAGACACTGGGAATAGTTTCTAAATTGACCGAAAAGGAGACATTAATCTATCAAAATGTTAATCATATCGAGTAGCTTGGTTATAGTACTTGGCCGGGAAATCAAATTGTGGGCCCCAACGCCTCGCCTGCTGCCATTCCCTGCTGTTTTCAAAAGGGGGAAGAAGAGAAAGAAAAGAAGAAAGAAATGATCTACAAATAACGACTACGTAAGGCTTGACTGATTGTGCTCATCCGGCTCGCCATCCCGCCGTGCTGCATGTTGCTCATAAGGGCTTCTTCCAGCGCGGACTGGGTCACACTAGCATCTGCGTTGAAGATTATTAGACAACCGGAAAGGGCGAGGGGGGGGGGGGGTGATAGGCATGGACTGGACGTACCGTCGAGATCACTAAAGCTGCTCCCCATGCTAGGAGTGTCATCGCTAACGTCCCGCCCAGATGCAACGGACCGCCTGGAGCTAAGACGGGATAGCTCTGCGGTGCGTCGCGGGCTCGGAACACCAGCTATCTGGTTCGTGCGCCGCGGATGGTCACCCCGAGGATGGCTGACTGGGACCCCGGAGCTAACAGAGCTGGTAGATGAGTCTGCAGTGGTAGACTTGTGGAGCGGTGGAGGGGGCCGGTCCGCGGTGCGTCTTTTGTGAATCGGGGGCCTTTGCGCTTCCAGACGGAGGGTGGCATTTGGATCCTGCCCAAGTGATTCACGCCCAGACGGTGTAGGCTCATATGTCATGGGCAAGAAAGCGGGTGATTCATCCACATCGTCGTCTTGATCATCGCGTAGCCCAGGCCGGTGGATCGAGAATTTCCCGAACCGCTTGAATCTGGCTCCCCTCCGGCCAGAAATTTCATTCTCAGAGTCCGAGCTCGACTCCTTGGATGACGAGCTAGAGCTGAGATCCTCCTCTTCGAGAGTCGGGGATCTATGAAACTGTGCTACCGCGGCCTGCTCCCGTCGCGTAGCAGATGGCCGTCGGCCGGCGGATTCCCATTTTGGATCTGCAACTTCCACAGTCGGTGTATTGTTGCGAGAAGTCTCCCGTGTGCCTCGTAGCTGATTCACAGTAGAGGTAGAACTAGTGCGATGAATTCCAGCAGCTAGAAGTTACCGAATAGCAATGCCGTCAGTAATCTTCGAATACCATCTCGCCATCATCATTATCCTTCTTGCCCGGCCCCATGGATAGCCGGGCAGATACACATACCTCGCTGCGAAGATGCTTCCTTCTGATACGACGCCAGTCGAGAAGAAACACGTTGTCCTTCAAAATTAACAAAAGAGATCCCTAGAATGTCTCTTGACAGAGAGCAAACTGAAACACACCTGAACTTAGAGTACCCTTCGCAGGCTGTCCGCCAAGTGCAGTGCTGCCTGACACCGAGCCACCGGTAGGAGAGGGAGCATTGGGCTGTGTGGACCCAACCTTGCGCATCTGCGCACGGACTTTTGATAGCTGTTGGTCATACAACCATGCTGCCTGCTGAAGCAGGAACTGCAGAGTCACATCGAAGTTATCCGCCCTAGTATATTCGTCAGCAACGTCATTGTGGTCGTTGATGAAGCGAAGCCCAGGGGGGGGGGAATTCACAGTGCTTTCCCTGTTGGCCATGTCAGTATTAATTTAGTTGCTTGTAAGGAAGAAACACCGGAGGGGAGGGAGACAGGAGAAAAAAGAAAAAAGAAACAATCTCACAGTCTACATCATCTCCCTTGGACGGACGCGAGAGAATGTCCCAAAGGGCTTGGTCTTTAGCTACATTCCACTCGATCTGGAAGAGGAACGATTAGCAGTTGCGTGACAAAGTGAATACGGGGAACTCACGGGAGGTGGATCCACGAAGTCGCCTCTAGGAATCGGGAGGCGTATAAACACTGTGTAGTTCACATTGCCATGCTGGGATGCTGCAGCCATAGCTGTCGCTCAACAGCGCCCTGTTGATGTAGATCGCACAAGGTGCATATGACGTTGAGGAGTGCAAATGTTGACTTTCCAGCCAGATCTGGCGGTCGGTTAAATTTGCAAGCAATCTTTTAGATGGATTCTGCTCCAGCCCGGATCAGAGAGCTCTGTCGGTGGAGATTCTGGTGATGAATCCAAGAGGCACGTCGCCAGGGGGAGGGAAACATGAGGTCAGAAAAAGGAAGTGGGCATATGTATGGAGACGTGGTTTTATAAGCTTTGCGGCAAATATTTTCGACATGAGTACCGGGCTCGCTTATTGCCACAGCTATCTCCACAGCCAATCAGGTCTCAACCCATCTTTTACCACAACGACTTTGGTAGCAGTCGATGTTGATGAATACAGATGCCAGCCTCTAGATGATATGGAATCGAGTCCTTACTGTTTATGTTAAATGTGGATATGAGCATCTAAGACTGGGCGCGAGTATACAACAGCAATATTGATAGAATAATAAGGTAGAGTCATATCAAAACATTACTACTATATTAAGCGTGATATATAAGGATTGTACATGGGCTTGTCAATAGGAAATTGTCACCAGAGATGGTATGTGATAGCAGCTTCGGATCACCCCTCGAAGCTCTAAAGGGCAAAGACCGCAGCAGCAAGAGCTACAAGGCCATAAGCAGAGCTGCTGTACTTATTTACACTAGCTGCTCCAGTGTACACGGGTGCAGTCGTAGAAGAGGAGCTTGCTTGTCCTGAAGCCTCGCTCTCTGTCGTAGTGACAGCAGAAGAACTGGAAGGGGGGACGGATGCTGCCGTTTCAGTTGAAACAGATTCGCTTGGAACCGAGGAGGAAGAAGGTACTTCAGCTTCGGTGGTAGGGGCAGAGGCAGTGGAAGAAGGAACTTCAGTCTCGCTAACAGAGGCTGTCGTTGGAGCAACTTCAGTTTCTGTAACAGAGGCGGTTGTTGGAGCGACCTCGGTCTCGCTCACAGAGGCTGTCGTTGGAGCGACTTCGGTCTCGGTAACAGAGGCGGTTGTAGGGACAACCTCGGTCTCAGTAACAGAAACAGTTGTAGGAGCGACTTCGGTCTCGGTAGCAGAAACGGTTGTTGGAGCAACTTCAGTCTCGGTGACTGGGGCAGTAGTCGTTGAAGCGACTTCAACTTCAGTGACAGGGACAGTCGTTGTCACACCCGCGGGCAATGTGTTGGAACCAGTGCATGATCCTACCCAAACGGTACTGGTGATAAAAAGAGTGCTGGTAGAAGTAATCTCTGATTCGGTTTCGATAGACGAGCTGGCAGGAGGCGGTGCGCCCTTCCCTTTACCAGTTGTAGTTGGCTTTCCACCAGGCTTGCCCGGGTGCTCGGTAGTGGATTTTCCGCTGGGCTTACCAGGGTGCTCGGTAGTGGTCTTCCCGCCAGGCTTACCAGGGTGCTCGGTAGTGATCTTCCCACCGGGCTTACCAGAGTGCTTGCCGGTAGATTTTCCAGTGGGTTTGCCAGTGTGAACGTGGGTTGAGGATGCAGTCAAGACTCCAGTCGACCCGGTAGAAACTGCCTTCGATGATCCAGTAGAGACTGCCTTGGAGGATCCAGTAGAGACCGCAGTCGAAGATCCAGAGACTGCGCTGGAAGAACCAGAGACTGCCGTCGAGGAACCAGAAACTGCCGTCGAAGAGCCAGAAACTGCAGTCGAGGAACCAGAAACTGCCGTCGAGGAACCAGAAACTGCCGTCGAGGAACCAGAAACTGCCGTCGAAGAGCCAGAAACTGCAGTCGAGGATCCAGAGACTGCCGTCGAAGAACCGGTCGAAATCGCTGTTGATGATCCAGAGACTACTGTCGAAGAACCAGATACTGCCGTCGAGGAACTGGTAGATACCGCCGTCGAAGATCCAGTCAAAACTACTGTCGAGGAGCTCGTCGTTGGAACAGAAGAGCTGGTTGCGGGGACAGAAGAAACGGATGTTGGAACACTGGAACTCGAAACGGCTGAAGTTGCGCTGCTGACAAGAGCCGAGTAGGCATTGATTCCCTCTTGAATGGAGTCCGTGATATAAGCTGCGAGTTCAGCAGCAAAAGTCTGCAGTCCAGAAGGTACCTGGGCATTGATAGCATCGGCAAGGTCAGCGGACGCGGTGTACTGCTGCTCAAGGTTCGATAAAATGGTGGAAACCAGGCCAGCAGCAACGACCTCTGACTGGATGTTGATGAGATCGGTGATGGTTGTATTGACCGCGTCGATGAGGGTTTCGATGGAACCTGCAAGGGTAAGGGCATCGGATTCGCTCAACGCAGCTGATTCTTCGACAATCGGGATGCCGGCTTCAATGACTGACACCAAAGTCACTGAATCAGACACAACGGCGTCCAAGTCACCGGCGAGGATGTCGGTATCGACTAGTTCCACCTGCGCTGCAATTGAAGCAACGACACTAGTGATCGAGGCAAGGTCACGCTCAACCAGCGTGGGCTCTTTGCTCACCGGAGTAGGCTCGGCGAGCACACCAGCGGCGAAGCCAAGGGTGAAAATAGAGATGACAGCACTGATCTTCATCTTGCCGGCTAACTAACGAGAGACGATGACAGGTCAAGAAGAGGAAAGGAAATCCACGATTAGAGGGGCCCACGGTAGACTCTAAAGAAGGCGAGCTCCGATCAAGCCTCTCTAGGAGCGCCGGAAGAGTTATCAAGCTCTCTATATATGCATTGTAGACCTCTTCCCCGAGAGGATGGGAGGGGGGGACTAGAAGCTCCACTGTTGAAATTGGTGATCGGTCTTTCAGTTTAGGGGAGGATATGGCAATCGAAACCCTGCATGAGGAGCAATTAGTGGGAAATGAAGTGTTCATGGCCCTCGGCAGTCTACCTGGTTCATTAGCGCTCCTTTTCGATCCCTTCCAAGCGCACGAGCAGGTCTATTTTGCCGACATCACCAAATACTCCTAGTAATCGCCTTCTTCTTTCTCCAATCATATTTCCCAAGTCTTGTGTGAGTCGATGCAGACAAATCACCTCTCCGCATAGTTAGTACTGAAAGACCCCTGCCGTCAATGATTAGTCTGGGGAAGAAGATCATATTCTCCGCTTGTTCTTGAGGAAATGTCTCAGAGACTTGTTGGCGCTATATGTCTTGCAAGGGTCATCATTGGACGAACGGCGGTATGTCCGTGTCTAGTAATCCACTAGTTTATTAACTCTTGGCTGTCCATACTACATGGTAAGACAGGTCTAACTGTTATAACTCACAGGTTTGTCAAGGGTCTAGTCAGGAGCTTATGTAGCAGTAGTACCCGACGCCTTATTTTCAAATCTCCACCATTCGCAAGAGCGAAGCCCTGGGGTCTTTTCACATAATCACCCTCCAGGGCCAAATGCAGGTGCAAGGTACCTTCACATGCTGCCTCGTAAGATAGGTGCCAGGGGCCGAGAAACAAAACTGCTTCGATTTCCATGAGTCAGGCCGAGGTATTCGCAAGTACCCCCCTCTCGAGTCGACATCCACGTGGTGTGCATTTCGGTGCTTTGAGCATCGTACGGTATTGGGAATTGGAATTGAGACCACGACAGCACAAATTACATCGCCCATATAGTGCTTGACAGACAAGACAGAGGGGTGGAGAATTTTGCTTTTTGGTAAGATCCTGGAGGGAAGTCCCTGATCACGAGCTTTGCCTAAATGGGAGACGGACTAGCAGTTTTGTCACTAAAGGATTTACCATTACTTTTGAGAAATTGTACGCTCTAGCGAGACTTTTCCTTGGGAGTTTACCGTCTAGATTCAAATAGTGAGGTATTTTATTGATAGCTGAATGTTTGGGGGGTCATGGGTATGATCTCGCCCTAGAAGTATGTAGTAGTATCATCCACCTCTGAAGTACTACCCCGTATTTTTATAGCCACCTGCTAAAGGCATCCATATGGAGCCTGCTTTGCGGTATTAGGTACCCTTAGGGGAGTATAATCAAACGTGATTTGTATTCTGTGTTGCACGTGAAAGCTGAATATCCTCGATCTTGCCAAGGTAGTCCTTCGTCGGGCAGGAAATACTTTCGGGGGGTTCTCCTAATACCATTTTGATCCCAGTTAGCCATAACCACTTCAAATAGAACATGTGCAAGGTTGTTAATCGACAATAAGTTACCTGTCTAGTGAGAGGTAGGATGTTCTCGCTAGAATCAGGTTAGAGTCTTACTCCAGGTCGTTTCCCTGTCATCCACTTGGTTTTCTTTGGCGGATATTCTTAGCATTGACCCTCCGGCCTTCCTTGAGGGTTTGATGGCAGCAAGTTGCTGTGGTAGCAATGCTTTCTCCATCGACGATTGCTGTTCGCAGAGCGGATATCAACTTCGGGATCATTACCCACAGACAGCTGCGGTAGATCATTGAGATCAAAACTCGTGAATTTATACTACTCTGCTTCACCTGAGCTTTTCCAGGAGTGATACATGAGAACAATATATCGTAGTCTCCCGTCTTCCTCGGGGAATTTCATGCCTGGGATGGAATGCCATTATCCCCAAATGAGGCCACCCTTGTTGATTCAGCGCGAATAATAGATTTCAAGAGAACTATGCTCAACATTCGTTCTGCTTCAGATAGTAAGTATGACAAGTCCAGGGATTTACTTCCAAGCTAATTGTACGTAGTTCAGACTCGATCAATTCTTGGTCGACTCTCATCGATATATCCCGCTCGGGTTGTATTGTCTGCACAGGATCATCCTGCCGTCAAATTTCGAGGCGATTGATCTTGTTCTATTGACAGAAATGACTTCTCTATCGAAAAGGCTTTCTGCCAGGGTTGTTTTTTTCGTTAACAGGCTCGCAAGCCGCAGTTGGTTCCCTGTTGGCTTACGAGTCAGGACATGTTTTCGCCTTGAGTTTTTTACCTCAATTTGCGCCTACCTGACTTAATTGGTACTCAGTAAGAACCGCAATTACTCTCTGCTCAATATCTTGTCGTTTTCAAGGGATGGTATTGCGTGAAATGTGGAGAGGAAAATACTTAGCTGAGTCTTGAGCGGGGTTCTGGCTGTCCGGGTGGTTTGATGAGGGGAGCTCTCTCTCTCTCTCCAGAGGACCTCACCAAACATCCATCCTTTCTTTGGCTGAGACCAGAAGTACCCAGGTACCACACGCCACCATGACTCAATCTTTGACTGCCCAGTGCGAGGACATTCTTGCCGCTGTTAAACAGTTTGAGCAGTCTGACAAGCAAGATCGAGCAGAGCGCCTGCGGCTTATCCAGTCATTGAACAAGCTGACTGTACAGCTGAAGGACCCGAAGGAGGCCATATTCGACCATTTTACAAACGTACAGACACTCCGAGATTCGCTAGCTACATGTTGATATATGTGTAGTTCGTCGAAACGTGTAACCTGCGTGCCCTGCTTGAGCTCCGCGTCCCCGAGACAATACTCCGCGATGGCAGTGCAACAGCTGCTGAGTTGGCAGCAAAATGTGGGACGGACGAAGCCTTGATTGGTAACTATTTAATTTTCTATGAGTGTTTATACGGCCATGTGCTTATTGTTGGGAATGGGTACCCGGCTATTGATCAGCCCGTTTGATGCGAATCCTCACGGTTACCGGGATCTTTACTATGGTCGGGCCAGACGAATACGCCCACACGCGTCTCTCGCTGGCGTATCTGGATGGTCACGAAGTGGACTTTTTCAAGTTGATGTGAGCAATGGGTTTCTCCAGACACGGTGCTTTTGTACCTTTAATAACCATTCTAGATGCGACGCTATCCTGGCGAACACCTCTCGGCTGCCTGCGTATTTTGCTGAGTTAGGAGCCAAAGATACAACCAGCATTACCATCAACCCTTTCTCCTGGGGAAACAATAAGCTGGGCCAGACCTTCTTCGAAATCATCTCGCAGGACGAGAATCGGCTCAAGCTCTTCGACATCGCCATGTCGACGCAGGATAATGTCCTTCCCGTGTTAGGTATGTATCCGTTTGGAACGGAGCTGGCCAACGTCCCAGACACCGATACCAGGGCATTGCTTGTCGACATCGGCGGCGGCAGAGGGCATTCCTTATTGCAGATCCAAGAGGAATGGCCCGACCTAAAGGGCAAATTCGTCCTTCAGGACCGCCCGATGGTTCTGAACCCGCTACCAGAAATGCTAGGCATCGAGAAGATGGCTCATGACTTCTTTACGCCGCAGCCGGTTCAACGTGAGCGCTGTTCTTGAATGATCATGGACCTACCCATGCTAAATTCCCCTGATCACAGATGCTCATGCCTACTACATTCGACGCAGCCTCCACAACTGGACAGACGAGCTCTGCGTGAAGATTTTCCAGCAGATTGTACCGGCCATGGCCTCGGACTCGCGGGTGCTGGTGGGTGAGATGGTCGTCCCGGAGTACGGCAGTGAGCGACCGGGCAATGTCGAGGATATGGCACCGTACTGGATGGATCACGCCATGTTCGCCTTGGGCGGACGGGAACGCACCGAGTCTGACTGGCGACGACTCTTTGACGGGGCAGGCTTGAAGCTGGTGAAGATCTGGCGGAGCGCAGCGGGGAGCCAGGCGGTGCTGGAAGCTCGATTGGCCTAGATTCTACTAGCCACTGGCATTGATGTCTACCTACCCTACCATGGAGTACTGATAGCTCTCCGATTACGCAGGCTAAGCAGAGAGATACGAGGTAATAGATAGTGTCACAGGAATATATGACCATGTTGGGCCCTATCAGATGTCTGATATACTCAAGGCTAGATATCCAACCAAGCAGGATTAGTCCCACGTCAGCAAGGCGCTGTTATAGCTGTCATCTGTGAAACTTCTGTAGAATGATTATATCTCTTGTTTCACTTGCTGGTTTCTCTCGGGCACTTATGTCGTTGAATTGGACTGGGTTTGAAATAGTACTTGAAAGGTGCATTACGCAAACCCAGATCGCTAAGACGATAGGTCCGCGCTATAAAACACACTCCCACCCATCCAGCACGAGTTAGTTGATATCAGTCTTGAATGATCCCCCCACTAGTGAGACAGCTTTTACTGTGATAATCCTAGTCATGTCCCTCTTCAGCTACGTATACCTCAAGGTCGTCGTGACGATCCTCCGATTCCTACGAAAATCCAGGGGAAAGGAGATCGCAGTGCACCCCGACAGAATCATCCAGATCCCCTCCCGAGATAAAGGCCGCACGCTGACCACCCACGTCTACACGCCCAACAAGGACGATAAGAAGCAGCCCAGTCCCGTCCTGATCAATTTCCATGGCAGCGGATTCGTCTTCCCCATGCACGGAACAGACGACGAATTCGCGCGTCGCATCGGCCAGCAATCCGGGTACATCGTGCTCGATGTGAGGTACCGACTGGCGCCCGAGAACCCCTTCCCCGCGGCACTGCACGACGTCGAAGACGCCGTCAACTGGGTACTCGACCAACCGGGGCGGTTCGACGTCTCTCGCGTCGCCATCTCGGGATTTAGCGCGGGGGGCAACTTGGCCCTCGCGGCCGCGTCGTGTGTCTTCCCACAACCGACTTTCTCCTCCCTTTTAGCCTTCTATCCTCCAACGGATATCTCGCAGGATCCCGAGACCAAGACTGCCCCTAGTGCGGGCGGGAAACCCATCCCAGCGTTCATGGCGAAGCTGTTTAACCGGTGTTACGGGGCCCCTCCGCTGGACCCGCGCGACCCGCGCATCTCGCCTTCATACGCCGATCCCCAACGGTTTCCGCATAGAGTGCTCATCGTGACGGCTGGGTATGACAATCTTGCGCCCGAGGCGGAGGAGCTGGCGGGCAAGATTGCAAAGGTGCCGGGGCGGGCTGTGGTCTGTCAGAGGATGGAGGGCTGTAACCATGGCTGGGACAAGACAGCGCAGAAGGGCACCCTGCAGGAAGAAGCGAAGGAGAGGATGATCTCTCTTGCCCTGGAGATGCTAAAGTAGTCTGTAGTATCCTACAGTGTGGTTTACAATAGTAATAGCGGTTTTATTGTTCGTCAACTATCCCCTGAGACAAGATTCAGCTCTAATTGAAAGCACACACCATGGCTGGTGGATGGCGTCAGTCCAAAGGAATAATAAGGCACTGGAGTCTGGCAGCCTCAGGCAGCCAGGCTCGGACCGGACCGTGACTTTCTGTGCCCTGAACCCTAGATGCCTATTCGAGCCATGACTAGCGGAATCGCCGGGCAACGATAAGGCCCCATAAGGCTCGCAACGGGGATTCCTGACAATGCGATTTCGTGCAGCCTCAGGCGAATGGCCGGGCCAATTGCGCCCTTCGGCATTCGGATGGATCGGTCGGCCAGGCGGGTCTTGCATGGATCGGTGATGGCGAAGGATGGCCTGAGTTGAGAGGTGAAACCAGCAGCTGCAGAGCTAGTCTAGTAGGACTCCTGATCTCCCACTGTCTGCCTCCCCCTGTCTTGTTCCTCGCCATCGATCTCTCTTGCCGTTGTCTTTCGTTCTTGTCGCTTTTTGCGTGGGTGAGTGTGTTATTGCGAAGGTTCGGATGAGCTGCACCAATTCCCCCTCGTCCACCGTGCTGATCCAGGTACTGTGGACGGGTTTTGTGACGATTGAACTCCCCCACACGTACCCCTGAAGTCGAGACTCGCTGCCCCTCCTTCCGACCGATGCATGTCAGCAGATAAACCAGTACGTTACGTTAGAGACAGGAGCTCAACACCATCACCGCCCCTACCACCCCGCCTTCTTGTTCATGGCCATGGATCACCTGGATGGCCCCGCAAGGCCAGGTGGTCCGAGTCTTGACGAAGACCAATATCGTCGTGAGGTGCTGCGCTTGCCGTCCAGGGAAGCCGAGTGTTCGGCCGAGCAGAGCCTCGTCGAGGAGGCTCAGGCGTTGGGGCTCGACATCCCCGCCGTCGAGATTGCCGCATCGCTGGCCGCGTCGATTGCCTCGGGCATCGTGCGCCTGCCGTCGCCGTCGGGACCCTCGTCGGGCTCGTCGACTGACCGCAACTCCTTCAGCGAGACCCGTGCCGACTCCCCCGCCGCCGCCGCCGCAGCAGCAGCAGCAGCAGTAGGGACGACGACGTCATTTTCACGAGCCGTCAGCAGCAGCAGCCAGCCGCCATTGGATCAGCTGGTTTCTTCTTCCTATGCCGAGATCACCGTGGTGTCGCGTCGCGGCAAGTCGGATAGCGGACGGTCAGTCGCCTCCCTTTCCACCCGGCCGACGTCTTACAGCTCCAATGAGGGCAGACAGACTCATGGCGGCAGCCATGAATTTTCGCCCACGAGTCCGAGCTTGAGTGGGCAGAGCGATTCAACGCTTAGCGTTCTGTCATCGGCGGGGCTCAAGTCCAGCCGGCGCAGCAGTCTGAAGAACGCGATTGGGAGGATCTATTTCCGAAAGAAGCGCACCCCGTCCTCCATCCTCCTACCGCCCACCGCTCAGATCACAATCGCCAGGGGGGAAAGCGGACAAGAAAACGTTGTCGTGGTGGAATCGCAGAGCGAACCACGGACCTCGTCGGCGACGACAGAGTCCCTGCAGCAGGAGCAGCAGTCGGAACAACCACTCAAGGTGGAGGTGCCCGTGTATGATTCGGCTGCCTTACAACGGAGCATGAATGACCCCCAGCTGGTGGAAATGCACGAGTTGCACCAACTGGAGAGAAATCGTCATATTGCATTCCAGAATGCCGCGATCAGTCTCCTCAGGCAGAAGCAGCAGGCTGCCCTCAATTTCAAGATGGCGCAGGATAAACAGCAGGAGGAGGAGAAGCGGGAAAAGGTAACACAAGACCGTCCCCTTTTAGATAAGGTAGTTACACAGCAACGAAGTTTTACTGACTCGGGGCCTCTCCTCTTCTCTTTCATAAATAACTAGAACCTCCATGATATTTCTCGAATGGAAGAACGACAGCTCGTGGCAGAGATGGAACAGCGCCGAGAGTTCGACAAGGCAAAAATGAACTCTCGCACCCGAATCAAACACATGGAGGGGTACTTGAGCACCAGCAGTAGCAGCAGCCCCCCGCAGTCCCCGCGCCCAGAAGCCGATTCAGACTGGGACGCGGTGCACCAACCGCTTCGGAAATTCACCAGCCAGCACAAGGCGCAGCTGGCGCAAGAGTACCACGACCACGACTCGATGGACCAGCTGCATGAGGCACGGATCAAGGTCCTCCGCGACCAACAGGAAATCAAGCTCCAGGAAGCAATGGCCCGCATGGCGCAGGAACTCGACAGTCTGGTCGAGCAGCACGCCGAGGAGCTGGCCGCCCTCCAGCGACAGCACCAGCAGGAGGAGCTCTCCGTGCTGCAGGCCCTGCACGGGCGTAAGATCAAGCTGCGTCGCCGCTGGACAGTCGAGGAAGCCGTGCTGCGCAAGAAACTCGAACTGCGCGACGAGGGTCTCGTGTATGGCCCGCTACCCGTCTTGTCCTTTACCCAGGTCCACGGGGATACCGGCCGCGACTCGGGCATTTGCGTTGTCGAGGGGGATGGGCGGAGTGACGCTTCAAATAATGATGTGATGTGATGTGATTATGATACCCTTGGCAAATTTTTTTTTATAATCTCCTGCTATATACTCCTTGTAATTTTCTTACCTTGATGTTTTCTTCTTGCCTGTTCATTCTGTCACATTGGCGTCTCTACACTCGATAGATTGACGTACCTGAATAGACCTACATTAATATACTACCTACCCATAAGATGCTCAAGTACTTATTTAACAACTGTATCCAACAACCGATTTAAAACACTCTCCACCCTGGCATCCCCCCCGGTCAAAGCATATTCAAGCGCTTTATCTCTCCCCGAGTCTCCAATGACGACCGCCCGCTCGACCCGTCCCGAATCCGAGACCTTGAACCGGCCGACGCGCCCATCCGCCCATTCCAAACGGATATACCGAGCCTCCAACGCCGTGGCGGCCAGGGAAACAATTCTCTCGCCTTCACTCTCTGCGGGAATGGATTCGGTGTGTTTGGCTAGCTCCTCCTTTAGAAACTCAACGGCGTCAAGTCGTAAATGCCACGCGACGAGTTCCCGACGGATCTCACGCACAAAGGCGGGGAGATCCTGTTTCCTTGTCTGCGGGGGTTTGAGCTCTTCTTCGTCACTATCCTCGCGGGAGGATTTATGATGCGCTGCTTGGGATGGGAGATATATCTCTGCGAGGGAGTCGAGAGGAATAAACGCCGGGATGGTATGTCTGTGAACACGGAGACGGGGGGGGTCTCGATTCCGTTTTCCCACACGGTTGGTGGTGTCCTTCTTATTTCCCTCCCGTTTCAGGAGGATATAGTATGGTTTCGTGAAGTGGCCGGTCCGTCGACAGATGTCGATCCGCACGCCGAGCAGGGACGCGTCGTCTGCGTGCGGGGAGGGGTCGTGGAAGGGGAACGTCGTGGTGGAGAAGGCGATGCGGTGGTGGTTCACCGAGACATGGGCATCTGCTGTCTCGATGAGGGGGGAGACATCCAATTCTACAGCAGATGATGCTGCTGCTTGTTTTGCCGAGGCGAGGCGCGTCTGGATGGGTTCGGAGGAGAGCAGGCTGGATGTCAAGAAGCGTTTGCGCTTGCGGAGGTTTTCGACTGGACGAAACGTTAGCTTTTACCTTCAATGTGAAACTCCCTAGGTATAGAACATACTTTCTGCTCTCACAGAGGAGATCTCTGCATCGAGTTCCTCCATGGTGAATACAATCTTGATAACAAAGTGACTTGAGGTTATCTGGAGGATATATTTATGTACTACTTGTATTGACAGCTAAGCCTGTTTGGTATAGTGCCTATACAGGTATGTACCTAGTAGGTTAACTACCTAGGTAGTTAGTTAAGGTACCCTAGTAGTAACTAATACCAATACCTATGAATAGTATATTCTAAATCTTTCCAGTTCCAATCCTTTAATTAGCTATCCATGTGGTTAGTACTATTATTTATGAGAAGATCATCTGATGTCGAGAAGAAGAGAGTGCTCTCATTCTATTCATTGGTATGCACTACTAGGTACGAGTCAGTCGGGGAAAATTACAATCACGTGAGTGTATTATTTGTGTATTGTGTAATGTTACACTGTTTTTCCATGTGATTGTGGCACATCTTCAGTCATGAAGTAATTTAGAGACATCCTTGGAGTCTATTATTGCTGTGGAATAAATAAATTTGATGAGACTACACATTATTAGCTATTCCTAGCTGGCTGCTCGATACTCCACGATAACTAGCACTCCATAATCTGTCCTGGTTATTGATAAGACCCCCTGTATCTCAATAAGACCAGATAGACAAAGAGACCAATTCTCCAAAACCAGGTATAAACACCAGGTTGTACCCCAGGAAAGATCATCAATGTACCAGAGCAGTAGCTATAATTATTAAATCTCTAGTGTCTATTATCCTCCTCTCGGAATCTGGCGCTTAATCGTTATTGCCAATAGTCTAGAGCCACAGGCAAAAACCCACTCTTTATTCGTTAAGGCCAGCTTGCACCAAAATTTCCCCATCTGCCTAAAAGTTCCCTCTTCTCCCCCCCTCCCCTCCTTTCTCGCATGGATGCCTCTGCCTCTTGAGCCAGACACGCCTCCCTTGCCTCGCCATCTCCCCTCTACTACGCCAGGATCATCCCTCCATGTCCCCCACGCTCATTACCCTCGCCACCATCCCCAGGACCAGGAGCAGAACGCGGTTGAACTCGATTCTTTAGGCGCACGCGACGCGCCCACCCTCCCTCCATACACCCCCGCGATACGACCACCTTTCACTCCTTCACCAGATATTACCGATTGTAAAGAACAGGACCAGTTTGAGCTAGAAGAAGAAGAGGAGGAGGAACAAGAGGAAAACGCGGCATTTCTTGGGGAAGCTCCGGATCATCGTGGCCGTGATCGAACCCAGATGAAGCGTAAGAGCGTTGCCAAGCGCCGCTCCAAACCGAGCCTGACCATCGCGACCGGGCAGAACGGCCATGCGAGTGGCAGCAGCGGAGACATGAATTCCGCCGGCGTCGAAATGCGCAAGAGGGACGCCTCCCTCGAGTCGTCGACCCCTTCGGCGCGCGCAGCGCGCCTGATCTCAAGATCCGACTTTACCCTGGACGAGGAGCCGCCCATGACCCCCCAGACACCCGCGATGACAACAACCAGTTTCCATAGCCTGCCGCTGAACGACCGGAGGAACTTCTTGTTGCTTGTGCTGCTGTATTTCTTGCAGGGGGTGCCGATGGGCCTGGCGTCGGGCTCGGTCCCGTTCCTGCTCAAGCCGTACCTGTCGTACGGCCAGATCGGGATCTTCTCCCTCGCCTCGTACCCATACTCGCTCAAGTTGCTGTGGAGTCCGATTGTGGACGCTGTCTGGAGTACCCGCTTCGGCCGGCGCAAGAGCTGGATCACCCCTGTCCAGGTGGTGTCGGGTCTGGCCATGATTTACCTGGGAGCAAACATCGACGAGATGATGAAGGCGGCCGGAGCGAACGGTGGAGCCGGGGTCTGGGACTTCACCTGGTGGTGGTTCGTGCTGGTGTTCTTCTGCGCGACGCAGGACATCGCGGTCGACGGGTGGGCGATCACTCTGCTGTCGCCGCCGAACATCTCGTACGCCTCGACGGCGCAGACCGTGGGGCTGACCGCCGGGCATTTTCTGTCCTATACCGTTTTTTTGGCCTTTAACTCGGCCGACTTTGCCAACCGCTGGTTCCGGAGCACACCCGCCGAGGGCGGTTTGCTGTCACTGGGCACCTATCTGACTTTCTGGGGTTGGGCGTACCTGGTGGTGACGGTGTGTCTGGCTGTGTTGAAAAAGGAAGACCGCACCAGAGAGCGGGACGGGATCTTGGACGTGTACAAGAGCATGTGGAGCGTTCTAAAGCTGAAGAACATCCAGACCATCATCATCATCCACCTGATCGCCAAGATCGGCTTCCAGGCCAACGATGGCGTGACGAGTCTGAAACTGCTGGACAAAGGGTTCGGCCAGGACAACATGGCCCTCGTCGTTCTCATCGACTTCCCCTTTGAGATCGGCCTAGGCTACTATGCTGGCAAATGGTCCACCGAGTACACGCCCATGCGACTCTGGTGCTGGGCCTTCATCGGCCGACTCGCAGCCGCCGTGCTGGCCCAGGCCACCGTCATGATCTATCCGGCCAGTCTCGACGTCCCCTTCTGGTACCTGCTAGCCGTCATTGGCGAGCATATCATTTCGACCTTTATGAACACGGTCATGTTTGTCGCTGTCTCTGCTTTCCATGCCCGCATCGCCGATCCCAGCATCGGTGGAACCTACATGACATTACTAGCTACGTAAGTTCTTTTCCCCCTCCTTTTGGAAAATATTGTTTATAAGTTTGCATGCTGATAATCCTAGTGTATCCAATCTTGGTGGAACATTCCCCCGCTACTTCATCCTCAAGCTGGTGGACCTCTTCACCGTAGCGACATGTCTCCCACCCACCACAGTTCCCAACCCGGACACCCTAAAGGAACCGCTGGTGACCGAGGCGTTTTCCTGCGCGCTGGAGCCGGACAAGAACCGATGCGTGCGCGGCGGAGGTACATGCGAGGTCGGACGGGATGGGTACTATATCACCAACATCATCTGTGTCCTGCTCGGGGTGGTCACCTTTGTCATGTTCATCAAACCGGCCGCCTTGAAGCTGCAGACCCTTCCCCTGCGGGCATGGCGGTTAGTGCCAGGCAGGGATAATATGTAAACTAATTGATAAAATCATACACAAGGTTGTACAAGTACCGTGTCTTCTCCGCATTGCATTCAGAACACTTTCTACAATTATTAGATTGACAACTATTATTTCGATCCTGAAAATAATCATAGCATGATTTATCTATATTTATTCTTATTTCCCACCCTCGCCTCCCCAATCCAACGAGAAGCCCTTCACCCCAAGCACGCAAGAAACCCTCCACCTAAGCCTTACCTCTCTACCCTGGTTTGAAGCAACTGCTAACTGAACAGTGGGAACTAGCCTTCCTCGGCCCGGGATGCGTGCTCTCCTCCTCCAATATGAATATAACCGTGTACCATCAGTCGGGGTTCGATGGGCGGAACTGTTCTCTTCTCGATAAAGGGGTTGTAAACGCCGAGACGGTCCAGAGCATCGAATGGAAGAGTCCTACTTCTAGTCCTACCTCCATGTCTTACAAATTATGTATGTGGAAGGACGAACAGTGTTTTCAATCCGGTGGTCTGGACGAAATAGATGATGGGTGGGAAATCTGTTATCCGTTTGCAGGGTGGAAGGCGTGGAGCGTTGTTCCTGGCGGAGAGATTTGTTTGTAGTGCTTTCTTTGATCTTTGACGTGGCTGTGTATCTCACCGACTTTCTATTATGATAGTTGTAGCAGGGATTGCTGCCTGATGGTAGGATGCGTGCAGTGAATGGTTTGGTTTCTTGGTGGTGAATGACAGGAGTCCGTCCTTACTCTGGTGGTTTAGCTTGGGGAGGCACACGGGAACTTCTTCGAACCACCTATAAATACCTTCTCTTCTCCCAGTCTTTCCTCCTGCCCATCTATCTCATATCTTTCTCTTATATATATATATATATATATACCTATCCATATCGTGTCCTTCTGGTTGATCTACCGTCCATCTCATTCCTATCTTACATCTTCCCCAGCTCTGTCAGTGGTATACGAAAGGGTGTAGGAGTGTGGTGGCTGCAGAAACAATGGACAATCATGAATACTGCATTGCTTGTCATAGTAAGTGGATCATCTACTGCAAGCATTCAATTCATCTTTACTGATCGAGGTAGAGGCTTAAGCAGTGTTGGGGGGATTTATACCCTGGGAATGCTGGCCGCAGGATAGTGAGATGCACAAGGTAAGTCAATTGTGGCAGTTGATGACAATAGCTGATGGAGACGATGCAAAAGAGATCAACTGTAGATCTCTCTATGAGTTGAAGATAGAAGATGCCAAAGAGAAGGGAATTGCGGGTAAGAACACGATAGTACTACCTACTCCCTAGACCATCCTGCTAATATCTTTGATATAAGTTGTACATTAAAACGACTTCGACGTGGAACAAGAGATTCGTAGATGTGCCGATTGAGCCAGACGACATCTTCCTGCAAGAGATATATAAAAAAACGACAAATTAGAATCGAGCGAGGATGAATCACTTGCCAAACAAGCAGACAATGATCGTCACATCACATCGCCGGCCACACCGTTGAGCTGACTTCATCGACTGCTTCCCTTCAAGATCTCTCCTGACCCACTCATAAGCAGTACACGCTGTCGCAATCATCGGGTCGTCCTGAATACAGGATAGAGCACGACGCCAACACAAAAACTCTACGCTGTGTTTGCGTTCCGCATCTCACCTCTCTATCATCCAGTCAGGAACGCCGTTCATCTTTCCCTTGGTCGTTGAGCATCACAAACCAAACGCCAGGCTGAACTGCGAGATCATTCCTTCTGGCAGTGCACACTGCGTTCGGTCAAATGCTCTGGCGAATGCCGTTATGGGGTCGAGATAGACCAAAGGCAAATCCGTGAAAAGGATCGCCCGATGTTTGTTTCCAGTCGCCTGTCCAGAATTCTCATATTCCTACTCAAGGAATGAATATTCTAGCGGTCTGAGCTAATACACCACACTACATTCTCGAATTCGGATGCATCCTACTTCTTGGCGTGTCTCTAAGTCAATATGGCAAGTGTGACGCTATCCTCTCTCGCGATCTTTACTAATATTTCATGTTTCTGCTTCTAGCAATCCAGGCCAGACTTCGACCCACATAGCAATGGCAGTTTTGAAACAGACGGACGTCACCAATTTGATCATCAATCATTTGGTGATGCTTTCTCAGCTCTGCGAGGAGGGTTGTCCCTGGTGTGGTCTGTATCCTGGTGGGAATAGGACAGAAGTGCAACAACTGTCTGATTTGCCATCCTCCCCGAATGCCTAGAATTGAAGATCGGCTGGATACAGGGCTTCTCTCGTCCAGGAGAGATTATCTGTACTCTTTTCATGACCTCAAAGATGGCTGCTTCTCGAAACATCGGACTGACACTGGAAAACGTATTGCTTCTTACAGAAAGCAAGGCACAGAAGATTCCTGTCTCCTGTCTTTGAAACCTACAACAACAAGTCTTCGTCGGATCAGAAACTCTGCATGCCAGAACTAGATCTATCTGTTTGATCAGATATTACACGTTCGGTTTCTCCATCTCGGTTCTGACATCTATGATCAAAATTCTGTGTCCCTCTTCTAACCAAACCGGCCCAGAACTCTCGGAATCGGGAGGGAACGCTGGGACTGGACGGACGAGAAGGGACATCTTTGGCTTTTGGCTCCCACCTGGGTTGAGTTCGGACAAGTAGATGTTTGCCACTCACCTTCGCAAGTCTTCACGCGCTTCAACCGGATCGACCCAAAGTACAAATCCGTGACAGATATACTGCTACCCTATACCTCCTCTACTACCCTACTTCCTTATCAAGACGCTGCGGCGAAAAATGAAGAATCAGTCCGATTTCGAACCGCACTTGAATACCTCCAGGAAAACTTGACGGATCTCAGATCATGAAACAGACAAGCACATTGGAGGAGGATTCTCCTGAATGATTGTAAGTTTCGTCATGTATAAGACTATACAACCAAGCCGTTGATGGATCTTTGCTCTAGGTATGAACCAGAAACCCCGATAGATCTCCTCCTTGCTCTGCTCCCTTCTGGATCCAGGTTCAAAATGAAAAGGGCTCTTCCGACCTTGATACAGACTCGGTCTTCAAACAGGAGGTGCACAAACCTTCTTAGCCTGAGGTTAAACGCCTCTTCTACCAGGCCGTGGGTGGAATAATTGACATAGTGCAATTCACCCCTCTTCCGCCTCTTATCATATAGCCCATCACCTGGATCCATATACCCGCCGCCGCGCCCGCCATCGCCCTACCTGCGCCCGAGCCTGCCGCCGCGAACGCCGCCATTCTTGCGGCTCTCCCCCTCTATTTGCGGGCCTTCCAGATCCCTTATGGTGACCCAGTCACCCATGTGCGCCAGGCTCCAGCCCCTGACCTTCTGGTAAGAGTTCCTTTTCTTTTCCGCGGACAGTCTGCTAACTAGTAGGATCCATATACCCCTATTGTTGAATCCTCGACCTCGCTCTCACTTCTGCAATCCCGAATGAACTCTCAATACATTACACGATCTATCCACTCTCCTTGATCTGTCTGATGAATGCATTCATATCAGTAATGAAGCCATGTGCAAGGGTGGTGTTCAAGCAGCATGTTGGGCAGGCGATGGGAAGGGATGTACTCTGAAAGCCTACTGGCATAGAAGAGTAGAATTTTGATTTCCATGCGCCATGGATGCTCCAGCTCACTCGGTCGGCTTTTCTGTTCCAAATGTGCTATACTCCCAAGAACAAAGAGCGATCACTCTCAACCGTGCACGAGTTCCTGTTGGATTTGAGCAAGTTGATCTGGTTTCCGAGAGACGAGAGATCCATGCTCTCATTGCAGATTCTTTCAAGAATATACATTATCCTTGTGGTCATGAACCCGATCATCTACGAGGACTACGACAAGGTTCCCACCTCCTCCTGACCTTCTTCTCTTCTCTCCCCAGAAACTGCAATCAGTCGGCTACTCGGTATTCCTTCCCCCTTAAGGTGACTACGTTTGTGAGATCTCTTAAGCTCTAGATTCCTTGGTTTGCGAGCCGTCCCTAGCCTCGCAGCCATGCTCATGGTTGCTGTGGCTGTAGGTCGTGCAGATTCTCGCAGACGAATCTCTCGCTTTCATCACTAATAGCATTTCCTCGTGTTTCGGATCCAGCTAGGGCACACAATGTCTGGGTTATATGACAGAGACTTCTTGCTTTCCTGGTTTCTTCTCCTCGTCTCTCCCCAACATCCTGCTTCTTCTGCTAGGTAAGACTTCCCTACACCATCTTGGCAAGGTATTGATATGAGATTCTTTTCATGGCTAACAGGCATAGCATTTTATCAGACTGTACTCATAACTTCTCCAGTCGAGGAAACTCCCTGCTGCTCACAATACCATCCTATTATCTCCAGAAATTGACTATCGGCAAAACGGCGGGCCACCAGCCAAATTTTGCCGTTCATGCTCCATGCATTCTCCAGGCTCTGCATACTTCGCGGGCCGGTCCTGCGGGCGTCTAGCGGTGTTTCCTAGTCTTCCACCCTAGGAGGGGCTGCAGCCCCTCTCCGCGAGGGAACGCCGGTGGATTGGGGAGCCTGTGTTGCGTTCCGTGGACGTGTCCGGACTTGACCAGCCTCAGCAACTGGCGGTGCGGACCCAGCTCCGCGAGGGTATCCTCATGTCTAAAACTGGGGCGCAACCCTCCGCGGGTGAGGAGTGTACGGAGTGCAGGAACGCGAACGCCCGTCTGGTGTTCGCGACCTGCATCTCCGGCGGAATAGGGCAGAAGTGCAATAAACGCTTGTACCGCGGCCATGTTCGCTGCTCGTTCTCCTAGTTGCATTCTGCCCTGCGGCACTGCAGTGTCGCGTTAATAACCCCTGCGAACCCCAGAGGCTAGGGTGCTGTCCTGGGAGAACGTCGCGTGTTGGTCCTTTGGGTATGTCTTGCTGGTTTCTGTGCCCTGCATCCGCTCAACATACACACGCTGCCCCCAAGCCATATTGGGAGGATGGATAGATATTTGGGATTTATCTCTCCATGTCCGTCGGGGTCGAGCTGCTCTCAGAAGGATGATCGATTCCTCCGGGTGGTGTCCACCCAACTTTCCGACAGAGCCAGCCTATAGACATACACTGCCAGAAGACATAGATACATCCTATCTTTTCATCAAACAAGCCCTGCTGTACCGCAAATGCAGATCCCAGACATTATATCGAGACGTTCCACCACCTCTTTCTTCGCAGCTATCAAAGCCCTTTCCTACTGCTTTATGGGCTGAAGACATTCGTTTCTCGATTTTGGATGTCAGTACGATAGGCCGAAGGAAACACATGGTGATTTAGAATTCATGAGTTGACACCTTTCCTCTAAACCTATCTGATGGAAAGGTTCCAGCGCCCACTGAACGTGAACGCAAGTCAAATCCAGAAAGATACATTTAGAGGATGAGGAGGAGCGCCCTGCGCGTCCTGCCCCTGAGACCCCGCGAGCTCAGTGGGACCGCCGTCCCCCTGTCGGCCATGACCAAGAAGTTGACTGGTCGCGGGTTCTGTTGCAGCGTGAGCGACAGTGCATCCGCGCGTTTGTCATCCGTTCTGTAAGTCTTTGCGGACTCGACAACCCTGGCAAGTTGGCTCTGCGCACCTAGCTGCAGGAGGGAATCCTAGCCTTGGGTCTGCACCCCCCCAAGCTGAATCACCAGGCCGTCATCTCGCGACATAAGGCTGCTGCCTTGTGAGTTTGCCTGCTGAGGGGATGGCCGGCTGTCAGACATGGCCATTAGGTCGCCGCTTGGAACATTCAGGGGACCTCTTACCAACTCCCCTTCCGTGGCTGTGGTCGCCCACAGTGTGGCTGCCCTTTAATCTTTGAAAGGAAAAGGGGTGCTGTTGCAACCAGCTATGATGAGGCTCCTTCCTCTAGGTGGAAGTCTGTCTGGAACGGGGGAATCCGGTGTGCTCCCTGGCGTCTTGGATATTTTCCGCGCTCTACGTGCTCGTCCGCGCCCTCTGGGGCCGAGAATTCAAAAGTTCAAATACCACAGGAGAGCAGCGTAGCTTGCGACAACAGCATTGTGGAACAGACTCTGAGAACAGTGAAAGCAAGATCGTGAGCCAGCTCTATCGTCTCCTCCCTGCCGTGAGCTATATGTGGTAGCCAACGAGACCAGCGTCACCGGGCGTTGGATAAATACCATTGCGATTGACCCAGAAGAGCTCTTGAGAGTTTTGCAAACGTGGTGACATGACGAGACTTGAGGTCCTTATAGGCTTACACACTTGGCACACGCGACGAGATTATTCATCGCCCAGGAATGATATAGAAGTGCAGAGGGTGTTATACTCTAATCTGACTAGCTCTGGTGAATGGGTATCTCATTAGTATATCTCAATTGCAACTTTATCCAGCCTTCATACACACTTTTCCATCAACGTAGAGCGTAGATCATGATTTCTTCTCCAGGTTCCTCACTGCATCGTCAAGGACCAACCGCGCATACCCCCGATGCAACCTCCCTGTCCAGTCCGGGATGATCTTCTGGGTTTTCTCCCCCTCAACTATCTCATAATCATGCGCAGAGGAGAACCTGACTTCCACCCAAGCTTCCCCCCCAAGGAAGAACGGCTCCGATACACTCATCTCATGACGTCCCCCCGACATCAATCGCCAGGGATACCCCCACCGCGCGATCTTCTCGAAGAACTCCCTCAGGTCATCAGGCATAGTCCACGAAACCAGTAGTCCGTTGCCGCCGTTCCCGTTCTCACCTCCTGGTGCCTGCTCGACTGTAAAGGCCCCATGGAGCAGCGAGCGCGGCGAGCCTGTGCGTTCGTCCGGCGCGAACCCGGCTGGCGAATCGCCCAGGTCGCCAGGTGTGTAACCCTTGCCGCCTAGAAACCCAAACACAGAGGCTTGTGTGCGCATGATCGGGCTGGAGAGCAAGGCTCGAGCCCATACTTCTTGAAGAGATGTTGATGTTGTATGCTCTACAGTTGTCGAGTCGTTTGCGAGCAAGAGTTTTAACGGAATCCTCGCCCCGTACACATCCACGTAGGCACAGCGTCGACTCTGCCGTCGAGTAGGCGTCCGCAACGTGACACTGCTGGTTGTCTCAGGGTCGAGAGGGGGATATTTGGCTTCGAGGAAGCTGAGGCCCTTGTGTGTCCCATATCCGACGGCTAGGGGAGGGAGGAGAAGGGCAACCAGCAGTCGTGATCTGTTCATTTCCGTGAAAAAAGATATGTGAAATCAAGAGTTAATAATGGATTGTCACGTTTAAGAATATAGCAATAATACGACAATAATCAAGATGAGCCCATGGGGGCTGAATTGACTCTGTTTAAGAATGACGAGTAGCTATCCCCTCGGCATGAATTAATAATCGATCCGAAGAGGCTCGACTAATCAACAATTGTGCTCCATAGATTAAATCATAGAATGAAGGATAGAAATCGAAGTCTGAATAAATAAATAGATGACCCGATGTCATCTCGTTGCTTACATGAGGGAGGACCAGTTAATGAGCGACGGAATTCCCCGCAGCCAAAAGATTTATTTCTCTCTCCGCACGGCTTTTACCACACACCAGCACTCTCATACAGAAGAAGATTTCAAATAAGCAAAACATAGTATTGTATTGAGGGAGAGAGAAAAAAAAAATGGAAACGTCTTTTAATGACCATTCACCCACCTCGACCGTCTCCTTGACTGAGGGTGTCTCGGTGCCCCCCTCCCCCACGTCGACGATGACCTCGACACATTCCGACGGGCAGACAATCGTCCACCAGGACACCCTCGACGACATCTTCGGCTCCTCTCCACCTCGCGGGGACGGGATAATTAATGATCAAGACGGTGGTCAAGGACTCCCACGCGAACAACAACAAGCTGCTCTTTCTGGCAACGTTGAACCTTCCGATCTCCCCTCCCTTCGTCGCCAACACGTTACGGCGGGGTACCGCGACGGGGTGGCCGAATCCAAGGGCCAGCATATCCAGGCTGGGTTTGATGCCGGGTACGCCGTTGGTGCGCGGTTGGGGATGCGCGCGGGGACGGTCATCGGCATCCTGGAGGGGATTGTACGCGGGTACGATGGGAAGAACGGGACGATAAGGAAACAACAGCCTGGCACGGCGGGAGAGAGCACAGCAACAACGGAGGCAGCCAAGAAAACGCGCCAGGAGAAACGAGAGGAGATCTTGCGTCGGTACAGGGCTGCCGTGCGCGAATTGGACATGCACGCTGTCTTTGCAGGGTCGGACACCCCCACTGCCGCACCACTGCAGGGAGACGAGAAAAGTGAGAAACCCGAGGTCCAGCTCGGTGCTAGGGGGGACGCGGTCGTGGCGAAATGGGAGACGCAAGTCAATGTCCCGCTGTGGGAGGCGAATATGGACACCCTGGAGATGACCAAGGAGTGATGCAGCGGCACAGCACAGACGTCACGAAACGAGGCTACATAAGTACAGAGTATGCTTTTGGTGATCGTGGAAAGGGATATGAAGACGTGCATGGTACTTGCGTTCCACCCACTTTGGGGGGGTGATCATCTTGAGTATGGGTGAGTTCCCGATGGGACAGACGCCAGATTACGAATGCGTTTCAGGCGGCCATCGCTCTGTTGAACTGGAGAGTTCTACCAGAGCGGGAACAAGGCACAGCTGGAACTCTCGTTGCGAGAGAAGCATTTGCAGCATGTAGCGCAGATCGCGGGCTACGATTATATGTTATACGGACGTTATGATGAGGACACCTGCGGGTTTCTCGCTCCGAGAGACTCTCTCCGCATAGACGGATTGAGGGCCGAATTGGAGAAATCATCAGTCTGGCAAAGCTGGCATTGTTCGTCGGGGACGCAAGACTTTGGATATGGTTAGAGGCGATGAAGAGGATGTTGATAGAGGGGGGATAATTTTAGCTTACCAAGCTCATCAAGGAGGGGAGTGATAGATAGATAGTTATTGTGAAAATTCTAGGACAGGAAGAGGAAGAAAGTCTTGCTGGTGTCTACAGAGTAAGTACCTGGTACTTGAGAATCTTAGCTAGATAGGCATCTAAAGCAGGTACCAGGTACAAAAGGCAGTACTGTCCCAGGATGATGTCAGCGGCAGCGGGTGTACTAGGCCCCGAAAGGGAAGGTGGTAGCTATAAGAGGAAATTAGGGCTCAACTTTAGGGTATCGCGACCGCGGTGAACCTTTTGTATTCTCATCATTCAGCCACCTGACATAGAATCTATTCCAGTGCTGAAGGTGGATGATTCACTGGAATAATTTCTTTTCTAAGTTCTCCGGAATTTATGCATCTCTCTAGGGATCCTTGCAACAAAGCAAAAGTCACTCAGTATGATGAAAGAAAGAAAAGAAAGAAGCTGTGACTTTTCCAGCTGATTCACCACATCCTTATTCACTAAACAATCTCTAGGCATCTCCCAGATTCCAGGCAACTCCCAACTATAAATTGAGCTCTCTGCTTTGCCTGTCCACTTCCTTCCCTTACTCTCACATCATTGCCCAGAAAAGACACTTGTCAGTCTGGGTTCTGCCACGACTAATACGTGTGGAATAGGAAGAATTTCAGAAAACTCACACTGCTCACCGGCTGGCTTGGCTTCCAATTTATTGATGCGACGATCAAGGCCGAGAATGTCTCCCATGCGCTGGAATTCCTCCGTGCCCACCCAAAAAACTCATCGACAGATGGTACTTCCAGGATTCCACTCACGAATATCCCGGCTCTTTGTCGATCCGCAAACACCCAAATGGCGAGAGTCGGCAGCTTAGAAGCTCAGTGGCAGTCTAGAGACCATCCACGGCTTGGAGAAGGTGTATTCGGGCTCGAAAATCACCAAGGAGGAGTATCCCCTTGGATATGGGGGAGAGGATTGATATGGCCCTGGTCGACTTAAGATCCGTCGCAGAATAAATGACCTTATTATGCCCTACCAATTGTCTTGATAATTTTTAGTGGTCGAATGGTCTAGCATCCTCGAATTTCTGTGAAGAGATCACATCTCGTCACGGCCAAGGAGCTTTTGAACGATGCCAAATTCCGGGGTTTTTGCCAGGGCTACATGCAGAATCTGCCATACGTCTCCCTGACGTGACCAATATGGGCCAGGTTACGGTTCCTTTCTTACAGATCCAGAGGTCTTCCACATTAAACTCGCTGCGAATTTCGAAAGGAGGACAAAGAAAGCACAAGCTGACAGACAGCCCTCTTACTTGAGGCTAAAGCAAATCAAAATACAACGCCATGAGCCTGCCGTTTCGATGCAGGAATCGGCAGAAATGATGGCTTGGTTTATGGCGAGCCACCAGTGAGACTGGAAGAGACTGGAACAGAACTAGTCAGTTATCCCTAGAGTGATCTATATCGTCTCGTTCTCTCAACTAACTGGCTTGCGGGCAGGGCAGCGACGGGCCAGCTTCGATACTTCAGTCAAAGGCAAAGAAGAGTAAATTGTCTTCTCCCGACAGAGGTACACTCCTGCCAGGAATATATGCTAGGCCAGAGAGCCACGCTTGACAATGACCAGGTACGACAGCTGGGTCAATAATGTGGTGAGGGCAAGGGAAGAGGCGGAGGCGGTGTTTGAAAGGGTCCAGTTTAGGTTCCTTGCCTGTCTCATCAGAACTACTATACTCCGTAAGGTGGTCTGAAAATCTACAGATGCAATGCTACGCTGCACAGGTACGCTGCGGAAATGACGCGAGATGTGTGTGTGTGTGTGTGTGTGTACGGAGTCCTCCGTTCTCCGTTCTCCGTACTCCGTGCTTAGTTTCTCCCTCGGTTGTACACGACGCAGACCCAGACACCTGGCTTCCTGCAAGGATCGGCCTGGATACGCCATCGATCAGATTCTTCAGCTATGATCTGCAGCTGAGAGACTTCCCCTAGTACAGAAAAGTCCAGTTTCACTCCGTACAGGAGTTCGTAAATGAAGAAAAAAAAAATGAAAGGTACAGCCTAGATCATAACAACCTCGGACTGCAATCTGATCCGGGATGTTCCATGATCAGTGAATCAAAAAGTATAGGCATCCTGGACCGATAAGGTCTTGTCCATCCTCGTGCTACATGCCTAGGTCCTACCGTGTAGTTTTTGCATGCATCCAGCCCGGTTCTCAACGTCCACTTCCGGGCAATGGAGTGTAAGATAGATCATCATCGTGGCTGGTTGTTCTGAAAACTCGAGGATAGCGCTTGGTAGAAAGACATAGGGGTGAAGAGAAAGATAACTTCGATTACTCCATTAGAGCTACTTATGGATGCTATTGTATCATGGTATTTTATCTCAGTACATCCGCGCCAAACTTTTCCGTGTCCAATACAGGTATGCTGTGCTGAGAGAGAGAGAGAGAGAGAGAGAGAGAGAGAGAGAGAGAGCAAGGAAAAAGAAAAGAAAAAACAGAAATGTCATGCGAATGAGGGGCATAGCTTCGATAGAGCATTCCAATCATTGCAGGAGCAGAAACAGGGTTGTTGTTTCGTCAGCACATAGTAAACAAAAAGGTAAATAGAGTGTAAAACGCATAGCAGGCGCGTGGTAATCAGGTGGTAAAATGAGACAGGTCATTAACGAGTGAGTCAACGAGTGACTGATGTTGTACATCAAGACATTAGCGAGTGTGTCGAGTATGGAGAGCGTAGGAAATTAGCGAGTGGTCTGAGCGAAAGCTCGAGGACAAGAAAAAGACTCGAATCAATCAAGTGCGAAGATATGGAATGCAACAGAACAAATCAAGCGCAAGACCAAAAGCAGTAGATTCTGTCATCGTGAATTCATTCGAACTTTTTTAGTTCGTCGCGTTGCGTCGCCACCTTCGTGGAACGATCAATATAAAAAAAAAAAGAAGCATGCCATCAGGCCATGCTGGCGGCGGTTAGTCGTCCGCTTCATCGTTGTCGTTGTCGTCAACATCTTTTCAACCAGGGTAATAGTGCGTCAAACACGAGAACCGTGATATGCGTCATCTTCATCAGGCTCATGAACCGTATACGCCGTCTAATGTCGTGTGGAAAAAGAAAAACACCATCGTGTGAAATGGAAACCCGAGCGCCGGGGCCGTCACTTGCCTCCGTCCGTTGAACTCCAAGTGAAATGCACAAAGAAGAGACAAGCGCATCAAAACTTCCTGATGCGCGGGGGCCTTTCCCGTATGTCCTCGTGGTGGCAGCTGAGGACACGCAACGAGCCCCAGAAGCGCTTGAGGACGGAGACACGGCGGTCGGGGTGAGAGATCGGGTGGTGATGCAGTGCCAGATCCGTGCGCTTGTCACGGCAGAGAATGGGCGGCGGCGGGTCCAATGCAGGGGTAATGGTGGTGGTGGCATCTAGAGTGTTCGACCGTTTCTGGCGTCGAGATCGCGCATGCATTGCAGCGGCCGTCGTGCGAGCAACGTTGAAATCGCTCTGGGTACTTCCATTGCGTGAACGAGGCCGCACCAGTGAGGTCGTCGATGGGGCCACGAGACGGAGTGTCTGCTGGGTGGATGGACGGGAAACCTCGCTGCCTGGACGTGGGTAGATAACCATCCTTACCTCGTCACGTAGCATTTCCTGGGACTCGACATCGTGGATGGTGGGGAACTTCTCCATCGGCGACTCATCTTGGATGGGCGTGTTGAGTTTCGTGGCCGATTTTGCGACCCGTAGCTGCACTTTGCTGCGTACCTTTCGGAGGGTGTCGATGGGCTTGCGGGAACGCGACTTGGGACCGATGGACTCGGTCTCCGAATCGGACTCCCAAACCGACTGCTCGCAGTGCGGGTCTGTCGTAGTCGAGCTGGGTGGACGATCTTTGATCGAGGCATCTGTCGCTTGGCGGGTGAGAGGGGATGAGTTGGCCACTGGGCTGGGGACCGGGCTCGGGACTTCATTCGCAGGGATAAAGAAGGCCTGGTCGAAATGAGAGGTGTGAGGTTCAAGGGTGACAGGGTTGATCAGGCTTGGGGGCGAGATCATGGAGGGCTCGATATGGGATCGTGCGGAATGGGTCTGTATCTTCTTCACCTGGACAGTAGCACTGCGAGCGAGGACTGGAGGCAAACTCGGCAGTGGCTTCGTCCGGTTGGATGAGGAAGACATGGCGTTGGTGCCTGGATTCATCATGAGCATCTCAGAGGATTGATGACGAGTCGAGACAATGGGTGTGATGGCGCGAAGCGGGGAGCTCGGCACTGTACACGAGGCTGAGCGCAGATGAGCTGGGGGGGTCGCAGGGGGTGGGAAACGTGGAGCGTTTCCAACAGCAGCTGCGCCCTTCTGAGCGTATGCCGCGTGTAAGGAGAGCTGTTCTGTGGCTTTCAAAACCTTCTCCGGGCACAGAGGCGCCGAATAGGTGGATGAAAAGGAACTGCTCGGGGTAAGATCCGGGGTAGTGGCGTCACTCTGCGCCGAGCTGAAAGAGTCCTGGCTATACTGCTGCAAGAGTGGCCGCTCCGGGAGATGAAGGAGGGACGGCGGATGGAAATGAATGTTGTGTTCAAACTCGAGTCGAGAGAGTGTAGACCGATGAACAGCTTTGCGCGCTGAGTGCATGGGGATCACCGTGTTCTCCGGGCTTAGAATGGAGGACAGGTAATGATCAGTTCCGTCTTCGCTACAGCGCACATCGCGCAGGTCGGTGGAGCAGGAGTAGAGGGAGGTGGTGTCTGTCAACGAGTGCTCCAGATAGAAGGGGTCCGGGTTGGAGTCCTCCAGCGCCTGTGGGCCCTTCTTGGGATAGTAGGTTGATACTCGCTTTGCCGGAGAGGGAGAGGGCAAGCAGATGGTGGTCTGGGATCGATTTGGGTCGGTGTCTGCCGCGTCCAGTTCGCCGGCAAGCTGATGGTACCCGTGAGCCATGAGCTACGATTCGTAGTTCAATGAAACCGCGAGACGTGAACACCGACAAGCGGGTGATCCTGGGCGTGCATGGGAGAGAAAGAGAGAAGGAAAGGACACCAGAGGGGCGACACGCAACCAGGTGCGGGCAGTATAGGAAAGAGTGTGTATATACGGACGGAGCGGACGGGTCGGAGGGGGAAAAGGAACAGACGGCGAGGGTCCAGGGTGAGGATGATCTGTTTATAGACATCAGCCCTCCCGAAAATAGCCCTGGGCCTCCCAGGGCCGTCTGGGGAAGGGTCCATTGCGTCGGTGGCTAGCCGGGGAGGAAAGGAAAACAGACGCATGCCAATGCAAAGCCCGAGTTGTGTAAACAAAGCCCCCGTCACCCCCGGTGCACAGACACTAATGACCTATCAGACCTTACATCGCGCTCCCTCCGTAGGGATGGGAGGGTCGCCGCAAGGCGAAAAGGCTATCTAGATCGGAGGGGTGCAAGGGAGGGCCGCAGGGGCGCCATCCACCACCAAGCCCATCGCTGACGACCAGCCTGAGGCGAAACATCTCTTTCTTGGCTTGACCTTGTAGGAAGGTAGTATCCAACGTTGTTTGTTGTTATCCATTGGGAGGTTGGTCATGTTTTTTTTTTCTTGTTTTCCTCGAAAAGAGGCAGGGCCTCCTCATCTGGAGTTGCTGCTCGGATACCCTGGCTCTCTCTTCATCTATTTCATACAGCATGCGAGACGCGTTTTTCAAGCGGACCTGGCAATGGGGGGCGATCCAGAGATCCATATCATATGGTTTCTTTCGTACATGCGCTTTTTTTTTCTGCTCTCTGCAGAGTCCGAGGGCCTCCTGGGCCATCCATTAGCTACTGCGCGGAGGCTGGCCGGCGACCTGTTGGATGACAGAGCAAGGACATTAAGGTCTCCGGGGATGCACTTCCGGATCGTCCACTAATGTCACTGCAAAGTCTGCTGGGTCTGATGGAGGCTGTCAGACCCTCTGAAAAGCCCGGGCGGGCGGCGCAGGTTGTGGCGGATCATCGACGACATCCGCCCCGGTTGCCGTGCAAGAGCGCAGCTATTCGGACCCGCATTCCTCACAGCCATTCCGCCTGCAGCTGCAGTATTCTGAGAAGTAACCGTAACGCTGATGGAAGGCCAGCAGGCAGGCGTTAGATACAGGGAGTACATAACTATGTGTTCTCTTTAGTCGTATCCGCTGCACACAAACACCCACCTCTCTCGAGGACGCGTTTGCCCACTGTCCGGCATATACTTTCTCCCCTTTCCCTTGCTGAGATGGACAGGTCGGGTCCGCCCAGCGTGAGCTGATCCAGCTTTCATTTGTCGGGCCCTGATGCCAGCCCCGACGTTGTGTACAGATCGAGTCCTCCCCTCAGACGTTGGCGGGCTGGCAGTTGAGTTTCGCCCAGGCGGGTCCCGTCGCCAGCAGAGATCACCTACAGCTTATGATTTGACCTTATCGAGTCCAGAATCAATCGAGATGGAGGGGGCTTGCCAAGGACTTCTTCGCTTCCTGGCTGCAGACGGTACTTTGTTCGTCCAGCGTCCGCTCTCTCCGTCCTGCACAAACAAACGACTGCCGCTGCAGCTGCACGGCACAACCCTTCCCCCACGACACGCCGACCGTGAGCATCGTTTTGTTTCTCCTGCCTGTATGTAGTAACATAGACTGTGGCATTCCAGACTCTGGGATTCGAAATGGTCATTTTTGACCTGTCGGGAGTAGTATACCTGATACCGAGATCGATGGAGCCCGTCTACCAAACCTACCAGGTCGTATTTTCCCGGTTAGCAGGAAGCCAGTCGGAGTAGAATCATCAAACCTTGGTAGAGCACAGACTTGAAACCTCTGAGAGATCAGATTCAATGCGTTTGACGCCTCAGGCCGGCACGAGTCGACGGTTGGAAGCGTCGCTTGCAGCTGGTTGCAGGAGAGGGGCAGAAGCAGCGGCGGTGTTTGGGCGGGCGGAAGTTTCCTCTGCACATTCCAGCGCAGTCGAGACTCTCTACGTACTTCTGCTCCTCTTCTTGCATAGAGAGTACGTACAGGCAATGCTGCGAGAGGTACGGAGTACTCTATGCTCTGTACGCTCATCGACAGAACTACTACTGTGCACAGGCTTTGAGGTGCCTTGCAGCATTCATCAGCTTCGGTCTATGGCCACCATCTGGAAGCATCACATTCTTCCCATGTGCAGCTCATGTACGTCTTCTGCACGTTCTCTGCCCGGATCGATTGACTGTCTATTGCAGAGAATCGGCACACCGCTGGGAAGAGCGCTGGCATCCAGTTCTCGCTTGTTGGGAACCTGGCCACTTCAAGGTGACGACTTCAACAAGCTTGTCGTGACGATGGCTACATAAACCAGGCGGCATCACCAATCATTCCCAGCATCCCATGTCAATCAAGGACAGATAGATCTGCTCCCGAGCAAAGTGATTGTGGCTGTCGGCACAGCCTGCAAGGAACCCGAGGCTGTGAAACCGAGACCGAGAGACTCGACGGGTTGCTCTCTTCCGGCAGGTGAAGGAAAAATCTCCGGTGACGGGATAGCCCTTGCGTGTTGCTTTCTTGTTCTCACGGTGGCTTTCGCTGGTCAAGTCAACAACACCACGGTCCCGATCTAGAATGTCTGGCTGCACGAGACATTGGTTGACTCTCATTAAACAGGGTTCCGAAGTCATTACCGCAGGGTCCTTCGGCGACGAGCCCTTTCCTTGACAGGGTATTACGATCGACAGATATCATTTCATGGATACGCATCTTTTCATCTCGCAATGTTTTCAAAACAAACAACCGTTCGCCATTATCGAACTTACCGGACCATACTCGATGGCTGCGAGGACAGGTACGGAGTAGTGGCGACTGAGATCCATCTGAAAATGTGGAGAGATCGATTGAAAAACATACCAGACACAACTCAATCAGCTTTGAAACCATGGGTCAGTCCATGTTCTCCCATCCTCTACATATACTCTCCGATCTCCATCTCTACAGGGGTATCCCGGAACCACCGTCGAGTGCCAGCTCAGTAGATGTGCTGGTCTCCTGTCAGCCAACGCACGATCGGCGTTAGGCGTCACTACTACATAGGAATATGACCAAGCCCTCTTACTGTTTCTCTATATGTACAGTGACACCGTCGACTTCGATCATCTGAGATCTGATCTCGCAAATCATGGGTGTCTGACCGTTAATGGGCCCTGAACCACAGTTTCCAGGTCTATTAGTGAACTGAGCAAACAATAGCCGTCTCTCTGCATCTGTCTGTACTCTATACCTGATCCACAAGTCACTATACATTTTATCCACTATTTCGTCACAGTCGGGCAGTTGGACTGAGAGCGCGTCTGTGACTCTGTATTGACCAGCACCAACAGTGACCATTAACCATCGAACAGCAATTTCGTAGCCCACAGTAGTACCACCAATTTTTTTTCCATCGTTTTTATCGTAAAACACCCATTCCTCAATAATTTGTAGACCCTCCAACCGTCTCGAATGCCCATCCGAAGTGGGCGCCGAGTCAACTCCGCCGTCCCGTTCGTTTTGTGCGCCTCCTCCTCCTCCTCCTCCTCTTCTCCTTGACCCTCTCCTCGCCTCTCTCCAGCGTACGGGAAGGCCCTCCGGACGTGTCACAACGCGAGGGACCAGTCCTGTTTCGACGGAGGACAGAGCACGGTGCTCAATTGCACCTCCTCTATGACCGTGCGGACGTGGTGGTGTCTGTCGCGCGAGCTCCAGCTCAGCAGCGACTCGTCCAGCCATCCCAATTAAATCGCCTCACCTCTGCCCCCAGTTCGACCAGCCACAGGACAGCGAGACGGGCACCCTTTTCCCTCCTGCTCGGTTTTTATTATTTTTTTCGTTCTTGCTCCGTTCCTTCAATTCTTTACATTATCCACATTCTTTGATTCCACTTCGGCGGGGTCCAGGCAAGAGCTGCTTCGTCGAGTTACGTTGAAGCCCCGACCAGGCGCAGCGCCCGTCATCAGGCACATTGTCGTCTCCTCCGGTTGTACCATTTTCAGCGGTGCCTCCTAACGACACCGATCCTCGCTTTCACGAAGTTTACGACGTTTACGACCCTCAATTTACGACCCTTTTGCGGCAACGCCAGCAGCAGCAGCAGCAGCAGCAGCCAGACCCGGCGTCCCAACCGGCCGCACACTCCTCCTTCAATCCCCCTTCACGCCCATCCAGTGCTCTAGCAGGTGCTCGTCCGCTGCGCAGACTCTCCCGGTTGCCAACAGATCTTCATTCGGCTCAGCACAGAAGATCTGTCTCACTGGGAAACCCCCGTTCTGCCCCTGTCCCGCCACAGCGTGTACTGTCGGGAGCAGGCGACGATTCCACCAGTGACGACGACGACTACGACGACGACAAGGATAAAGACAACGCCTATTCAGGGTTGGAAGAAGCGTATTGGCCTCGTCGGTCTACGCGCGTCTCTCCGCGGACAGCTTCGGCAATCCTGTGGGCGTTGGAAGAAGCCATCCGCAAACCATTCCCCTTCACCCCCGATTGGGACGAAATCAACGCTTCCATGGCCGATCTGGCAGCAGTGGCGGGTGGAGCTCGTTCCCAGAATGGCTCCTCGAGGGCCGCTCAGGGGCCAGTGCCCGTACAGTCGCACCCGGCCGCCGGGAGTGGTGTTCGCACTCCAACGGACATCATGAGACAGCGCCGGGATAGAGAAGCCAGGCGAAAAGCGGAACAGGAGGCCCGAGACAGAGAACAGCAGGAGCTCGCTCATGCTCAATATGCTGCTGGCGTTGCCGGCGATCCCTCTGCGCAGCGAAGACCTGCGACATCCAGGGGCCCGCCCGGCGCCCCGGCACCCCTCAGACAGAACCCCCCGGCCAGTCGCCGGCCAGACTTTCAACAACAGCATCAGCAACAACTACCACTGCCACCACAGCAACAGCCGCCACCAAGACCCATGCCTGCCGGTGTATCGTCCAATCCGCAGCTCCCAGGTCCTTCAGTAGCCAAACAACCGCAACCCCAACCTTCCCAGCAGGCCCGGTTTCAACAGCAGCAGCAGCAGCAGCAGCAGGCACCTCCGGGCGGGCTTGGTCAACAGCCTGGAGGAGTCCCGAAACAGTCTGCTCCCGCAGAGGCCGAGTCGTCGTCCTCATCGCAGCAGACGGCCCAGCAGCCGCAGCCATTGCGTCGAACGGGATTCCCACATGCCTTTGAGCGCTGGGAGACCCTTTCGTCTCACTGGGAGGGGCTCACCGGATATTGGATCCGTAAGCTCGAGTCGAACAATGAGGCGTTGGAACGGGATCCCCTGAACCAACAGATGGCGCGGCAGATCACGGACCTGTCCGCCGCAGGTGCCAATCTCTTCCACGCGGTGGTCGAACTGCAGCGTCTACGGGCCTCATCGGAGCGCAAGTTCCAGCGGTGGTTCTTCGACACTCGGGCCGAGCAGGAGCGGGCCAAGGAGCTCCAAGGCGAAATGGAAAAGCAGCTGCAATCCGAACGACAGGCCCGGGCGGAGGCTCTCACGGCCTCGCAAAAGGCCGACTCGGACAAGACGCGTGCCGAGGATCTGCTCCGCGAGATGCGCCGTGAGTTGCAGATCTCCAAGGAAGAGGCCCGACGCGCGTGGGAAGAGCTCGGCCGCCGGGAGCAAGAAGAGCGTGACCGCACAACCTCCCTGCGCAACGGTGAGCCCACGTTGGTCGGTGGTGTGCAGGTGGTGCCAATGATCCAAGGCCTGCCCAGTCGACAGAACACCACGACCACCAGCCGGGGCGGTGCCCCTGCCGCTGCCGTCGACCCGATCGAGTCTCAGCAGCCGCAGCAGTACTACGATCACCGCATGTCATCACCGGCCGGAACTGATCCTTTTGTGGAGGAAACCCACTCGACGGCCACCACTCACCGCGACGACATGAGCCGATATGATCGCCACCACCAGCAGCCGTCCCCCCCCGCCACCACCACCACGGCTGATCCGCGCGGCGGTTTCTACCAGCATGCGGGCACCGATATCTATGCGGGCACTCCGACATCACAGCCCGACGACCGCTCCTACGGCCCCAGCATCCCCGATAGCGAGGTGGGCGACGCCGAATACGCCAGCAGCTACCGCCGGGACGGCCAGCACGGCCAGCACAGCCGGCAACCCCTCGCGTACGCGCCCGCTCCCCTTTCCGAGGGAGGTAGCGACGAGTACGATGACGGCGCCGACGAGAGCGATCTCCCGCATCACCACCATCCCGCGACAACCAGCGCCGGTGCCAACGTCGACTACAGTGGTTCCGGCTGGGGTGCTGGCTGGGAGGCCATGACACCGCGGCACCGGCATCCCACTCGGCTCAGTGATGTGCTCGAGGAGGACGAACCCAGTCGGACGAGCCCGAGCCGGGCAAGCCAGGCCAGCCGGATGCATTGATCTCCTCCTTTCCCATGTGTTATTTTGATTATTTTCTTTTCTTCTTTTTTCTCCATTTTTTTTGATGACCCCTTTCGATTATCCCACCCAGGTTTTACGTACATACAGACTGATGCAAAAGCCACGTATCATAGTGACGATGTTTTCTTGCTATTTTTTTTCCAAGCCTTTTTCTACTCCTCTTTTCTTTTCTTTCGTCTTCTTTCCTCCCGTTATTTCGATGCTTTTCTCTTGCTTTGCGATCGCGCCTCTGTCTCTCAACTATGTCCCTCTCCCCATGGAGTTAATAGAAGTTAACTAATACATGAGTGGTACTGTACTAATCTGTAGAAATAACAGTCAGTCTGGTATAATGCAATGGCTTGCATCTATTCAGTTTCTATCTGCTTATGGAGTTACCCGGTCAATATTATGTCAAGCAAACCTACATGGTAAACACTATTATACAATGCCAATCTCTTGCATGCTAGTAATTGTAACCTTCCATTTAGATTATAAGAGATCAGGCTTTCTAGCAAAAGTCAGATAAATTGAATAAATACAGCGCATATGATGGCGAAATATACCCCAGCAGGAGAATACTGACTTCTTCATGGTAGAGTGTTGACTTTCATGTACTCCGTTGGATGCTCCAGAATATATAATGATGCTATTCATATTGGATATGTCTAACTTCCATCTATAAGCAGGTTGAACCCCAGCTGACGTGTTGTTGTATGTAAGCTTAATCCTTAATACTTCCTCCCTTCAACTAGATCTCGCGCCATTCATCACCCTGGTTGATTTCTGATGATTTTGATGAATACAGTCCTTGTTGTAGTGATGAAGTGGTTGTCTTTTATCAACACGTGACCTACTAACCACATTGGGAACTGGATCCGGAAATTCGCGAGAGCTGCGAGTTCGTCTTGTCTGTCTCTGCCAACTGGTTCAGTTCTCGTCGACATCGCCGAGCCAGTTGCTGCAGCCATGGCTTCGTCAACACGATTCGTTTCCCGGATTGCCGGGCAGACCGCTCGCTTCCCCCCCCTCGCCGTCCCTCGCTGCGCCGTCTCAAGGCCTCTGTCGGTCAGACCACGATCTGTTGTCTCCTCCTCGCAAAGCAATCTTCGGTGCCGACCAAGCAATGCGCCTCCGTTCTCGTCCCCCCGATGCTTCTCAACCACCGGCTCCCTCTCGCGCAGCAAGACGATGGGCCAGCTGCGGGCCCGGCACTCCAATGGGCCGTTTTCTTGGAAGGCGGCGCTGCTCTTTGTGCTGACAGGCGCGGGGATGATCGTCTACTTCCGGTTCGAAAAGGCCCGGCTGGAAAGGAAACGGATTGCAGAGATGAGCAAGGGAGTGGGCCGGCCCAAGGTTGGAGGGCCGTTTGTCCTGAAAGACCTGGACGGGAAGGAGTTCACGGCGGAGGACTTGAAGGGGAAATACAGCTTTGTGAGTGATCATCCATCTTATCTGTGCAGCAAATGGAATCATCATATCTGTGCAAGACTAATTCACCGGAAGGTCTACTTTGGGTTCACGCACTGCCCGGACATCTGCCCCGATGAGCTCGACAAGATGGCCGCCATCATCGACAAAGTCAAGGAAGAAACCAAAGACGAAAACATCTTCCTGCCCGTCTTCATCACCTGCGACCCGGTCCGCGATACACCCGAAGTCCTGCGCGAGTACCTCCGAGAATTCCACCCGGGTATCATCGGCTTAACAGGCACGTACGAACAGGTCAAGCACGTCTGCAAGATGTACCGGGTGTACTTTAGTACGCCGCAGAATGTCAAGCCGGACGAGGACTACCTAGTAGACCACAGCATCTACTTTTACCTGATGGGTGAGCAATTCTTCGATTCTTCGATTCTTCCCATAAACACCCTGCTAATGGACAGACCCCGAGGGTGATTTCGTCGAGTGCATCGGTCGCCAGGATACCCCCGAGTCGGCGACCAAGGTGATCATGGAGCACATCAATGACTGGAAGCGTGACGGCAAGCCTCTGGACACCAAGTAGCGGTAATCTCGAACTTTGTACACCACCCTCTCCCTCTCTCCCAAACCACCTTTGTACGAATATAAATAACAATCTCAATATACTTTCTTGTGTATAGTATTTTGTTTCTTTTTCTCATGATATAATATTCCCCCTCCCATCCGTATCGCGATTCGCCCTCCACTCCCTCCCCCCGTCTTCAAAAATCTCCTCTTTCCAGATCTCCGCCTTCTCCTTGCATCGCTCCAGGATCTCCTCGCCAGCCACCCACCCGGCTTTCCGATGGCCCGCGCTCACCGCGATGACAATGCTCGCTTCCGAAATGGGGACCACCCCCATCCGGTGCGCAATATAGACCCCCTTCAACCCGTGCGTGGCCACCGCTTCCTCCGCGATAGAGCGTAATGTCTTCAGCGCGAGTAGCGGATAGCTCGTATAGCTCAATTGAACCACCGATCGGCCCTGGAATGTATCTCGTGTCGTACCGAGGAATAACACGTTCGCCCCCGCGGCGGGGGAGGAGACGGTCTGCAGCGCTGCGGAGGGGTCGAGCGGCGAGAACGTCAGCTCGATGTGGATGTTTAAGCTTGGTACGCTCAGGATACGGGGGTATGTTTGTGGGTTGAGATGGGGGGGGTTTTCGTTCATAGTTCTTGATTATTAGAGGAGAGTTAGAGATTGTATACATGGGTAGAAGAGGAAGTTGGTGGGTTGAGTTGGAGATTTGGAGTAGATAAGATAGTGACGGAATTGTTGTAATAGATCCCATGCCTAAACACCCGTCAACCTACTCTATTCATTCATACTTAAACCTCTGCTTCTTTTCTCAATAGCATGACTTCATGATCTTCTTTACTAAAACTAGGCCCGCGTCTTACGGGTAGAGCCAGTATATATACAGTCACAAAGCAAGTTGGAGAATTTATCTGGTTAGGAAGGTATATATCAACCACACATCCTTATATATATCCCAGTTCTGGTTTCAGTTTATACTAATATATATGGATTATTGACAGTACTAAAGCGGGTGAGACTGTGATAATTAAAAGTACACGCCACTTTCGAATTACAGATGAAAGGGATATTCTTAGGAAGTTCCAGCCCAAAACACCACACCTGCGTCCTTTGCTCGACGAGATAATTGAGCCACCAGACCCGCCCACAATTGTATTGAAGCATCTTGAAGATGATCTACAGACCGCCTCAGCAGCTAGGAAACTGAATGGAAAGGAGATCAGATATGTTTCAAAGAGGGTTCTTGGGGCTCTGAAGGTGATCCATGAAGATGGTTATGTGCATACAGGTCAGGATCATTCCCTGGATAAAAACAAATCCAAGTTTCTGACGGAGAATCAATCCCTCTTACAGATATCAAGATGGATAATGTTCTCGTGAACTACGATCCCCAGAATTCTACCGAGCAACGGTTTGCAGACGTTCAACTCGCAGACCTCGAGAGCACAGTGCACATAACCTCCCGCTTTTGTGAGGACCGGGACGAAATTGGGACACCTATTTGGCGGAGTCCGGAGGCACAGCTGGGACTCAAATGGGGGCCAGCGACCGATATTTGGTCATTCGGGACAATGGTAATCAATACCCATGCTGCCCCATGCTTGTCTGGTCGAAGATTGATGGATTCTAAAAGGTTATCTCCATGATCTGGGGCGACAATTTCTTCATCTTCAAGCCCAAGGTGCCCCGTGGTCACGATGAATATGAACTGGAGATCCTTGCCAAATACCACATCTATTTTGGACCATTTCCACCTTCATATGCTGATCTTGCTGATCCAGAGACACTGGGAGTGCTATCACTTATTATGAATGATGTGCCGCCTGAAAGATTAAAGCCTTTCTCCCTGGCTAGTCAACGGGAGATTTCAAAACAAGATAAGGACTTTATCTTGAAGATAGTGAAGCTTGACCCACGGGACAGGCCAGCTGCAAAGGAGCTCCTTGAAGACGAATGGTTCAACCAAGCATGAGCGTGAAGGAGAGCTGTCACCTCAATATGAAAACGCCTCGGTCCCGTCCCACGTACTCGACTACGCTACCGATCTATTCGCATTCGAAATGGCGAAGGAGCATGGAATCATTCCGGAAAAAAGAAGGCGTCACATATGAAGCCAAGAGTGCTGCTATCTATTCTCTTTCGTGACCTTGATATTATCTTTTCGGTGTAAGACGTCTACGCAAAACCTACCTAATTTCTAAGAGAAGGATAAACGCTGCGCAAACCAACAGCGTTTACACCTTATTGAGGTCAGGTCAGTATGAAATTGTAAACTATAATTCTAAGATTGGGAATGGGGAATATATTGAATTTTAAACTAGATCTTGGTTGATATATAATTAATTTATTCATCTTAACCGTCATCTCTATGAATGTCTAGTTGGTTTAGTCTGGCTATAGACAGTTATTCAACAATCTTATGGCTTCACGAGCATCACCACCGCCTCATACGGACGCAGCGGCCACTTCGCCCCTGTAAAGCGCTTAGCGGCTTCGTCAATCCCCTCGTAGCTGTTTAGCAAGACTTCCTCGACGCCCTTGACGCCGTTAGCCGCAGGATCCCACTCCAGCGAGCGGTCGGTCCAGTTACAGAGCACCAGCGCCTGTTGGTTGTCGTACTGGCGCGTGTACGAGAAGACCTCCTGGCTGAACCGGTCGAGAAGCACGTAGTCGCCGTACACGAAGACGTCGAGGTACTTCTTGCGCAGGGCGAGCACGGACCGCCAGTAGTTGAAGGTCGAGTCCGGGTCTGACACTTGGGCCTCGGCGTTGATACGCTCGTAGTTCGGGATCACGGACATCCAGGGCTTGACGTCGGGGGAGGTCCAGCCTGCGTTCGGGGCAGAGGACCACTGCATAGGCGTGCGGGCATTGTCGCGCGATTTCTTCTGGTATTCCTGTCGGGCGACCTTTTGCGCTTCAAGGTTGTCGGGTTTATCTCTCAGAAGACTATCCAGTTAGAACCTCAAGTCAGTACGGAGTTAGAATGATTGTATGCTTTGGTAGGGTTAAGCAATCTCACCCCCTCCAGTGGTTAAGACAGTCAATGTCCTTGTATTCGTCCATCCCCCATGCAAGGGGCACGTTCCTCATCCCCAGCTCCTGGCCTTGGTAGATGAAGGGAGTGCCGGCCTGCAGGGCAAGGACCGTCGCCAGCATCTTGGAGGCGATCAGGCTGTTTTCCTCGGTGGCGTTCGTATACCTGTCGATGGACCGCGGCTGGTCGTGGTTCTCCCAGTACAGGGCGTTCCAGCCGTCGTTGGCGTACATGAACTTCTGCCAAGTCTCGAACAGGAACTTGAGGTCGGTAAGCTTCCATGAACCGGGCACAAACTTGTCGAAGACGCCGTGGTCGATGTCGACATGGTCGAACTGGAAAATCATGCCGATCTCACCCCGATCAAAGCGTACAGCCTTGAGCACATCCTCGATATCCTTGGCAAATGGCATCTCGCCAACACTAAAGGCGTCGTATTCCTTCAAAATCTTACCCATACCCTGCAGATATTCATGGAGGCGAGGCCCATTGGCGTACCACATGTGACCCCATTGCCACTTGCTCTGCGGTTCCGTCACAGGGCCGTCAGGGAAGCGCTGGTCCTTGCTAATGAAGTTCACCACGTCCATACGGAATCCGTCGGCGCCCTTGTCGAGCCAGAAACGCATGATGTCGTGGACCGCCTCGCGGACCGGAGGGTGTTCCCAATTCAGGTCAGGTTGTTCGGTGGCATACAGGTGGAGATAGTATTCGCCGGTGCCCTCGTCCCATTCCCAGGCGCTGCCTTTTTTTTTTCGCTGTCGTTAACTTGATGGGACCACAACGTAAATAAATTAAAGATTGAGCGTACCTTGAAAGTGAGATAGCCAGTTGTTCGGAGGCTGTCGGTTTCCATTCTCATCGTAGCGAGGGGGCTTCCAGATATACCAGTTACGATATTCATTGTCCTTGGAGCTCCGCGACTGCTTGAACCATTCATGCTGGTCGCTCGTATGATTGGCGACCAGGTCCATGAGCAGTTTCATGCCTCGGTCGTGGCAGCCCTGGATCAAGCGCTCGACATCCGCGACCGTCCCATATTCGTCCGCGATGCTGTAGTAATCGGAAATGTCGTACCCCATATCCACCTGCGGCGACTTGTACGACGGACACAACCAGACAATATCCGCGCCCAGCTGCTTGATGTGATCCAGCTTGGAAATGATACCGGGAATATCACCGATTCCGTCATCGTTGGAGTCCTTGAACGAGGCCGGGTAGATCTGGTAAACAGAGCATTCCTTCCACCACGCCCGGTGGATCTGCTTCCCTGGGAAGTGTTCGTTGGGCTTCGCCATGACTAGACGGTCGGCAGAAACAAATAATGAGAGATCGAAAAGCTGGTTTTAAGAGGGGTGGAAGGCACAGAGCAACGGCTGCTCTTGTACTCTACCTCCCAGCTTCCCCTCGTTGACACAGCGGGGCTGCAACTGTAGCTGCGGAGAAATTCTCGGTGGATCGTGGGTCGACCGTCATCTTGACTACAGGCACAGCGTGTGCCTGAGCGTGAAGGGACATCCATTATTGGGTGATGCTTGCAGAAGATGTTGTTGGTGGCGATGAGATCCGCAGTGGAGCGTTCCACTGTTTCTCTCCACTTGATGATCCCAGCAATCGGTCCGAGATAGCTGTTTTCACTATTGGATGAGATTGATGAGGTTGATTGTATACCTGAAATTGGGCACAGTATGTAGTACTGTAGATATCATGGTAGAGTGTGAGAATCTCCTAAAGGAAAATATGATTAGTATTACTGGATAAGTCTAGTCATATATAGGAGAGGAATATATAGAATATATACCCGTGGACTTGAGGAGCATTAGCAAGAGCTCTTTCTTGTGGATATTGAAAGATATATAGCTACCATAGAGGAATCAATGCCTCTGGTTGATATCCAGTCCGTATTTTATAGGTTGTCTTGCGGATGAGAGCATCTCGTCCACACAGTCAATATTCAAACTGGTAGACATAATGATGCCTGAGGCATCAATATTCACATGACATATCAATGACTAAGACATGACTAATTATCAACAACGCTAACCATTTACAGAATATACTAAAGGCGGTGAAGGAGCTCCCATTCTGCCGCGTCCGTCTGTATTTCCGCCGCTTTAATCATGCTCTGCTCCTTCTAGAACTTCTCACGCAGCCCTCTTCTGCTCATGGCGCATTTCAACTCAACCGACCCCAGGTATCCCCCGGGGCCTCCAGGGCCCCCGCATCGACAATTTCCGCGTCGTGATGACAGGGATGGACGCATGTACGATGACCGTTCCCGCTCTCGATCACGCTCTGCGAATCGCCGGCTCGATTCGCATGATGAAGACCGTACGAGATCGCCTCCACGAGGTCCTGCGGTAGAGCGGAGCGGCGAGTACTCCAGGGACCGGGATTATCGTCGCCACTCCTCTCGGTCTCCCCACCCTCCGCCCTCCCGGAGGGGGAGACCCTCCTATAGAGACCGGGATCGCGAAGGGTACCGCTCGCCGCCGTACCGCAGTCGCAGCCATAGCCGGAGCTATAGTCGCAGCCGGAGTCCACGCAGAGGTCGCCATTTCGGCCAGGAAAGCAGAGAAATCATGATGGATGGATTACCGGCGGACATGGGGGAAGAAGACGTGAGCCTCCCCTTGATGAGAAGAGGCATTCGTTGTCGCTATTCATTTGCTGATCTGAAACTCAACAGGTTTTGAGCGAGCTCAAGGAATTTTACCATATTGAAGGACTGGAAGAGGTCCGCGTTATTCGTGATAGACAAACCAGTATGTTTTCATGGTGTGTATATGGCGCTCATAGCTGTTCTGACGACCTTGTAAGAGGTCTCTCGCGGTTTAGGCTTCCTCCAGTTCCGAAGCGTGAACGAATGTCGTCCGTTTCTAGAACGCAACTATCCCTTTATACAGTTGCATGGGCGGAACAGCGAACGCGGTACGAAAGTTCGAATCGCTTATAGCCGGGAGCGGGAAGACAGAAATCGGGGCAAAGCGGACGGCGATTGGACCTGTCCAAATGTCAGTGTCTTGTTTCGTGCAATCCCGGATGATTTTGTGTTCTGATACCCCCTAGTGCGCCATCATGAACTATTCGACACGCTTTCGTTGCTTTCGTTGCCAAGCACCCCGTCCTGGTCAGTCTCTTCCTCCCGAGGCACATTCTTCTTCATACTTACAGTCGCCAATGGTATAGATCCTGCTTTACTCCCGCCGCCAGATGATCCTCCCCCTAAGGTTGTCAACAATGGCGATAATGATGCAGCTCCCGAAAACCAAGCATCGCAGTTTCTTCTTTTCCGGGGGCTAGAGTCCTCGGTTACAGAAGAACTTCTGGCCAAAGGTGTTGCCAAGCTGTATCGACCTGCTACAGACGGAGCGTCAACAAGCCAGAAGAAAGGGGCAAAGGTGGCGTCAACAACCGGCGACTCGAATTTGGGTGCGCGAGATGGCTCAATAAGGCGTGTCTTGTTGGTACGCGATCGCGAAACCGAAGAAAGCTGGCGTTATGGATTCGCAGAATTTGCGACAGTGCAAGTAAGTGATATGCAACTCTACAACTATGGACGCCAGTCTTGACGTGTGTTTCCTAGGATGCCCAAGCTGCTGTTGCGCGACTCAACTCTTTTGACAAATTCACCATCTCATCAAAACAAGTGCTAGTTAGCTACATTCACGCCGGCGTCTTCGTGCCGGTCTTGAAACCCACAGCGGCCACAGAGCGATTCAGTTTCAGCCCGCTCGCCAACCCTTCTCTCAGGTTGATGTATTGGGATGAAGAGGCGTATGTGACGGAATTAGTCTTATCAACAGCGGATATAGAAGGCGGCCAGGGATCGACAAAAGGAGAACGGACCGACAGCCAGCCCAAAAGTGTCAAGGAGATAGACAAGGCGAAGAAGCGAAAGGCAGATGCCGCCGGCGGCAGCGGGGCCAAGAAGATCGCTGTGCCGTCGCACCTGCAGTTCTGGAGTAATCGACATGCTGAGCTTCATGGTATTTCCAAAAAGGATGGAGTGGACAAGACGGCTGCTTCTGCTCCATTTGGATCCGAGAGTGCTGGCTCGCCCCCGGAATCCAACGCCCCCCCTACAAAGTCGTATGGCGACCCAAATCGCTACTGCTGCTACCTGTGTATGCGCCAGTTCAACAGTTCAGCCGAAGTCAACCGCCACGAGCGTCTGAGCCAGCTGCACCGAGACAACCTACAAAATGAAGAGGCCAAAGCCAAGGCCGAGGCGAAGCTTGTCAAGCACGGCATCACTCCCCAATCGACCACCGAGTACCGAGACCGTGCCAGGGAGCGGCGCCAGGCATTTGGTAGTACCAAATCGAGCAAATCCAAGGCATCGGCCCCTGCCCCGGCACCCAAGGAGGACGAGGCACCTGTGCAAACCACGTCCAAGGGGGCATCCTTACTCAGCAAGATGGGATGGTCTGCCGGGTCTGGCTTGGGCGCCCAAGGCACGGGAGTCACGGCGCCTATCGCTACCGAAGTATACGCACAGGGAGTCGGCTTGGGTGCGCAAGGCAGTAAACTGGGCGACGCCACGGAAGAAGCCAACCGCAACACGCGCAATCGGTACGAGGAATTCCTGGAAAAGACCAGGCGGCAGGCCCGGGAGCGATACGAACAGATGGAATGACCTATTCCTGTATAGTCGAATGTAATACCTATGATATATGATAACGCTTTAAATCGTTGCCGTAATCCTAGACCTAGAGCTAAGAGCCTATACAATTGTCAATAACGCCTTTTGTTTCCCCCCCATCCCTATGTACAGAGTGAAGATTTGGCAGGAGCAGAGTGAAGAGATTGTCCAGAGGTAAGAAAATGTAGTTTCCACTAGAATTGATGTTCAGTCCGCCACGTTCTCCTTTTCCAACGCCCTCCTCTCCTCGATCTCCTTTTTCTTCTCCTTGTACGCCGTCCTACCAAGCACATTCGCCAACCACTCCTCTATCTCCGCCTCGCCGAGTTCATCTGAGCCGCCGTTCCCGTTTGCATCGACGTCGAAACCCATTCCAGTGCGGACCTCGCGCCGCAGATCCGCCATACTGTTAATGTTGAAGTAGCAGAGTGTTGCGCCCGTGCCCGCCATCCCCGCCGAGGCGACCCCCACCGTCGCGATGCTGAGGGCTTCCAGGGCGTCGACCGCCCCGTTCCCCTCGGGTTTATGGTAGATCGAGCCCGTGTAGAAGGGGGGCAGGGCGGCGAGGCGTCGCTTGGCTAGTGCCCGCCGTGTGATCAGTAGCGAGAGGTAGAAGAAGGATACCCCCCCGAGGAGCAGCTTGAAGCTGTTCGGAATCCGGCTGGATGCTTGGGGTGTGGATATCGTTGAAGCTGGGCCCGGGGCCGGGGCTGCTTGTTCTTGTGTTGACGGGGTGGGTGATGGTGCTGCTGCTGCTGCTGCTGATGATTCGGGGAGTGCTGCCGCTTGTTGCGGTGTGCTGGGGGAGGGTTTACCCCAGTTGAATAGATTAGAGAATATTGTTGACATGGCGAAAGAGGAACCGGTCTCGTGGCTGAATGGCAGATCAGTTGGTTGCGTGAGGCTGGACTGTTGGGTGGACATTCGTCTTATTGATGCGCTGCAATATCAATGCGGAGAAGAATCGGACCTGAGTCATGTGATTAATGCCTGAGGCATGCTACTCTCTCGTGCAACTCTTCAATTAAGACAACAAGATTATATTTATTTTAAGAGTAGAACTTTTATCATTGCTATATATAGGCAGATAAACTGTAAGCATATAGCTACCTTGTATGTCCAATGCTCTATCGAGTCAGATCAATAGACACCGTGAAAGAAAATACACCGAAGACGCTGCATCTGCTGCTGGACAAACACCACATACTCATCGCTCAAACCGATCTCCGGCGAGCACAAGTTCTCCAGGAAGGAATAGACAAACCAGCCGCCGAAAAGGGGAGCCATTTGTCGGTGGCTGTCGGTGATTCTCATTTCCATTGAATCGGGATACTCGACCCTGCCGCCGTTGAATGCCATAGGGGTCGTTTGGTCTCCGAGAAAGAAGGGGACAGTGGCACAAATGTCCGTGGCAAGGGTATTGATCGTCTCGGAAGCCGCGCAGATCCCATCTCGACTTTCCTCTGGAGGCAACCGGCCAAGACATTCGATCATGATAGTCTGGACGAGAATCCTCGAATCGCGATAGGAGTTCCAGATAGACGCCACAAAGATATCTGGATAACAGTCACACTGGTTTCTGAAGATCCCAGCATTGCGGACGGATTGAGGGATCCACGAAGCGGTCTTGCCTGCCCAATGGAGAGGCAAGGCCGATTTCCAGACGGCCAGTTTGTTATCATTTTCGACGGCCATGGACAAAACTTTGAGGATCTCCCCCCGCTCACATGTTTGACTCCTGATCTTCTGCCAGAGCGTGCGGAGTTCGCCTAACTCGCAGCTGAGTGATGCTAATTCCGAGCTTGTCATTATATCTGGGCGGATATGGTTACTCGAAACAAACCAGGAACGTGGCGATGAAATGACCGGCCCCAAGAGGCATCGTGAACTCTTGGCCTTTCAAAAGAGAATCCCACGTTAATGCTGCTTGAGACAAGAGGAGGCCATCACATTTCAACTCACGATTTCGGAATGTACAGACTTTATCAGTTGCCGAGAAAATGTGGTGTGAGGTTGCTGGGGGTTCATATTGTTGACCAACGCAACAGCGCCGCGCAGATGGACTCTTACAGGCAGCGCGTGGTCTCGTATTGTTTGAAACTCCTGTTTGAAATGTTCTGTTATCCCGTGCGGCCCCCCTCCCCAGAATACAATAGAGATAGCCATACACACCTCGAATGTGTAGAGCAATAGGATACTTGTCAGGATATCATCGTGTTCGCCGTCCAAGTTCCCCTGCAGCGCCGCCCTGAGTGCGGTAAGAGCATTCATATAGTACCGCACTGCTTGAGGGGCGAACGGGCGATGACCCGTCCAGGCAAACACGGAGAAGAAAGCAACAGCTAGGGTTGCCAATTGCAGGTGGGAGCCGCTCCTCGCACGCGGATACAAGGTCGGTATGAGCTCCAATACTCCGTCGGTGATTTCCGGGTCCCTGGGAATATAAAGATAGGAGTTGAAGAAACAGGAAAGCACAGTGTCTTCAATGGCAGGCTGAAGGGCGACAGATAGAGACTGGCGCGACGACAGGAGATGTAGCACATTCAAAAGGGCTTCAGAACCCCCGGCAGAACTTGCGTCTCTCGAGGGTTTCACCATAGACGACGAGACTCGAGACACAGCCTCTCCTTCTGCTGCGGTCCCTCTTGACGAAGAATTCTTATTTTGAACAGAAGCAGTCTGGTCTCGCAGAATCACATCAAAGGGATGTCTATACCCAGGACACGGGCGGCCCACACGGGCGCACGCTTTACAGGATGGACGAGTCTCATCGCATCTACCGAGAGATAAGGTCAGCACCAGCCTTAGGAAACAAAGCCCCATCGATGCGTTGGAAACTTAACAAGTCCAGGCTTACTTGATCCGCCTGGTCCGACAGGTCTGGCAGCCCGTACTCGGCTTCCCCCGGTAAACCATGGCGAGAACGAGACCCAGGTATGTTATAACTCCCCTACAAAGGAAGAAGTCTGCCACTCTACTCAAACTCTCTTCGCCAAAGTACCCAGGGACCTTCAATCACCTCAGCGTGTCGCCCACGGAGAACCATGAATGCCGTCAGCCCTGAGCGACATCTCACGGAAGCCCCGGGCGATAAGCAAGCTGGTTGTAGAAGTACTACCTCGTAGCCTCCTGAAGACTGAGAGACTGGGTTGAAAATCTGTATGTAGTATAGCAATTGAAGAGACAAGGATCAAATGATGAGCATGGACCCTAAGAATTCGTCGAATCACGCCAGTTAAATCTGTAAAGGCAGCAATGTCGACGGGGCCAAAATCGCATCCGTAACGTTGAAATGCTTATGTCACGTGATCACAACTGTAGCATAACAGCATGACAGCATTAACTATCCCACATCTAGCTGGACTGTATCTTTCACCATTATTAGTCGTTTCAAACTGCGCAGAATGTCTCTCAAAGATTCACAGTCGCCTCGGGGTTCGTCTAACTGAGGCTGCTCGCCGGCTTCCTCCTCCAACATCATGCGTAACATCTTGGTTATTTTTCCGTGGTCAAAAATGCATACGTGAGCTGCAGAAGCATCGCCTGAAAGCCCGAATCTGGCCTCAATCCTTGACAGCATGTCTTCGCTGACCTGGACTAGGATTTGAACTTGAAGATCAAGACGCGATGATAGTTTAAACCCTCCGAGGTTCATGCCTGGAAACAGCTGGTGGCCAGGCTGTTGCAGACCTTTCAGAAAGGGGATAGAGTCATGGATACAGGAGAAAACTGTTCGGTATATACGTGTGAGGCAGACATAGCATGAAAGGAGTGAGAACATTGTAGGAGCATCGCAGCGCAAGCCGCTATGAGATGCTTCTGTAGTCCCGGATCCATGGCCACACGGTTGACGTGTCACCGCCTTTGAGATGGGATTGAAGCAGTTCAGGATCTCAATCAGGGCCGAGGAATGGCTCAACATGCGTCCTATAAGAAAGTTATGGGGTTGATCCTCATCGAAGGATAAACCGGCTTGGGGGCACTTGTCGGCTGTTTTGCACGCCTTGACTGCCTCTAGATCCACAAGAACAGCCTTTTGCAAATCCCCGAGCTTCTCCAAGCATTGGTTTCGTCTATCTGACGGAGGCGTCAAAGGAACCTCATGACCGTACTGATTACCCCCCGTCAAAGACATAGACGGCACATCTAAACTGGAGGTAGTTCCCGCCCACAAATCATCCCAGCCATAAACCCCACCAGGCGAGTCTAGGATCCGAAAATCGAGGTCTCCCTCGTAGTCTTGGTTCGGTAGCGTCTCTGGACGGGTCTCCAAATCGATCTGAGATGGCATGGATACATCCAGGATAGCCTGTGAAGAATTCCACTGGGCGCATGTCTGGACGCCGCCATCTTCTTGATCAAGATTTTGTTGTCGTCTGAATAAACCAGGCAACTGCAGTGGACGACCAGATTTGAGCGCCGCCCCGGTCACGCATTGGACATTCGCTCTGGTGCACCTCCGACATCTGATAGCCCCTGGACTTCGCTCACACCGTAGCTTGCGACCCCGGCATCGATCACATGCTGAACGCCGATTTCCTGAACCGTCACCAAGGGCCACGACGGCTTCTTCCATGGTAGTAGGGACGGCGGTGGACATAGCCCGTGATAATCATCGAGCAGACTGGTCTGCAAGGGAACACCCTATTGTCATGTCACCTTGTAGTGAGATGGATCAAGTACAGTTCTGATGACCGATTTGAAATAATTGACGAATCACACATCGCTCGGATTGTTGTTTGGAGAGCAAGCAAGACGTCAACAACAACAATACGAATAGGGGAGCTTCAAGTCCCATGGATGACTAACCCAAGCTGTTGCAAACACAGCAAACTAGACTCTGCGTATAAACAGAACGTTCATTTCTTCCCCATAATACCTAATAAACTTGGAATCATGTCAGAGGTGCGTGCCCGATTAGGCTTAGCGTCGCCTCATTTGGTGTGGCCGCACTATATAACCACCTACTTTATATCTAAGCTATAGCAGCAATAGTAACCATCAGCTATCTCTTCCCTTTTTTAGGCCTACTAGGCCAACATGGTAGCATATTATTTAAAAAGATAGAGTGTACTATATTTAATAAATTCTTATTTATTTAAGATCCTATCTAAGTAATATTAACATCTGTAAAATAATAGGCGATATAAGTAATATAGGTAATATAAATAGTTCCCCTAGGGCCAAACACATTTAAAAAGACTAATAATAATTAAATTTAAAAAATCCACACCTACCTAATTAACAAATTAGATGTTAATAAGCCTATATAATAGAGATAAAACTAATTAAAGGTTCACCTAATAAGCAGCAGCCATATTAATAGTTAAAGGTATTAATTAGATAATTAAAATTATAAATAGTTAGCTTATTCTAAATATTATTAAGAAGTTATAAGATAAAAAGAATATTAAATATTAGGAGGACTATATCTAGTAGATTCTTAAAGTTAATAACCTAGAGAATATTATTTATAAAGATATACCTAGACTAGTAGAGAATTCTTATAAATTTAATAAATAAGATTATATATTATAATATATAAAGCTCTAGCTGGCACTATTAATTAATAAGAATATTTAAAGTAAGGTTAAGATATCTATATTATTATAAGTATATATAGATGATTTTTATTATACTATCCTAATAAGTATTAAAGAAATAGGTATTTATTAAGCCTCTTATAACTTTAGAAAACTAATTAGGATATATTATTTAAATTATTTAATAATTAAAGAATTTATTTAGGATCTTATTAAGAGCTATAATACTACTAATTTTTATACTAAAACCTATATAGGACCCTGCACTATAACTATTATCCTTATAGATAAAGTAAAGGATAAACTCCCTATTTAAGTTAATAAAATTAAAGATATTATTAATAAATATTTAGATATAAATAATATAACTAAAAAGGATTTTCTATAATACTATAATAAAGTTAAAGATAAGATTAATAAATTAAAGAGTAATTAAATACTTATCGCGAGAGCTGTTAAGCACCTAGGATTAAGTAATAATAATAATAATATAACCTATAGGAATAAGCCACTAAAGAATATAAAACTATATAATTAAGTCACTAAATAGCTTAATAGCTAGATATAAGGTGTAAATAGTAAGTATATATTCTATAATAATAAAAATTATAATATTATAAGCTGCTACTATTTAATTATTAATATATAGCCTATAAAATAGTCCTTAAAGGTAATAATATAGTGCTATAAGCCGTCAGTATTAAAGAAAAATAATAATATTAAGTATATTAAAATAGTCTAGAAACCTATTAATAATATTAATAAGAAGAGTCTTAAGGATAATAATAGTAATAATAAATTTACTATTAATAACCTTACCTATATAGCTAGGGCGTTGCTAAGTAAACAGATCTCTCTAATTAACTATAATATTATAGATATACTTATTATATACTAATAGATAGTTAATTTAGGGTCATCCTATATAATATACTCTAAATAAAACGCCATCTTTAATTATTATAAATATACTAATAGTATAAGCCTTATATATGAGATAGTGAGCAGCTCAATGGCGACCTTTAAGGGCTAGGGTAAGTATAATATATAGATCCTAGATATTAATAATAAGCTATATAATATTATAATTAAATATAAATTTAACCCTAATATATTATATAACATCTTTAAATTATTAGGCAATAAGAAGGTGATTAGATTATAAGTAGATATAAGAAATAGGTATATATAATATAATACTAATAACTCTATTATTAGTTATATTTATATATAGGGGATATTACTATGGCTAGTTATATAGATAATAGTAATAAGATATAGCTTTAAAGCTATTAACATATTTATTAAGCACTATTATCTAGACTATTATAGTATTTAAAAGCTTTACTCTATAGTCTATATACTTAGTGATATATTAAAGAATATAGAGTTTAATTATAACATGTGCTCTAGAGCAAAGGTAAAGTAGAAGGTATTATATAATATACCCCTATATTTATAATATATTAATGAGCTTATTTATATAGACCTGTAATCTATAAAGTCGACAGGCCTAAGTAGCCTTAATTATTATTTAATAGTAATAGATAATAAGCATTAGATCCCTAATATTTATCTTATTAAGATAAAGAATAAGGTGAGCACTAAGGCAATTAAGGTCTTTAAGATATTTAAGAATATTAAAGGCTTATATCCTATAAGAGTATGTCTAGATAGCAGCCTAGAGTTTAAAGAATTTATTAAATAGGTAAAGGATTATATAATATTTAAAGTTATACCTCTTAGATCCCTAGAGCTAAATAGTATGCTAGAGTAATAGACTAGTTATCTTAATTAGATAGTATAAGTAATAATTATTAATATAAAATTACTTAAAGAACTATAGCTATATACTATAGAGTCTATAGTATATATTATTAAACACCTAGTTCATAAAGGTCATGATAAATCCTTATTATAGATATATAAAGAGGAACTTAGTATAATAAACTCTACTACCTTAATAGCTTATATTTAATATTAAGGATACCTAATATATAAATATATCCTAAAGAAGGATTATATATAGGTGGAGAAAATAAGCCTATAAGCTAAATATAGTTATCTTATCAGCTATAATAGAGATAATAGGCATATTTATAAAATCTAGATTTTATTATTTAATAAGGTTAAAAAGTTAAAAGATATTAGCTTTATAAAGTATAACAGCCCTAATTAACTTAATAACCTAATAATAATAGTTTTTAAAGGTTTATCCCCTAATAATCCCCCTAATATAGGCTATATAATATAGATTAATTCCCCTATCTATGCAACTAAACCTACCATTAAACCTGTCAACTCTATTAAAGAGGCTCAATTTATAATTAGTAGAGTATAGATATTATTATTATCACTAAGTACTTAAACGCGCCCTAAGATGTTACCCTTAGAAACTATTAATAATATAGCTTATTAAAGTTAATAGTTACTATTTATTATGCTAATTTAAATAGTAAATATAGTACTATTGGCCCCCTAGAGACCTGCAATAATAAAGTAGATAAATATAATAGTTAAAGACTTTAAGAAAAAGGTAAATAATCTATAGCTTTAAGCTTAATAAATTTAATATTAGCATAACAATAAGAAATATCTAAAGATGATTAAGTAGGACCTATAGGATAAAGAATTTAAAGATTATAACCTTAAAGATATCCCTTCTTTATTCTTAAAGCTGTTAGAGAAAGCTAAAGTAAGTACTTAATTAAAGTTACTACTAATTAATTAATATACTATAACTTTAAGGCCTCCTAGTTACTATTCACCTTTATCCCTTAATCCTATTTAATAGGATGTTATTTAGATAATTAACTATACTTAATCTAAGGAATTAAATATATCTATTATATCTTATATATTATCTAGAATTAATAAAGGCATGTCACTCAATTAATATGGCGCTTATATTAAATAAGCCTATAAGCCTATAGGGGGTGTAAAGTCTATATCTATAATATCCCCTAAAGAACCCCTAAAGGGATGCTTTATAGTAATGCTAATCCTAAGACTTAAAGTAAATAATATTATACTTCTTAAGTTATAAAAAGAGGCTATAACATCCCTCTAAAAAGACCTCTAGATAAAGGCTACTAAAGATCAGGTTATAAAGCTTAAGGCTAAAGGCACCTAAATAATAATTAATAAGCCTATAGGCATATTCTTAATCCCTAGTAAATAAGTCTTTATATTTAAAATAAATACTAATAACTTTATTATTAAATATAGAGCCTACTAGGTCATCTATAGTAATTAATAATAATAAGGCTATAATTTTAATAAGACCTATGCCCCTATTATATTAGAAACTATAATTAAGATTATACTATTAATAATTATAGTGCTTAATATATTTATAGAATAGATTAACTTTATTATAGTATATTTAAATATTAAATTAGTTAATAGATAGATCTTTATATAACCCCTAATAGAATTTAACTAGAATAGTAAAGTGTGCCTCTTATAGTAGGTGTTATATGGCCTACAGTAATTAGTAATATTATAAAACTAGATAATTAATTAAAAACTTAAAGAGCTTAGGTTTATATTTATTATTAGTAACCCTTATATTTATATTTATAAATAAGACACCCTAATAATGGTCCTAATATATATAGATGACATAATAATTACTATGTTCTCTAAAAAGGAAGTTAATAGTATTAAGGATTAGTTAAATAAGGCCTTTCCTCTTAAAGTTATTAGTGAATTGTCAAAATTTCTAGGATGTCATCTAGTATATAATTATATTAATAAAATAGTTTACATCTCCTAGGCACCCTATATTAAATAGTGGCTATTAGAATTAGGTATATTAAACTATACACTAGCTAATATATTAATAAATCTATAGTATTTAAAGCTCTCTAAGGACCTATCCCCCCCCATAGATCTCTCCTAATATTAGAAAGTTATAGGTAAAGGCAATTAGCTAACTATAAAGACCTATATAAATATTATATATATAATTACTTATCTACAATACTAATCTATATTCTTAATAGAGACTAATATTATGGCTATTAAATACCTTCTATAATACCTAAAGCATTAT